CAGCTAAATTTTTGGCCTTTTTACAGCAAGCAGTTAATTACATTGAGGCCCTCTTACAGGCGAGCAGTCGTTTTTTCAAGATTGTACGATAGGGCGAGAGAAAATAGTGCGTAGGAATATAGGATCAATATCAGTATCTGGGCAACTGCCCACTTACCCCTCCCCTAACCCAACATTAACCTTAACTTGTTGTCAACTGACTGTCGTTGAGTTAGGGGAGGGGTAGGTGGGCAGTTGCCCAGACACTGATATTGATCCGGAATATATTTGTCCATCTTCTGGTGGAGTGCCATTTGTTAGTGAGTAACTTCTTCTAGATTTCCGTTTCAGGTTGCCTGACAACATCTAGTTCCACTTAAACGTGTTTATACCCCTCAGGAGAGAGAGGAAATGTTCGTTGGAGTTACATGTCTTTCCAAACCGAGGACACAACACGATGAGCCAGTCAGGGTTCTATCGCAAATGCAGATTTTCAACTTGGAGTCCATGGTCTCAATTAAAATTTGGCCATCTGGTTGCAGAGTGTGTTTATTACTTCGGATGAGGATAAAATCCTTGATCTTGAAGGAAAACTAGCAACATGCAAAGTCTACCCAGCTCAGATTACTTTTGCCTCCTCCACGGTCGGCCGGAATGACTGGAGATAAGATTTGTGTAAGAAAAAAAAAATGCGATCTTGAACAGCGCACAACTCTTACGCGGTATTTTTTAAGTTGCTAAATATCTTGGCTCGATGATCAGCCGCTGATCGAAAATGAGCCTGCGCTCCTCCCCGAACTTCTGGATTGTTAAGACGTCATTAACCTTGAGTTGTTTTCAAAATCTTACGAACCTATTTGCTTTGTTCAGCATAACCTCACGTGAAAAAAAAGAGAAAAAAATCGATGGCTAGAAGAAATCACGTCTTGAGTAAATTCATACTAATGGACTGTAGTCAGCATGCAATCTTTTCTGCAGATATTATAGGTTATAGGTTATAGTCAGCTAGCGCTCTTGGTTAGATTCAAATTTAATCTTTTGTTCACATGTAATGTTTTCTGTTAAGATATGATCATGTGATGGTATTCTGATTTTCCTACAGGGCCTTTTTAACAGTCTTCAGTTTCAGATTGTTTATAACAGAAGCGCACATGAAATGCCGAACAGTGATAATTAAAAAGTTTTGTTGTCTCTTTGCGCAGAGGATGTAATGTCGAGCCTAGGTTATTTCGGCGCTGACAAGCCGAAAAGACCCAGGGCTGGAGATTGTATGACCTCGTTTCCAGGGCCCTTACTCATCCTCCTCTTAGGAGGGAGGAAAGGAGAAGACCCTAAGAACGAGGTTGGAGATTTAAGTTGAAGGCCTTCTATTGCGCATGAATTAGTTTCTTTTTTTTAATTTCGTCGCGGACAGGGTTTGTTACTTTCGTATCTTGCCATAACAACGACATTGATCGCGCTACTGTACATCGTTAAAACAATGCTAAAATATATCAAATTCAAATCCGCCGTTTACAGTTATCTCAGGCGATAGTCACTCGCCTCCAAAATTGTACAAAAGCGTCCGAAATCGGACAAGAGCGCCCGAATTCAAATGACGATTGAACGATAGCGTCCTAAGTCGGACGGCGGGCAAACGAAACACTGTGGCGTTCAAAATCGTTAATGATACATGATGATATAAGTCGACAAAACAAAAAATTTTATGTGGTGACAGCATGTTTCAACAACGTAAGCCTTTTCTTTTTTGCTTGCGCCAACTACCTTGAATCTCTGCAAATTTTCTAATCATTTCAGACAGGTTTTTTTTCCTGCTAAAGTCATTTCCCCCACAAATTTCATTTCAATAATATATATATATATATATATATATATATTTATATGTATTTGGTTTCATTATATATATATATATATGTGTGTGTGTGTGTGTGTATATATATATATATAAATTTGATATAATTTTTCCTGCGTTTCTTTGAATCTAGAGCTCAATTCTTACCAGTTTGTTCCTCCTCAACAGCAAACAAGAAAAATGAGCATGTATTGACAATCGATCATATTTTATGCCAATCACTGATAATCTCGTATGTTTTTTCCTCATTTGACGTAAAATCCTTACCGCTTCCTGATGAGTAAACAAAAGGAAACCTTTCTTTCTTTTACTAAGGGCCACTTTCAGAGTTCTGAATATAGTTTTGACTGGAAAGGAACCGCGTTTATATTTAAGAAAAACGTGCCTGGAAGCGGGTAAAGTTACACAACGATGTGTAATGTTTTTGATGAGGGATATTACATATTGCGATTTTTCTTGTACTCTTTGATACCCACAGATAAATAAAGTATTGAGTCGATAAAATTTTGTAAAATTTGAAATTTTGCAAACTTTTCGCACCACCTGTATTTTCAAAAAATAGCCAATTATTCAAAGTTTCACACTGTTCAGTTATTCGGAAGATAACTGAAGTATAACCACCTATTTGTTCAAAAACCCAATTTTCGTATCATTTTGATTTGAAAGAATACAATGTTTGGCTTGTTAATTTAATTTTGATAAAATCTGATCTGCAGTTTAAGATCTTCTCAATATTCATCTGAATTGGAACTGGTTTGTTTGAATGATTTTGTTCATTTGATTTCTTTCCCAAGCAAGGAAAATTAAATTGCAAATCGTCTGTTAATTAATTTAAGAGTAAAATACAAACAGACAAAATATTAGCCAGGAATTTATTTCACCTGCAGCAATTTGCCATTTTAACGGTTCCTTAGAAGTTCCGCCAAAAAAAAATTTGATATCAACATTTTATGATCAAGTAAAAGATATTTCACCAATTACCGCACAGTTATTAAAATCACCCCAAGTAAAGTGCTTTCAAATTCACAGGTAATTCAAAAAAAGGAAAATAATTAGTGTAACTTATAACTTATAAGAGCAAAGAAGCGTTTAAAAGAATAGACTTCACCTCGAGAGACTCGCCATAAATGGTTCCTGCGGAGTTTCGAAATGTAACATTCGAATTAAAATTTATTACGTGGCAAAAGGTTTATACCAATTACCGCACAGTGATTAAAATCACCACCATGTGGAGAGCTTTTAAATAAAGGTAAGTGAATCGTGAACGGGAACGAAGAAAAAAAAATGTGCCAGACATAAATTGTAATTACTCAATTAAGTTATTGTTTGAAAAGCACGTGCAACAATCAAAGGCTTCTTTTGGTTCAGTTTTAAAATTTATTTCAGTTTGACCCCAGGAATCATAACAAATAAATGGTAAAACTTTTACCTTTTAATTCATGTCCTTTTTTTTTCGAATTGAAATAATCCATTTAAACCCAGATAGCTTTTTTCGCATCAGGAGACAGCTTTCCCCTTCTCCGGGTTTTGTGTTTCATCAATACCTTTCAGAATCAGTTATGGATGTATTTTTAAGTTCACAGTTCATTTATTGTCCTCAATTATATAGTTACTTCATTGAAAAAACAGTACTAAATTTTTTCTTGAGCAAACGAAGGATAAACGAGGCACAATCCATTTGCCAGGCCGAAACAATGGTAAGAATCAGGTTGAATAAGTAAAATTAGCGTCATAAACACCTTCTTCAACGAGGCTGTCGATCAAATGGCTTTATAATTCAAAAGGCTGCTCTCAAGTCAACAAATAAAAAGCAGGATGGGCAATATTTAACCAATATAAGAGGAACCAAATTATTCATCAATACTTAAATGCTATGACAATACTGATTAAAATTCGGAAGTTGTATTCGTCTGAATAAAAATTTCCCACGAGCTACATTTATCTATACCACAAACAACTCGTAAATCTTACTTCCCGGCCGCGTTTAATTGCTCTGTATTTTGGCGGAAATTAAAACAAAAGGCAAACTTAGGTTTTTGTTTCATTACTTGCTTAACTGCCTGAAGAAAATAACGTGAAATACTGACGATACGACGCATGCAATATATTCCGCTAGGTGGCGCAAAAACATTTTTGCAAGATGGTGTCGGCGTGACGATTATAAACGAACTGTGACTGTCTGCAGAGTTCTCTTGAGGGAAGAAAGCGTCTCCAGCGAGTAGCGTATTGAATTAAGGTATTCAATTACTTATTTGTTCCTTCTCTTCTTAAAATGTGGAAAATATTTATTGTTTGAGTTCCGAGGTAATCGAGATATTTACACTAGCTTGAGTTAAACTTGAACTATAGAGGACGGATGGATATTTGATCGTCGGGAAGCATTGTCAATGGCCCGCCAACTTAGAGAACAGAAAAAAAATGAAATATTCGAGTCTGTGAGTTATATGGACCTTTCTAATAACTTTGCTTCGATGTATACGTTTATTTCTCATACGTAGCCTTCTTCTGTAAGGAATATTCGTCATTTTCGCTCAGAAACCTTAAATTTGTATTTAAGGAATTCTCCTCTTGGTCATGAGACTAATATTGTTTTAGTCTATAATTATCTTTACGGCATATGCAGCCTTTGAATTTTCAGGGAGACCCCGAGGGATTTTCGGCAAAGGTATCTATTCCCCAACATGCCCCGGGGCATTCAGGAATAATCGATAAAGATCTATGTACTACCTCTGGGTGGACGGGGGGCACAACTTATGTGTACAGATTTTTGTAAAATACAAAGTGAACAGTGTGTTTGTCTTATGAGAAGGAAGACCAGCTCTTTTGAATTACATGAAATGATGATGCAATTTTCTTGAACTTTAAATGTCCCCCACTGTGATCTTGGTAATTCATTTTTCGCCGCCTTTCCTAATCTTTCATTGCACTAACATTTGAATTTGTTTTGTGGAGAATATGGTTATTTTTGTGATGAAAACATTTAAGACTTTTCTGTTGACCTAAATATCGCAAATGCCACACGTAATGGTTTTCAAGTACATCTTTCTTCGCGAAAAGGATCTCCAGGTTGCTAAAGAGTTGCGTGTAAGTGCGGGTAGCATTTCTAATTAGCATATTCTCGTGATTGTTCCTTACATTAAACCTGCTTGCTCATCTGACAGGTTTCTTTTGCATCGCGCATGTGGCCTGATCGGCTTTCTCTAAAATGATTAAGTGGAAAACTTGGATGGTTTGGTGGTCTCTTTTATTTAGTGTAACAACCGCTGAATTTTTCACATCTTTGAGTCGGATAAAAGGCTTGGTTCGCTTGGAAAGCGCTCTGTCGAACTCTCTCGACAATTATTTGGAACAGATGTCAGAACCCCCGGAGGTTCTCCGACAATTCGCCGATCGTGTCAGGAAAGAAATGAAAATCGCGGCAGGTGATATCGAAAAATATGCCTTCCACCCGATCAATTCATTTCTGCTTGTGAGACGATTTGTACGACATTGGACGGAACTGGCGACCTTCCTCTCCGAAGGATCACCGAACGGTAAGGAAACAGCAGCAGTAGGTTGTGAAAGGATTAGCACTTCCCCCTATTGTCACCCAACTTATCCAGTGTGTTCATTCTGACGTTTTAAGTATAAATACTGTCAAGAGATGACAAGATTCAAAATCAAGATCTGCATGAGGGAAATTCTAACATCCTATTGTTTTTGTCCGGACCTTTATCGGTTAAAAAGATATAAACAAGTCGAAAAAACCTGCAAAATTAAAGACGAAAAAAAGAAAAAAAAAAAACGGTGCTGTAGTTTACCTCGACAGCTCCCTGAGCGTGTTCAATATATTTTTTATGCACTCATAGAAAAAATCCCTACCATTTCCCCTGAGGCCGGCGATTACGTGTTTTGTTATGCCTCCCAACTCCAAAGTGCAGATCATGCAAATCAGTATGCAAATCATATACGAACCCTAGAACTGTTTATTTTCTCGACACTGGCTGGCACACAAGTCTCCCCACGGTTTCAAGGCACGTGACCCATGTCAATTGGTGAACTTATTTGAATTTGGAGATATGGAATTTGTTCGAATTTAGTTTCTTAGTCAGTCAGTTTTGCTGACTATGTCATCGCCAAATTTTCATCTTATAGCTCTGCAGAGAAATGCTATTCCATGAATGAAGCATATGACTCAACGTTTTCCTTTATTTCTGACTATTCTCAGATCTCTATTCCGAGCTCATGATCAACCGTCGAGCATTTCCCACCTCGAAAGACTTCATTGGAAGCCTCAACGCCATTCTACGCATCCAAGAGGTTTACAATCTCAGCGCACGCGCACTCGCTGATGGAGATCTGCATCAAACAATACCAAGCGGGGGTCTGGGCGCTGACGAGTGTTATGAGTTAGGCATTGGTAGCAATGATCAAGAAAATTACGAGGGGGTAACAGGCTGGATGAAAGAAGCTCTTAAACGCATGAGCCCACCTTATGAATACAGCGGTGCACTCACAAAAATTGACGTGTTGGAATATTTAGCCTGGGCCGAGTATAAGGTGAGTTGAATAAAAGTTGCACCATAACTATCTTGGTTCAATGCGCTTGCCTTGTCAAGTGGAATATTTTTAGAGGTGTCGCACTTCACCTTTTCTATATGACTTGTTTGATACAACTAAATATACAAATCAAAATCCAGCGGACTACCCATAAGTTAATGGTAAAAAAAAAAAGCCTAGGAACAAGGACGCGTAGATTCAACTGTTATATTTGAGAGCATAAATCTTGGACAAAAGTTGAAACATGTATGAAATATGCCTCTTTAAATAATCTCGAGGAGCACCGGTCGCCCTCTTAACTTCCTGCCTTAGCCATCTAAAAACTTTATTGTATTTATTTGTTTATTTATTTATTTACTTTTTTTTTGAAACCTTTGCTTTTATTACAAAATACAATTCTACAAAACATTACTTACAATTCAAGACTCATTACGCTACTCTATTCACAGAACAATACTTACGATACTTACAATGTAGGTTACTCATGCTAGCAATACAGTACTGAATATGGTTACTTACAAAAAATATAATTACTTGCAATACGGGCTACTTACACTATTAATAATACAATACTCTAATTACATTACTTGCTGAATATACAATTACTTACAATACATTATACGGTATATTGACTTTGAGGAGGCAGGAGTACTTCTCAATAAAACATATAATTAAGGCAAATTTTCAAGTTTGTATTTAATGAGTAGCTTACTGATAAAATCCTGAAAGGAGATGGCCAGGCTATTTAACTTGACTGAATAAATATAATAGCGCATAAATAAGGCGGTGTAGTTGAATTTCCGTATTATTGTTGTGTCGTGGGAGCTTGTGGTAATACCGAACAAGGTCTCATCTGTGGTAGGAGAGATTTGGCACGCATTCACTTGGTTGAACCAGTTTAAGACCTTTTGGGTAAACAATCTGGTGAACATACATTCGATTAAAGAGTGCTCAATTGAATCTCTATCTCCGTAGTATACACATTCTGTGAATGTGTATACATTGATTGTGCAGCGGAAGGTGAATCGTTTGTTTGACTGGACGAATTCGTATGAACCGGATCGATGTCAATATCCGGCCAACTGAGCACCGACCCCTCTCCTAACCTAGAACCTGTGTCATTTTCTAAGCAAAATTGTCCACATTTTGTGAAAGAGAAGTACACGAGACATTCAATGTACACCAGAAGTTAAAAGACTTTTGATCATCCCAGATTTCTCCTATGTTAAATGTTGACAGGAGTCTTCTATTTTTGCAGGTGGGACTTCTTGAAGATGCAATCCTACACACAAAGGATATTCTTGAAGAAGGTAACTTTAATCTGGTGCCTTTCAACATTATAGAGCAAAGTCAGTATCAGAGAAGTTTCGCACTTACCCCTCCCCTAACCCGACATTAACCTTGGCTTGTTATCAGTTGACTGCTGCTGGGTTAAGGGAGGGGTAGGTGCGCAGCTGCTCAGATACCGACATTGATCTATATTTGATCACAACGGGCCACAGAGTGAAACTCATGTTAGGAATTTCTTCATCCCCAGACCCCACAAGTAAACAAGCTCATATCAATCTTGGACACTTCCAGGCCGAGGTGATGCAACGCAATACGAACGCAAGTCATTCGACAAGAAACAAGCTAGACAACAAGAAAAATAAAAAAGATTTCGAGTTAAAATATGAACGCTTGTGCCGCGGAGAAACACGAAAGGTTGGTATCAATTTTTTTCTTTTACACTATGTTCGATTAAATCAAACAAAATAATCCTATGTGATGTTGAATTACCAAAGAGGCCTGGTGCGCCGCTTTTGCTTTACTACGCTCTGTGATTGGTTACGAAGATTGGCGCCACCTTCCCAACCAATCAGATGCAAACAAAAACCAATCACAAATCGCGACGTGGTCACCCACGTTTTCCCGCGCTTAAGTTGGTTGACTACTTTCACTTTGAATTCTCATTGGTTCCTTGTGATATTTTCTTTGTTCTGATTGGCAATTGTGGAAAAATTTAATTTGGATTCACGACATTCACTCGAAACGCATTTCTTTTAATCGATTAGTGGTGGTCGCAGCTCTCTTCTTTTCGAGACATCGGAGCATGGCCTCAGCTGAATTGCCTCGTCCATGTGGGCTGACTATGTCCTAATTTCTAATTTGTGTGATAAACGTTTTATTCGCAATTTGCAGTCTCAGAGACAAAGAGACAGACTGAGTTGTTACTACAATAGAAATCGTCCAACACAAGTGCTGAGACCAGTTAAAGTAGAAACTTTAAGTTCAAATCCAGACCTCTATCTGTTTCATGACGTCATCTCAGAGAGCGAAATCGAGCATATAAAGAAGCTTGCCAAGCCTCAGGTAATAAAATGCGGTTTTTTTTTTTCCTTTTAACAATTTTCTTTAAAACAGAAATTCATCTCCACTGATTCCTTGAGCCAACCATTAACTGAGTAGATTTAGTTTAAGAACAGCTTTTTCCAGCGAAAAGTATCATATTTCCATTGAGTCAACCGCGAATCCCAAAAACTGACTTCACTGCCAAGTGCATGCAAGTGGAAGTTGAAGACATAAAACAAAATGAATTTCATAGCTCTGCTTTGATTGGATCCTAGAACTCGGAACTTCACCCGGGAGCCTCCCTACTGATAGATGTACTCGGGAAAGGACTGACTTAGGGGTGTATTTTGCGAGATAGAGGCTGCTATTGATGAGTTAACGTTAACATTTGATAAGAAAGATTCATCTTTTTTTAATAAGTGCTTGTCTTTTTAGTAAGAGGAAATTATCAGTAATATATACCGTAAGACAATGACCACCTATAACAACCTTTATCTCCTGATCAAGCTCAAGAGAGCTTTTGTCACAAACACAGATACTGGAAAAGAGTTTAAAGCAGACTACAGGATAAGTCAAAGGTAAGAAATGGCTTAAAAAGATTTGGAAGAGTTCAAATAATTAAATTCTTTTATCACTCCATATGCGCTCAAATGAGTTACTTTCTCCCCAGTAAGCACCTCCTTCCCTATAACTCTGTGATTAGCCCCCTTCCCTCTCTGATAAGCACTCCTCCTGACTCTTCGTACCAAATATATTTGGGCTAAACAGCGTTTCAGCATGCAGTACTACTTGTATGCCTTTATTAGTTTCTGTTCTGGGTTCGCCAACCGAAAAAATGCATGTCGTTCTCGATATTCATAAAACTAAGTGACGCTCTAGTACTGATTTTGTAAAGAATGATACGAGCCTATATTTCATTATAACTCGCACATTGGGATATTGGGTTGCGGGTAGATCAGTGATAAGCCTCCCCTCCTCCCCTCCATTAATAAATCCCCCACCATCCAGTAGTAATCATAGAAGTTAGAGTAATCTTTCTTTCTTTCCAATTGTTTGTCTCATCAGCGCCTGGCTGGACGACAATGATTCTCTTGTAGTAAAGAAAATTAGCCAGAGGATTCAAACTACCACGGGTCTTTCTCTAGATTCTGAACACTCAGAAGCATTACAGGTAAGATTTTGCATTACTGCTGAGATGAAAACTCTCTGTAACTTCATTTCCACGGTCCTTTGAAGAAAAGAGAGGACTCAGGCTGATCTCCTTAGTGTTACAGTCCCAAAAATCCATGCACACTACGCAACAAAGCGTCAAGGAGAGGGACCTGGGATGAAGCAGTTAAAAAGCCACGGAGGAGTGTGTTTTAACTTTTCAAATTAGGGCAGCCAAAAAAAAAGAGGCCGGAGCACTCAGGAAATGGGGATCAGAAACGCTCAGAAATGCTGACTTTACCTACAGAATGATTTGCCTTACTTCGCTTTGTGATTGGTCTAGAAAACTCGCGCCACACTCTCAACCAATCAGATACAAAACTAAAACCAATCATCACTTTGATTGGCAAAACTGAAAAATAGTGTTAACTCTCAAGTGAAGGAAAATGATTCTAATGACTTTATCGATGTTATTCTTACGAGGTGGCGAACTACGGTATGGGAGGACATTATGAACCACATCACGATTTCCTGCAGGTTAGTTGTAAAAGTAGCTTAATTGATTAATAAATTTATGTGTTTACCGAGAGAACTGATTCGAGTCTACCAATTCAAGCTTTTATAAGAAAAGTCAGTTTTCGGACGTGCAATGTAGCAGTCCGAATTGTTAAAAAAATTGCCCGCAAACCCGCAAAGATCGACAGGAAATAACAACAATAATAAAATAAAACTAAACAGCGAAAAAGTCAGCCAACTATGGAAATTTTTCTTTTATGCTCTGCCCCACCCCCACCCCCAAGAGTTTCTACTAAGTTAATAAAATGTTATTTTTTCTGTCATCAGAATCCAGACGGAAGCCTTCCTGTTGAGGATATTGACGGTGACAGGATAGCTACAGTACTGTTTTATGTACGTTAGTTATGCCGACCTTTGAGGGCTTATTGAAACTTGGTTAGGAATGTCACCCCCCTCTCTATTTCGTCTTAAACTTGCCTAAGATTAAAGGAATAAACGATCAGCAGTTCCCCGTTGACAGTCTGGCAGGCAGAAACATGTTCAAATGTTTAAATCTTCCATCTCCCTATGATATGATCTGTAAGTATTCTGTTAACAACCCTTCGAGGGGGAATTCCCGTTGTCATAGACTTTGCAGGGATATTGACAAAAAGAGGTATCTGCCATGAGATGTATGTTAAGAGGGAGTACCCCTTCCCCCAGGGTAAGGCCAGGCGATCAACTAATCAGTGAACTGATATCTTTCGTATCTTTAGATGAGTGACGTGGAGGCAGGCGGTGCGACGGTGTTCTTAGATGCTGAAGTAATTGTATATCCTCGAAAGGTTTGTAGTTGTCAAGGCCATGTCTATTCAAGGGATGAAGAAGTTACGTTCTGACAGACAGCTCTTTCTAAAGAAACTGCCTTCTATTCTGCTTCGTTCAGCCGTATTTGTTTAACTAGTTCAATCAATCATTGTCCAGGATTAAAGAAGTATTTTTTTACGGATTTATGCCTTTTTAGGGTGACGCAGTATTTTGGTTTAATCTTAAAAAAGATGGTACCCCTGACCTCAAAACGTTGCACGCTGCCTGCCCTGTGGTCATTGGCTCAAAATGGGGTAAATCTGTCGTCCATACCTCATTCGATAGTTTAACATATAATATGAGCGGATAGTTTGCAGGTTGAGTCGGTTGTAATTTTAACAACAATCAAAATGTCTGCGTATTAAATGTTAAATCATCAAAAGAGGAAGTTATTGTTCAACAATAGTTTAATTTTCTAACATTTTGACTGCAAGTTTGCGAAGTAAGCCAAAGACCTTATACGATCACATTTATGGGAAAAGTCTGATCTCCGGTTTAAAATTAAAATCCCCACCCTCTCCCCCTCCCCTCCCTTCATAACTTGTATCAATGGTGGTCGTCTTTTTCAATCAAAATGTTAGTCACTTACGGCCCGTGAACGCAGACAGATCTCCGGTTTTGGTTGAGAGAAGCGACAACTAGAAATGCCGGTACGTCTGCACGCGCAAGCTCATTTCTGGAAGCATTGTGGGTGATTTGATTGGAATCTTGTGGGTTTTACTATTGAAGCCTTCTTCAGAAAAAGACGCCTTTGGCAACTGCTTTTAATTGCTCCTAAAATCCTTTTTTGTTTTGTGTATGTAGTTGCAAACAAATGGATCAATGAAAGAGGCCAGGAGTTTCGCCGACCATGCACACGAACCTGAAAATTCTACAATTTTCTTTTGTTACGCTTTCTTCTTTTTAACACAATAAACAATGTTTCCAAAGGTCTTGTGCTGTTCGCCTCATAATTTTTACTTGTTTCTGCTATTAATTATCAACTCAAAAGCAGTTGGCACCTCTAACCAGACAGGCAGGATTTTCCAACACTAATATAGGGTATTACGCTTATCTCGGGATGACTTCCTTCTGTGCCCTGATCAAACCGTGTAACTGTAACTTCGCCGTGGAATGTCTGGGTACCAGACTAATCTGTCCCCACCACCCCACAAAAAAGGGTAAGAAACAACAGAACTAGCACTGTAACAAATGAACCCGTAATCTCAACTTAAAGAACGGTTGCTAGAAATAAAAGAAAAAAAAAAGAAAGAAAATTTGGTTTTATCAATTAAGTTGATAATGTACATTGACCACTGTAGAGAACCTAAAGCCAACTATTTGAGTGCTAGCCCTGGATTACATTCTCTGATCAAGAGCCATCATTCAAACCCTCAGCCTCAGAAACTCTCTATGGTGCCGACTTCATCTCATCAACTCAGTTGATAACACCAAATTACCTTGAAATGCCCTTCCATGAATGGAGCACATCAGTTTCTTCAGAAACTCACCCTCCCTTGTCACCCCCCTTCCCCGGGTTACTCGCCTCATTACCCTAACTTTCTTCATGTCATGAAGCATCATTTCATCTCCCACTCCCTCCAAAGAAACATCCTTTGGCAAAATGTTTTGTTTGTCTACCCTCCCAAGCCAGAGAGTGACCTGTTGACTGTCCAGAACTTATTAACCTCTTCTTTGAGCCCAACCAGACAAAGCAAAATCTGATACACTCCTCAATCATTGAAAACTATTTTTGACTACATGAATGAAGATGAAAAAGAAATCCAACCTACAAATGTTTTATGCTCAAACATCGATAGTTATTGCTAACTATTTCAACCTTGCATAGACACCTTTCTCCCCTCAGCACAGACTGTAAGTCCTCATGCCAAAACATGCAAGTTTTTGAACTTTCTCATAGTATTAAAGAATCAAGCACCCTTATGCAAACCAGAAGTTTATTGCAAGAATCTGTTTCCTTGTTACTCCAGAAAACCTTCTGCTAATTCAATTAAACCATGGCAATATTAAAGCAAGAATTCTGCAGTCTTGAAAAAATACTACTCATTTCACCTTCACTTGGACTGAAATGACAACAATATCAAAGAAACGAAACCTTGGACCTGCAAAAGCAGTACACCATTGGCTACTATGGTAGCTTTAAGCTTTCCTTTTAATAGTCTTTTGTTTTGTTCTACCCGAAACAATGGAAGAGTTAATTGTACTGCAATAACTGAGATTAGTTACATTTTCAGAAAGGAAACTGCTCACTAAACCTATTATCATTGAGAAGCCAAGTGCTTGTGGTAAGGCTAGGGAAAGAAGGCATCCAGTAAAAAAAAAATTGTGCAATTGCTCTCTTAGAATGGTCTGTTTTATTGTTGGTTTTTTTTAAATCTTATTTTTTCTTTCAATGTCCATAGCCTGGATTGCAAAAGGGTGTAGAGTTGTTTACTTGGTCAGCGGGACTACCTTGCTACCAATAACCATTTCTTCTCCCATGGCACTTAGAACAGTTACGGACACAATTTCACCATTTTCATGTTTGGATCTTATTTCTTTCCCCACATCGTTCTCTGGTAATTTCAAGTCCTCGCGCACACCATTATTATCATTCATCAAATGCAAATATCCATCACTCTGTATATCATTCACCTACATGGAAAGGGAAGCAAGTAAATACTTCTGTAATACCTCACACATTTCAAAAGCTGCTAGACACTGACACCCATTCACTTCCAAGATCTTATTAGTAATTTTCCTTACTAACTGATATACAATTCTTATAATTTCTTTCCAATCTTCCATACCCTCCTGCTCTTTATGCACTTCCCTCAAAGTAAATAGTTCTCCTGTTGCAAAAGATTGGCAGGCTCTCATGCAGCCTAATTAAAATTCTAGGTATCTTAAAACAAACAAACACCTGTTTGATCCCTGGTTTTAAGGCACTTAAAATAAATTATATTTTATGTTGCCATTGCAGGTAACTGATTAGACACAAGATTGTGGTTACTAGCACTAGATTAAAGGCAGGTATCACAACTTAAGAACCTAAAAAACCCACCAAAGTTTACACACATGTGACACAATCCTTATAAGCTTCACCACCAATACACCCCCCTCCCCCCTTTAGGAATAGAAACAAAAATTACCTGGTAGTCCTCACGATTGACATTAGGCACATTCATGTTATGAGTTGAAGGACAGATGTCTTCATACTTCTTGCCAGTGAAGATATCAAGGCCTACCAAATGAACCTTTAAGAGACAACAGTGTGTTGAGCTTTCACCCTTTACACCCTAACATAAGTATGCATATTCTCCTCACTGTGCTGACAAGGAGATTTGTTTAACAATCAAGAGCTTTAGATATATGAAAATTCACATATTTGCACTGCTACTGAAACTAGTAGTTGTAATATGGATTTGAACCCATGACCTCTGCGATACCGGTGCAGCGCTCTACCAATTGAGCTAACAAGCCAGCTCCCAGCTGACAAGGAGAATTTGTTTAACAATCAAGAGCTTCTTCAGTTAATGATCATGTCCTTTGTTCTCATGACATTAATGTGTGATTCAGGGGTGATATTGTGAGGAGAAATTAGTTATTCATCATTCTTAGGGCGTAAAGGGTTAACCCTTTGTATAGGTAATATCATGATTTTGAGTGCAATTTGGTGTAAATAAACACTAGTAAATTTTTCAAAGACAACAATTGCACAAGCTTGTAGGGCAAGTGCAATCTGTAGTCTTAAATAAATTAGAAGTGCTTATTTACACCAAATTACAGGAGAAATCATGCTCTTACTTATAAATAATTTGCATAAAAAAGCATCACAGAAAGTAAAGACAGATGAAATTTTGACAGAGCATGCTATTAGTAATTTGCGCACTTACAACTTTGCACAACTGTTGCATGAAAAATGCACTGGTTTTCAACCCATCAGAAGCACATAATATTTTCATGTACCATGTTAACACCCTAACATCAGTATCCATGTTATCCATACGCTTCTCTGTGCATTTCCTTCAGTAATGACAAGGAGAATTTGTTTAACAATCAAAGCTTTTTAGGTTGGTGATCATTTCCCCTATTCTTATGACCTTTAAGACTGATTCAGCAGTATTACTATGTGGAGAAATTAGATGCTGGTCAATCAAAGAGAGCAGCACAGAGAATCTATATACTAATGTTTGGGTGGAAATGGTTAACCCAATCATGCTAGACTCCTAGTCTTTTGCAAAAGCTACAACCTCCTTACTAACAATGCTACATGCCAACTAATGGGCACACCTGGAACATTTAACTGAAAATTTCTCAGTTTGCATGGAATCAGAGGTGTCCACAATAACTTGGCAGCCAAATATTTCTTAGTTGCCTTGTACTTTCAAACATTTACTCATTAAGGTAACTGGACATTTCGCACAAAAGACTTTTCGCACAAGTCTTTTAGCACAAGTTTTGGACTGTTCACACAATTCTTAGTGGTCATTTTGCACAATAATTATAAGTGAGAAACATCAATGTAAAAGGTATACTGATTGATACTGATAAGACATTTCACCTTCACAAGATCCAACGGCGAGAACGTAGACATTTATTTACGTAATAACTTCAAATAGCATGTTTTTTCGATCTGTAAGAGTTTAAAATAAAGCTATTGAAAACTTGCTTCTTATATCTTCGTTATATAATGAAAATTAGGCATACTGGTAATACGTACTGCAAAAATAGTTCAATGTTAATAACTCGATATTCAGAGAGTGATTCACATCGAATGTCAGCGCATGCAAGTGTTGTGATTTGACAACTTGAATGTGTCAGTGTAGGTAGTAACTGGTGATCTTGTAAAAAGACAAGCTCGATCTGTAATCATTTAAAAGATTGTAAATTTTAATATATCTATCAAGTAGTAACCTTTCAAATTATTCTAATAACAATTACCTAAGCGATGGAGAGTTCAGTATCGATCGTTAATTGTCATTATAAATGACTGTAATGTAAACAAATGATTTCACGAAAGTTTCAAGAATTCAAAATAATTCAAAGATTATACACTAGCCGTTCAATAAGTAATCATATAAGATTAAGATGAAAACAAATAAAGAAATCTAAATGTACTATAGCTTAAATGAATGTAGGAAAGGGCTAAATTTCTACGAGTCTTGACCGAGTAGCGAGTTAAAATATGCATGATTTGTCGGGTAACATGGCCGTGAACTTGAATTTTATATATTTACACAGAAATTTTGTAAATAGGTCTTTTTTCCTTTTAAATAAAAAGTGAAACAGTTTGTAGGTTTTCACTTTGACTTCAAAGGAGGGAGGATTGGTGACAATTACTTTCGAAATCAACATGGTGTCCTTAGCGTTGGGTTGTCATGTTCGTATGTTTGTAGTGGATGATGTCAAAACTAAAAGGTTTTTCGTTTAACAAAGGAAAAGTAAGAGAAGCAATCATTTGAATAGGGAGTTCTTTACATTTATATAGAGAGAAACATTTGTTCCTTTCTTCAGGTAAGAATAGTGATCGCGTTCACAAGCGTTTTGATCTAGTTGAAGTTATCACATAAATAAATGTCTACGTTCTCACCGTTGGATCTTATTGAAAGTGACATGTGAAGGTGAAATGTCTTATCAGTATCAATTAGTATACCTTTTATATTGATGTTTCTCATTTATAATTATTGTGTGAAACGACCACTAAGAATTGTGCGAACGGTCCAAAACTTGCGCTAAAAGACTTATGCGAAGAGTCTTTTGTGCGAAATGTCCTGTACTCCTCATTAAAAGTTATGGGAGGGGGGATTTTTTACCCATAACTCTGCTAGATACCTTAGCATGGCCATGTTTCCCAGTCTTTGAAGTGGACATCTCAACTATTTTGCAGGGACGATTTTTCATGACAACATAACCATTCTTGCGAAGGGCAGAGCATTGCTGTGGATAGGTGTTGGAGGCCCCAGATTCTCCTTGTCCTTCATACTCATCATCAGCCATGATAACCGCAACTAAAAAAAGTTTACAAAGACCTTGTTACATCTCACTGAAACATAACTTCCTTAGGAAACTTTTCCTCAGTCAGAAGTTTCATCAAAGGGAGTTGTTAATATTTATGTTTGAGGTTTCCAACTTAAACTAGAGCAGAACAAGAGGAAAGCTCAAGGAACCATACAGAGGTTGACTCTAGAAGTAACATACTGCACAAATAAATACTGAATAGCGCAGCAAAAATTATGTTCTCATTTTATATATTTATTTGTTTTCTAATCACTGCATATAAGAAAAAGGATCAACCCATTGAACAATTAAAAATGAAAATGTAGGGAAAGGAAACCTTTTCTATCACACTGTTCATCGGGCAGTGAAGATTTCAGATTTCATCCAAACGTCACGGTGGGTAAAAATGAATGATTCCGATTTCTTGCAACAAAACGGAAAAAAATACGAAGGTGACCCCTTAAAACTTTTTATTTAACCTTGAATTTCACCTAAAAGGAATACTTCTGAAATTTGTAAGTTAATTTAGAAGATTTGAAAGACTAGATTCAAAAGTCAGCAAAAATTGAACCTGGGGGTTCTATTCTACGATTCCCCTAATATTTGGAAGTGGTATTCGATGATGTATTACCGCTGAGACTACTACCATGGATTATTTATCTTAAATGGGGCTTCATTCAACAAGGAATCTCACATAAACTACTGTCAAATTCAAGAAAGCACAAGGTGGGTGACGATTCGCGTTTCCGCAAATGTCGGGCAAGATTTTCATATCACGTGCAGGGCTTGGTAGAGGACCGGCTTTAATTCATTTTACTGGGAAACAAATTCAAAAAGGCCTGAATAAAACATACTCTAAAGAATAGATCAGACAGATGTGGAATAAAAGCGACCGTCCCAAAGAATTCATGTTAATAAAGGTTAAAGATCGATACATCATATAGTAAAAGCGAGCCACTTCATTAACTTCGTCGTACGTACGAAGGTCCTTACTAAGAACGACCTTCGATATTTTATCCCTGAACTCAGCATGCAAGAGCAGCAATATTTCGCCATATAATGGCCGAAAAAATGACAGAATAGTAAGAAATAACAAGTAAATTCTACGATAACAGCTGGCAGCCCAGTTCTTGACCCACAAAACAGTGAATTCAGGCACTTACCGTTGAACAGTGATTCTCGCAACGTGGTTTAGAAAGGAAGGCAATGGGGTCTGTGCCTTGCTGAAGGGGGGTGCTTTCAATTGCTGATTGCCCAATCCATGACGGAAGAAGAGTAGAAAGTTCTCGTATGTGTGACGGAAATGACATCACTGCTGGTTAAAACTCTTGCAAAATTGCATATTACGGCAAAAATTCTACGTTGAAGGTAAACGATAATTTCGTAACCCACGGTATATAGTCCCTGGTTGGTATACTCACAAAGAAAAAAAAATACTGAAGAATTAATACCTCCTTTATCATCTGATAATTTTGATTGCGATTATCAGCGATTTCGTGCCCTACGTCGGTGGACTGGGATTTAGTTTTTGGATCGGTGGGCTTCACTGATATGGTGCAGCTTCGACATTTATAGAGTGATTTTGGCCACAAAAGCTTCAGTAATTCTCTCTTTTTTTCTTTCTTTCAATTGTTTAAGTCGTGTACAATATGTACACGTACTGTACTGACAGGGGAGCGTTTGAAGTTTTTTAATAGTAGATGGTTTCGTTATACTTTTAGTACTCCTCTGATTTGAAGAGTTAACAACTTTTTGCCTTCTTAGTTTTTAAGTAATACCCCATCTCTTTAATTCATAAAGAGGAAGAATTGCATCGCAAGAAAACAAGTTTAAATCAAAGAGTTTATTCAAAACTGCTAATCATTTTTACATCTGAAATCTAATTACCATTAATTCTTTTTCTTCAAGGTATTTTGCTATTTAAGTTTTTGCATTGACTTTAACTGCTCCTCCTGTTCCTTTTTTTTGTTCTTACTACATTTTGATGTCATCTGTGGTCAATTACTAAACAGACACAAAGCAAAATGGAATCTATTTGTTCAATCTTTACCGACATCGGAAGTTATTTGCAGGAATATGACATCCAGAGGGCAAAGTGAGACTCAGAAATTAAAGCAAAATCTAGGAGAACAGCTTGATCGCCTTGTGGCTCAGCTGTCTGATTTGGAAGAATGCAAGTAAGTTGTTTGTTTATTTATCACCTTTTTTAGTTGGTTCAAATAGGATGTTCAAAATTTTTATCTTAAGCAAGTGTCAGTTGTCAGTGATCTATTAGAAATGATTACTGATGAACTGATTGACTGAGTGACCAACAGACTGGCTGGTTGGCAGGACGATTGACAAACAGATTGACTGAATGACTGACTCACTGACTCACTGACTGACCAAGGTATGCAAGAATCCCAGTTTTAAATCATCTGCTGCATAGAATGTCAAATTTTGTGACCTAGTGATCCTTTCTTTTTTTGAAGGGAAGACTTGGATGAGGATGAATATGAAGAAACTAAGAAGGAAACAGTGGAACAGTTAAAAGAATTCAAAGAAACCTTGGAAAAATTTGCAGCTGGAAATGTGACATTAGTTGATGAAATAAGCAGTATGCAATTGGTAAATTTTTTATATAGATCTTTCAATTCTCACCCATTTTATGTTGCATATTATGTCTAGAGATTGAAAAACAAATCTGAATAACTTATGACAAATTTTACATTCAACTTACAGGCAATTCAGGCAGCTATTAGTGAGGCTTTCAAGACACCAGAAGTCATTCGTTTGTTTGCAAAGAAACAACCTGGCCAATTAAGACAGAGACTCTCAGAGGTGAGAACAGAATGGTTTGATCATGAAATACAATGAAATCTTAATTTATAAAATGGTTTAGTGCCATCACTGTGCTATGATCTGGGACATTACACAAATGATCACTTGAGAGTGATGTTCACGCACTTCCTGTACATTAGACTCCTTACTAAAGATTCAGTAGAGTGGATGTAAGTGTACTATAAGTTACAAACCAATATTTTCCTTCCTACATTTATGGCCTAAGTGCAAAGCACACAGGCCATAAATCCAAGAGGAAAATACAAGGTTCCTTTATTTACAATATGGACAAGAAAAAGAGGTGAGCAAGGTATCAGCTATATCTCTGTGTTCAGATACAAGGGAGGAAATCAATTCAAACAAACTTTTGAATTTTAGCTGGTTTTAATAAAGGAACTCAAAATAAAACCTGGCCAAACACCCAATATGCAGCTACTAAATGAGCAACAGGGAAATTATCCAAGTTATAGTAACCAAGTTCAATATCAGTACAGCCTTCCCTATTCAAAATCAACTGATTTATAAAACAAAATACAAGCAATTTAAAAAGCTGTTTGGGTCAAGAAAAGCCTAATGAATTTACTAAAACTGACAAGACAATGACACAATACAATGCCAAGAATGGATTAGTGAAATAACTAAAAATAAGGATCAAATAAACTGTGTAGTCAAAAAGCAAAAAAATTAAATCATGATAACATAGGCAATGACAATTATTTGCACTATAATAATGAATTAGACAAAAAAAAACCTGAAAAAGTCAAATCTTGTGGCCAGACTCTGGCTCAGGCCCAAGTTGCTGAAGGTCAGATAACGCCATCTAGTAAATGAATCTCTATCCGGTGGACAATGCTATACATTTTGCCATCACTTATTTGGTGGATAGCTATTTATCTGTTGGATAACATTAGCTGTCTTTTATACAACTGGGCCCTGGTCCCTAAACAAAACAGGTCCTTTTCAGGTCTATACTCATGGGTATGATAATCAGTAAGCATGATGTTCCTTCTTTCAGATGCAAAGAGATCTCAAAACTGGACACCTCAGTCAAGCAGCATACACACAACAAGCTGTAGAGATTTTAACAGCTCTGAAAAAGCTTGGAGAGCAGGTATGAGGATTGATAGTAAATTAATTTCACCTTCTCACTCCCAAGACCTTAACAGCAATCCTTCTCACTGTTTGTGATACTTTTCTGTAAATGTTAGTTCTGAGAACTTGGTGGTCAATTAAATGTTATCCCTTTGTTAATCATTTTCTTTATTCTCATGACCTGTCCACTTGATATTGTGCTGATATTGTTTGGAGAAATTTCTCCTTGGTGAAAAGGAGTCAAAGGATTAAGCTTGAATTGAAAATGAGTATACTTTACTCCCTTGACTAAGTGCCCAAGCTTTGATAAGTGCTCTCTTCCCCCCCCCCCTCAAATGAGCACCCTTCCTCCCCCTCCTAACTGAGCACCCTCCCTCCCCCCCCAATGTGTGCCCACCCTCAATGCCATTATATCAAACAAGTGACCCCCTTCAATAAGCAATCCACCTCCTCCCTTATTTTTCTAAAGAGTAGGAATACAAGGGTAACCGGTTTTTATTGCCACTTTGTGTATAACTTTGCAAGCTTCAAATACAAGGGAATCAGTACAGGTTGATTATTTCTTGATAGGTGCCCACCCTCCACCCCATGAAACATCCTCCTTTCTCTAAGTGCTCCCCCCTTATTTTAGATTTAGGTTAATGGCAATGAACATGGATTTGGTTGGGTATCACTCACATGATTCAGATACAGTTATTCTCATTGTTGATAATATAAACATCTCACTACTTTTTCACCATATTAAAGTCTTATATTCCTCAATTTTCTCTAAATTTTTATTTGAACTCATATCAGTAAATCCTTTTTCAGCTGAAGCCTCAAGAAGCTGAATTTCTGGCTGAGAATACAAATGCAGCATTGAGCTTGTTTGAGAAAGTTTCAGAGAACATGGGTAAAGTGGATTTTACATAAAATTATTTCTATCAAGCAAAGTGCTTTGCTCATATAAATTTTCATATCCAAATTTATTTATTAGAATCAACTTATTAAGTTTTTTTCAGTTTTTATTTTCATTGTACGTTACTTACACAAATAAAACACATACGTGTACAGAATCAATTGCTTTGTGCCCTACAATATATACATTACTTACAAAGATTTCTGACATCATTAACAGTAGACACATATTAACTAAACAGTCATAAAGCTATAGAAGAAAATTAAACACCACAAAACAGAAACTTACTGTACTAAATGTGCTTAACACTCTCAATACTCAACTGCTGAATAACTTCTGTTAACCCTTTAACTCCCAGAAGTGATTAACATAAAAATTCTTCCTACGATATCCATACATTCTTCAGCAAACAGGTAATGAGAATATTCAAACTTATCAGATAGAAGCTGCTATCTTGATCTAGCACCAATTTCTCATAACAAATTTACAAAGAAATGTGTTGCAGCTACAGGGGAGAATTAACAATCAGATCTTGGGAGTTAAAGGGTTGCATTTGTAACAAAAAAAACAAACAAGCAAACAAATGCACATTACTTATACATGAATATGAAAGTGATCTTTGCAGTAATGAACATCACTTAAGCAGTAGTGAATATAGGGCCTGAAAAAATTCAGGCCTGTATGGGATTTGAACCCATGATCTCTTCAATACTAGTGTATTGCTCTACCAACTGAGCTAACAAGCTAACTGGGAGCTGGTCATTATGTTGGCTAGTAATAAACCTGTAAAATGATGAATCAATGACTGTGAATATGTGAAAATTATATATATGAACTGCAGATTAAGATATTAATGTGAAAGAGTATGAAAAAAATTCAGGCCTTATTTTCACTACTGCTTAAGTGGTTTTCTTTACTGCAAAGATCACTTTCATATTCATTTCTTAATCCGCAGTTCACATATATGATTTTAATAGCAGAGCTTGCATAGCCCCATAATTATACAAAATAGTAGTAACCCATTAAGCCGAAAAAATTTGGATGTATGACCATATGACCGTATGACCGTACAGCCATACGACTGTACAACTGTACAAGGTGCTACTTTTAACATGCGTGGTCAACTGTACCCCGGGCATGTCAACGCCACAGCTTTGTCCAGTAGTCCAGTGGTCAGTGTGCTGGGCTCCGAGTTGGACAACCCGGGTTCTAGTCCTGGCTGGGGCAGGGCGTTGAGATGTGTGGGGAAAAAAAAAATGCGAGCTCCGCTTTTAGGCTTGGCTAAATCTATATATTATATTCATTAGCACTAGCACTAAACTTACAATACAGCGCAACACAACTTTTTAAACTTATTTTGCATACTGAGGTTATAATTAATTAAGTGCCATCACCTTTTCAAGTTATGTGAGTATGTGATACATGAGCCAGTAAATATAGACTTAAAATAATGATGCTACCCAATAGCTATTCTTCATGTTAAATTCCAATATCTGATTACTGAGTAATTCTCCTTGTTAGCTTCATCATACTTCCTTGTTAATCAGTTAGGAGAATTTGATGACATGTCAAGACAACTTTGTCATAACAAGGAGTTTCTCTGTTTTTACCATTTGTTTATCAGGATTGTTTGTTCTCATTGTAAAGAGATGTTACATGTTAATCTTCTAGAAGTGAAATAAAAAGGGTTTCCTAGTTCTGATAGTACAATCAATTTTTTCATCTCTCTAGGAACTGGTGACAAGCTACTCAAGGTTGCTGGTTCACAAGTAGAGGATGCACAGAAGTGAATTGAGACATGATTTTTGTATTTTGTTCATCATGATTTAAACTGCTGTTTACCAGGAATGGAAACATACAAACAATTTCTTTCTGTTTTTTCTTATAATTTCTCAAATGCCAGTCGTTGTAGAAATAAGATAAGGAAAGGGAGGAAGAGTTGATTTTTTATTTTTTTTTTTTTCATGTAGATAATCTATATCATGAGATTTCTGAGATATCAAATGAATAATAAAAACCTAGAAGTAATGGTGAACTGGGTCAGTGTCAGCTTCTCAGCAACTGGGTACTTACCCCTCCCCTGACCCAACAACAGTCAACTGGTAACAAGTTAGGGTTAAGTTGGGTTAGGTGCAGGGTGGGTACATGGTTGGCTAGATACTGACATTGATCCAGTGAACCTATAACCATAGTTTTGACTAATGACACAAGCAAAGCACCAGCACAATGGCATGCATAAGGTAAATATGCGAAGTGAAAACGAAAGTCAATATGCACTGTAAGCACTATAAGCACAAGGAAAAGGAAAAAATTCTGATCCTTGTGCTTAAGCTTGCACTCGTGTTTATGCTTGCATCAAGGCTGTTTTCACAGTGAAATATGAGCTGTTGTGCTTGCAGTATTTGTGCTTGCACTTGTGCTTGGGTCAATAGTAAAAACCAGGCGATAGACTTTACTTTTAAGCAGTCAGGATTTTTGGAGAATGCATGAGAAGTCTATAAATTTTGAGTCAATGTTAAGTGATTTCAAAACTTTTCCATTGTCAGCAAGTGTAGCTTAACTGATTAAAAGTGTGATCATTTGGATAGGAAAATTGAATTTTTTGGTCAGGACACAAAGTATAGTTTTCTCACTGCAGGATTTTATATTTAACTTAGAACTGCCAATGACCAATTATGATGGCACACTTGCAGTACTTAAGATTAATTTTACCAGGGCTTGAATCCCAACAAAGTATCCCAAAATGACTGCAGTCATGAAGGCTATATTTAAAATGTTGCATTTTATTATCATATCAGCAATAATCAGCAAATGTTGTGCAAAACTAATTCAATAAAGGTTGTGTAGGAGATTTAGAGTTTTACTTTGACTGAAGGGACACCTTGTTTAAGAGGGACTGTTGGCAAAGGCATCATGGGATCAAGGTTATTTTTAATCATTCAAAAATTTCATATTTACTACCAAATTATCAAACAAATTTTTTTCTTATACCAAATTATAGACACGCTTAAAAAAAGATTCCTGCAGCAGATCAATTTACAGTTTGACCAGTAACCTTGAAATCCCAAAAATGATTAACATGTAACTTCCCCTAATAATATCCATTACATTATGCAGCAAACAGGTAACAATAATATACTCAAACTTATCAGGTAGAAGTTTTTTCTTGATGTAACAACAAATTCTGTTAACTAATTTACATGGAACCCTCAGGCAGCCAGAGGGGAGAATTAACAATGAGGTCTTGTGAGTAGAAGGGTCAAGAAAACCCTGGAAACTTTGCAAAAGAGGGGTAAAAGGAATTAGTACATGTAGGGAATATTTAAGGGCATTTCCCTTAACATCCCTCCCTTGTGCTCATGCATAATTACACATTGCCACAATTCTCTTTGCTGTAATATCCCTTTTTAAATCACTTTGTGTTAATGGAACACCTGATATTGCACTGGTTATATTGGTGCATTTGAATAATGCATCGGCGATCAAGGAACTTTATAAACCGAAAGTAAGGCAATTGTGAATATTTATTGACGTGGGTTGAGTGGAATTTCTGGAACATAATGTCATATTACTGAATAATCAAGAAAATTTTTGTAGCGGAAGTGAAAGGCAATTGTGATATTTGTTGTCATAGGCTGGGTGGAATTTCTGGAACAATGTAGTATTACAAAATGTCAAGAAAATTTTTATAGCATAAGTGAAAGGCAATTGTGAATATTTATTGATGTGGGCTGGACAAAATTCCTTGAACACAATGTCATGTTTCTAAATGAGTTAATCATGTCAAAAGATTGTTTTTAGATGCCACTTGGCGGAAAATTTTATTCATTATTTCTCATAGTCTTTTTTATTTTATGGTGAATAAAATGTTCTAAATCCTTACAGCTGTTCCCATTGTTTTTGTTATTTTGCTTGTTGTTTAGTTTTTTTTTTCCTGTAATAAATTCAAACGAAATATCGTATTGAAATCCAACTTCTCAAATTGCTATTATCCTTGGGGATTTTTGAGACAAAATTTTATCATCAAAACACGTAACCAAGTTGAAATTTTCCTTTTCTGGTTGTGAATATTGTCAATATTGTATTTTCACTGTTCAGTGTATATGGGTTTTTTTAGCAGGTGACGAAAAGTGATGTACCATTCCCTGTACTTCATCTCCCTCAGTCAAGAGACCTTCAACTAACAGGTTAATTTTGAATGCATGCAAATCCAATTTTAGCTTCGAGATAGCGTCTCTTTCTAAACTCGCAGCTTTTGTTTTCAAAACCACAACTTCTTTTGTCTTTATGATAATGTTCCCCAATGCGGGTGTGAAAACATGTGATCAGTGACGTCACGTTTCTTTGGCTAGAGCGACGAAAAGAACCCGAGTATTGGATTACAATTGAAGTTAAAGATTTTTCATCGACGTTTCTTCTCAGATTTCAAGTAAGGGATCATCCGAAGGCCGCCCATGTCGCCGCAAACGACTGTTGTATTTTTCCTTGGCGTTTTGGTAGCGTTTTGCCTCGGCCTGGAGTTCGAGGAACGCGGTGAGTTTGAAGTAAAGTTGGTTGTTAAATTCGAACGCGCGTTGGCGATGTTTGACAGTGTGTTCTCCTCATGTCGCATGTTGCGAGGAGTGGATAACTCAACTATTCCAATGATCTGTACCTTTCTGTGCGAAATACATGTTTTTTGGATCGTTCGATATTCTTTACCTGTGGCAAACAATTTATTTGATGTAACTAAGGGTTGTTTTTAGTATTTTATTCTTCCTTTAATCGCAACGGGGTTGCTGTATTTAATTTTGTACGTAGTGGGTTTCTCCTTATCTCGAGATGTATATTGCACTTTCCATGCTCTTCCGATGCAAATTTTTCTTTTATCTCCCACGAAGCACTCAACGTTTAACATTTTTTTCTTTTTTCTGCTAAATACTGATCTGATGTGCCCAAAAGTTTTGTTTGCGACTTTCAAATATGTCAATTCCACGCCATATTGCATGCAAATTGCAAAAGTTTATTATTTTCGAATCACTTGATTTGCCTACGAACCTTTCCATATATATCTTAGCCGCAATCTTTCCACTTTGTGTCTGTTTTCACGTAGTGTCTAGTTGTCCTATGTGGAATATTGTCTTTTGAATTCAGTAAAGAACTGCTTTGTCAGCGAACTATTCACTTCGAAGTTTCGTCGTCTTTGCGAAATCTCCTTTCTCGAACAATACAATGAGTAATCAAGAACGCGTGAAAGCAGACTTTAGCGCATTAAATCCACCCAAAACCCTTGTAGGCTCCCCTATGTTGTCTAGCATTTTTCTTTAATACATTTTGAAGCATACGTTCGGAAAATGTCGATTTGCAAACTCAGTTTAGACGTATCTTCGTAATATTTGCGCACACAACGATAAACTAATTGCTTTGCGCATTGAATTCTTTTTACGCTCGAGTTTTGACCCAATTTACACTCAGTCTGTTGGTGAATTTACTGCTTAGACTTGTCACAAATTGGGCCATATTACGCTGTTTGGCTGTTTTAAACTTTCTTATTTTTAACATGTTGGCAGATAGCCCATGTTCAGATAGATTTTTTTTCTTCACGATGCGACAGTTCTTGCACTTTGCTTACCAATTTTCATCAGCGTGAAATTCGTTTAACAGGTTATCTCTTTCCGTTTTGCAGATTTTTCAGAGTTGAGAGGAAACGATAACGTTTCATGTCTTGTTTTCTTCACAATCCCCTGTAGAAAAGTTAGAAAAGCAATCACAAGCAGAATTTCTGTAATTTGTTTTCTTTGAGTTGAGATTGAAAACTATATGGGCAAAATAATTGTGTTTTTGTCGCTGTTTTTTTTTTCTTTTTTTCACCAGGATTATGTGTTTTTAAATATGTTGGCGTTGGGTTTTGGTATCCAAATTATTTGAAAATCCATCTTATATTTTACCATGTTTATTTGTATGGACCCAAAAAATGCTGTTAAATTATTCCTGAACACGTATTGTTTTCATCCGTTATAGCCAAATGGTCAAGCTTGAGTTCCCCTGTTTCTTACACGCCCTTAAGCCATTTTTAAGTTGTCATTGGTTTGAGATTTGATCAGTTTGAATTTGGATTTGAATTTTTTTACTTCAGATTACTTTGATATTGATGTCACATTGGAGATTAGGGAAAAATTCAAGTCAAAACTGCTTTCATATTATTTGAGACCTAAACAGTTTGGCTGTGACATACTTATGTACAAGATTATTTAGCTGATGTTACATGTTGTAGTTGTGAAATTGAAATCAGTTATTTCTGTTATATTATCCACAGGATTTGATTTTGTCCAAAAGGAGTATGCACGTGCTATCACGGAATACCATGCTGTCAATAAAACTGTGATGCACATCAGAGCTGTGGGATGTGAAGGGCCTGTGAAGTATACCATAGCTCAGCCGGATACACCTTTCAAGATCGATGAAAAAGGACATGTTTGGCTTGTGAAGAGACTTAACTATGACAAAGCAAGTTCCTATCTGTTGAATGTGACAGCAGAAGCTGGAGATGGGAAATGCATTGCCTACACCAAAATCCACTTTGAAATTTTGAACATGAACAAGCATGCACCACAGTTCGAATTTGAGAAGTACAGTTGTGATATTATTGAGAATACGCGAGAAATGAGGTTTAATCCACCCATGAGGGTTCTGGACAGCGACAGTGGAAAAGCAGGAAAGATAAGCAGTGTGAAAATTGTGGAGTCTGGTCTTCCGTTTGTGTTCACTGTTGATGAGAAAGGAAACGTCCAGGGGAGGGCTACTAAAAACATGGATGCAGAAGATATCACAGACTACTTCTTTGATATCATTGCCTGGGATAGTGGAGAGCCTTCAAAATCTTCCTTCCCTATCAGCTTAGAGTGCGAAGTTGATGATGTGAATGAGTTTGGACCGCATTTTACGCCAGACACTTACCAGGCTAAGATTGCTCGTGGAAAGACATACTCTAACATCACTCAGGTTTGCGTTTACAAACATTTGTTTACATCTCCCCTTAAAAAGGTTCTATTTATCCTTTGCACCCTAATGTCAGTATGCCTATTCTCCATACTATTCTCTATACATTTCCTAATGTGCTGGTAAGGAGAATTTATTTAACAATCAAGAGGTTCTTCAGTTATGTCGTTTCCTCTTTTCTCATGAGCTTAATATTTGATTCAGGGGTGATACTGAATGGAGAAATCTGATGCTGGTCACTGTCAGGGATTAAAGGGTTTAGAACCAATTGATTGATAAATTAAATTTACCTTGTAATTAAAAATCTATTTTGTTCAATTTGTCAGGTCTTTGCTGAAGATAAAGACATTGGTATTGTCAGTGGCAGAGTTTGCAAGTATGTTATTGAAGGCTTCAATCTTCCATTCAAAGTCAATGATGATGGTGTTATCAGCATTGATCAGCCTCTGGGACGTGATGCCTATGATTTATATGAGTTTCAAGTGGATGCTATTGACTGTGGTGGACAAATGTCAAAGAGCAGTGCAAAAGTAGCAATCTCTGTAGAAACAGTACAACCACCTTGTGCTGAAGGTCAGTTTTAAGGAATTTTGGTGTTTATAACATGATTGGCAGCTGAACCTGGTATATTTGCAAATTGAGAAATATTTCACTTTTGTTTATTAATAATAGATAAAAGAAGTCTAGAAAATTATTGATGGAGTTTCTCTTAAGAATTAATGAAAAAAAAATCTTTCCAAAGGTAACACTTTGTTTTGATCTATAATTCAGCAGAAGCTATGACAAGGATATGAAATTTAAGAAAATTGAGCTTCTTTAAAAAAAAAAAAAATTGTTGGTGTTAAATTCATTGTTAATTACATTTGCAAGAGAACAGATTGAAAGGAGCCTATCAGCAATGATGTGTGGTCTCAACATTCAATTATTGTTTAATATACATTTGGTTTTCCAAAGGGAATAAAAACACAAGGTTGGACAGATATCAAGTTTTGGGATTCAACAATGACAGGGTGCCAAAGCCAACATGTAACAGATTATGCAAATGTGTTTGATAGCAATGCACAGTGATTCTATCATGTTACCTGATAAAGATTACATGTGATAGTGATGCAATTTCATAATAAAAGCTAGTAATTGAACAAGATAATTTGTTATTTTCAAGTAAGTTGATAGTGTAAATTGGCCATCATGAAGAATTTCCAAAGCTGAAATTTGTGAGCGTTAGCCCTTTGTTAAAGGGAAGAACATTCAGAGCATTTGCTCTGATAAAACTGCTATGGCTCAAAACGTCAGCCTCAGAAATTCTTCATGATGGACAATTTACACTATCAACTCAGGTGATAATATCAAATTATTATCAAATTATCTTATAATATCTACAACCTAGGCAATGCCACAGTTTCTTTAGAAAGTTTACCCCTTTTTGAATTGAACACCCTCATTCAAATTATCAGTCAACTGATAGACTTCATATGCTAGTTGATCAGTAAGATTTAACTACATGGTACATTAGAAAGTTTTGAGTAGAAGTAGTAATGAACTCAACACTCTCCAATTCTAGCAGTCCACACCAGAACAGGTTGTAGTTTTTATATTTAAACCAACCTGTCTCATTTCTCCAAATCTGACTGATTTGAAATTTTCATAATATCTTCAGAGTTTGTTGGACCAGCTAAACACAAGTTCACCTTACAGCAATGCACTGGAAAAGTTTATGTCACCCCTGACATCACCTTGAACAAGTGCGCCAGAAAGCAAGAAAAGGGCAAATTCTCTGCGAATGTCAGTCTGGTAACCGAAGCAGGCATGGGCTGTGACAGAGAAACATTTGAAGGATCAGATATGTTTACCCTTTGTGGGGCAAGCAACTTTATTGATCTGCTCCCCAAACCAGGAGTTGGCAGGGAATGGACAGAGAACATTGCAAAGAAGAATGAAAAAGGTAGGTTTATACTGAAATTGGAAACAGCTTTTAAACAATTCTGATTAAAGTATGTTGCTATGTTAGCACATTACTAAAATTATTGGTTGTGTGAACAGTTTAGTGTATTAGGTTAACTTCCGTCCATTTACCTACGCGGTATATTACCCACATCATTCAATTTTTGCAACAATGAGAAAAAATTTCAACAGATTACCTGCACTCAAAAAAACAAAAGAAAATTGTCCACTCACACAAAGTTCCTTCATTGTTTTTGTTGACATGATATCCTTTAGCATGCAACTAATAAATTTTCACACTTTAAGTCTTTGCTGTTTCATCGAGAATGATACCAATTGTAAAAATCTGCTCTAAAAAAAATTGATATCATGAGATCTATAGAGTTGGAGAAATCACTTGAAATGGGAAAATACTCTTTACCTCAAGGCAGTGCTAGCTGAGAAAATTTCTGTCACACCAATTAATTATGCGGCCCCATGAAATGAACATGTTGGCACCATTTTCCGAGTGAATTGCCCTGAAGCTAGTCTTTTCACAGTAGTTGATTTCTTTTATTTTCAAGTTCACTTCCTTTGTAAGTGAGAATTGTTTTTTTGAACTAAACAAAGAAACAAGCTGTGAAATTGATAAGGTTAGAAAGTAAGAGTACGAACAAGATAATAGCTATGTTATCGAGTTTTGTATGTTTTCGATTTGCATCGGCTTTCATCGAGAGCAATAAAGTGTCTTATTAGAATGAGCAATCTGCGTGAAATAAATGAGTTATTGCACAAATTTTTGAAGAGTATCTGTAGTGGATCTTATCACCTGTTTTTTTTCCTGTTTATTGTTTTTAACTACACTGGAGGCTTTAGAAATTATTGTATTACCTGCACCTTCCTATAACCTGCACCAGCAACTGTTTGAAATATTAACAGATTACCTGCAGGTTATTGGCTGAAAATTATGGTATATGAAATTTCACTGCAACTTTTTATCTTTTTTCTTTCTGGCAAACAATTAATTATGATTATCAGTTGAGTGAGGCAGGGAAAAAAAAAGATTGGTGGCTGGGTTTTTACTGTGAAATAACAGTGTTTGTCACAGGAAAACTTCCTCGTTTCCTCTGGCAACTGAAATTTTGACAGCCATGTCTCACCAGTTATCAAACCTGAAAACCTGTCAAAAGTGGTTTTCAGACATCTGTCATGCCTCACCTAACTGAAATTCGTGTTTGTACATCACTGAAAGGGACTTTGAAAGACTTGCTGAATGTAGCTTGCAGATACATAAAATTGGGGTGAATATTTTGTTGGAAGTAATGATCAACTGTGCAAAGTATTTTAGTTGAGTAGAGCATCTGAATTTAGAGGAGTGTTCTCATATTTATTTGCATCTCATTTTTTTCAGATGCACTTGGCTTTTCATTCAATGGGAAGACATATGTGGACATCCCTGATGAAGTCTTGCCAGATGACATTGGTGACAAGTTTACCATCAGCACATGGATCAAGGTGGCCAAATCCAAAGGTCGCCAAACTATTGTTGCCAACACTGATAAGGAACGCCTCGACCGTGTACATTTCTCTCTGTCTATATATGGGAGCAAGCTGATTTTTTTGCACAAACGTGAGGCCATACACGCTAACCGCGATGTCTACTGCAATGCAGAATTTCAGTACAAACCAGCCATTTTTGATGACAAATGGCATCATATTTTGGTGATTGCTGACGGCTGTGCTACCAAGATGTATGTTGATGGAGAGCACTACGCAGCAGTGATAACTGAAGCAGACCGAACCCTCCACAACTCAAACCTGAAAAATAAGGTGACTGTTGGTGCCCGCTATTTGGCAAAGGAGGGAGTTTACACTGATAGGCTCACAGGATATTTGTCTGGACTTACAATCAGGCCCAATAGCACTCTTAATGAACAGGTATGACCTACTTTTCTTGTTTGCTATTTCTGCACCCATTCTATGTGCAAGTGAGAGATATAAGGGCTTATCCCTTGTACCCTTAATGCTTTAACTTCCATAAGTGATCAAGACAGAATTTCTCCTTGCATTATCAATACAATATCAAGCAGACAAGTGATGAGAATAGAAGAAATATCAATTAGGGGATTATAAGTTGACCAATATCAAATTCTTCGAACTAACATCATGAAAATCAACAGTAAGGACAATTACTAAATGAGATATTGGGAGTGATTGGCTTCTAATTTCTCCTCAAGGTATCACCTTTGAATCAAATGTAAAGGTCAGGAGAATAAAGGAAATGATCACCAATTTGAGAAGCTCCTGATTGTCAACAAATTCTCCTTGTCAGGACCACAGGAAATGTAAAGAGAGCAGTGTGGAGAATCTGCATCCTAATTTTGGGTTGTTTAGGAATGTATGGGATGTTTATTTTTGTTAAGAATAGTTTTCCACCTGCAGAGATCATAAAGAAAGTAAAGGGTTTTAAAACTTAGAAATGACTTACAGAAATTTTTATGTAGGCCAAATTGTCCACAGGGCCCTTTTTTGTTTTGTTTTGTTTTTTTTGTGTACCTTTTACAGTTCACTTTGTCTGTGAATCTTGCTTTCAACTGAATCAATGTTATTTTATTTTCACAGGTTCTGGGCTGTGTGATTGGCTGTAAAGAACATGTGAATGTTGATGGCCCTCTTCCTCCTAAATTCTTGGCCAAAATCATTGATTTTGGAAGTATCGCAATCACTGGGGAAGGATCACCTAGTGACTTCATCAAGGCCTTGCAAAGTCTTGTGTACATTAATGAGCGCATGGTGCCAACACCAGGAAAACGCTCCGTGATCATTGAGGCCAAGATTAATGAGAAACCATTGGCAACCATCACTGTGGACATTAATGTTGCAGGAAATACACGTCCTGTGATAATTGTTGAAGGTTTGGACGCAGACATTGGGCTGAACTGGGCGAAGAGAAAGGTTGTAAAACAGAAAGGTTTGCGTGTGTTTGATTCCCTGGAAATCGATTATGATGCTTGTCCAAGAGATGATGAGTTCTCTCCAATCGACAAGGTGCGCTTTTTGGATGAAGCAGTGGTGAAAGTTAAGCCGGCCTTCAAGAAAGGAGAAAGTTTTAATTTTCCCACAGGAATTAAAGGACTGAAGGAGAAAGGACTGACTGTGAGTTTCAACAACGAGGAGCTTGTCATTCGAGGAATTGCACACTTTTCAGAATACGAAGATGTCCTTCGACAGATGGTGTATGTGAACTTGGATCCAGATGACCTGATGCACCTAGAGATAACTGTAAGTATTAATAAAAAATTTGAAGAATGCTCTGAGGATTTTCTTGCAGAAATGCTTCATGAATTCTGTGCTTAGAGCCTTTTAACTCCCAGAAGTGATTTACATGTAAGTTCACTCTATAATATCCAGGTTCATCTTTATTTAACACCAAATTCTTGTAACTAATTTACAAAGAAATGAGTAGGATAAAGATCTGTTTCATCTTCACAGAACAATATGTGACTGTCTTTTTTTTTCTTTCATCATGTAGGTGACTTTGTCAACCCTGAAGGGCAAATGTAAAAGTGATTCAGAACGACTTAACATCAACACCATTCACTCTAACAGAGGATTCAAAGACTACAACATCAAGTTTGCCGAGAACAACCAGAAGGAAGAGATGATGCCTGGTATTGTTTCTGTGGAAGCTGCCATGGGCAAGGAGTCATCAAGTGGTCTGTCCAGTGGGGTCATGGCTGCGATTATCGTTTGCAGTCTGGCTGTTTTTGCCTTCCTTCTTGTGCTTGGCATCTTCAAGTACAGACAGTAAGTTTAATCTTGATATAACAGGGTAATTTAGTATTATCAACTCAGTTGATAACATAAATTGGCCACTGTAAAGAATTTAAAAGCTGATATTTTGTGTGTTAGCCCTTAGTCATTGCTCTGAAGAAGTCGTAATGCTCAAAACGTAAGCTTTCAAACTCCATGCTGGCCAATTTATGTGTCATCAACTCAGTTGAAAATACTCAATAGCCCTGTTATGCTCTCTTACCAAGGCAGAACCACAGTTTCTTAGTAAACGTACCCCCTTTTATTCATTAATCTTGATAAAGTGATAATGTTAATGTTATAATACTATATGTAGATCAGGACCCCTATAATTTTACCTAAGATCAACCCATTAGCTCCAAAGAGTGACTAATGTAGTTTCTTCTTATGTTATTGCTGTGGAATCAAACATAAAGTTCATGACAATAATTGAAATGATTGTCAACTGAAGAAGCCCTTAATTTTTTCATGAGGTCTCTTTTTCATTTCCATAGGAATAGTATAAGGAATGGTATGAATGTTTGAAATGCATACTGATTTTAGGTGACAAGTTAAGGGTTAAACTTTTCAAGATTTCTTGCACATGTTATCGACCTTTATTAACTGATAACCAATGAAATGTTTCCACCTCCTCCACCCAGTCATTTAAGAATCTAATAAGTTTGCTCAGAAATAAATAACACGGGAATGTTTCCTCAATGAAGTTCTCACTCGAGGTTGGAAATTTATCACCGAGATAGGCTCAGTAAAGGCAGTTATATTATGTTTCTGCAGTTATAACTGTCTTTTTATTGTGTTGGGGACTGCAAAGCAAGGTTGATTGAATACATGTTTAAGTTAAAGTCTAATTTTCAAATGAAAATTGTTGTAAGAGATGTGACTGAATATTTTTTTTTTTGTAATAGGAGGCCAGAGACTGTGAAAGTCGTACCGCCTGGTGATGACAAAGAGGAGATGTACTGGGATGACACTGGTCTGAGTGGTGTGCGTATTACTCTGAATCCCATGCAAAAATTCCAGGAGCTAGACCTGAATGAAGATGGCAATAACACGGAGAAGTCTGATACTGAAGATGAGGAAGGCACAGCAACAAAAGGCCTGTTGGAGTGGGACAACTCTGATATGTAATCACCTGTGGTGACCTTGTGAAACAAAGTTTTTGTTTAAGGGTGGAAGTTTAGTATCATGGTTTGTAATTGGTTAGAAGCTTCAGGTTTTTTTTCCTTCAATTTTTTTAATTTGATTCAAGGGAGAGATTTAAAAACAGTTAGAAGTTGAAACTCAATCCATTTTCCTTCAGGAAAGTTGGAGTAATTTTGCCTTGATTAACTGGTTGGTAATGATCTACCAGCATCTCAGTAGATTTCTGTCTGTGAACTTGAAGCCGTGCTACTGATTGTTTGAAGTTTGTTGGGTTTTTTTTTCAGTGTTTTCTTTGCATTCTTTTCATTGATGTGGCATTAGTTTTAAGGTATTTTGTAGATTTTTTAAAAAAATACTATTTCTTAAACTTTGTTTACCTTTCACACTTGTTCAAGGTGTGTAAAAATGATATATAACCTTGTTGAGATAAAAACAGAATTTGTGATTCCTTTCTTTCCCCGTTTTCTTTTTCATTATTAAGTAAGTAACCTTATAGTAACAAAAAAGAAAACTTCAGTAAAAATATCAAGGAAAATTTACTAGATAAGAAACCTATGTGCAGTGCATACCTGTTTTGTTTAACAAAGTTGAGGTTTGTATGGGGCATGGAAACCTGGAATGTTGTGAATTTCTTAAAATTGTTTTTTAGGCCTGGAAACTCATGGAATTTAAGTATGGGTCGTGGAAAGTCATGGAAATTATTGAATGTGATAATTTTGAGAATGACTCTCGTAAAAAACCTCATTATATGATTACATTTACTTGATTTTGGAAGCACTTTATTTTTTTAGGTTATGGGTAACATCTGTCATGGAAAATCAGGACTTGTTTTATTGACAACTCATGTAATTTTCCTTTCTGCTACTTAATAGTCATCTCAAGTTATTCAACAAGGATTTTTTTGTAATGTGAATTTGATTTTGTTAGAGAAAATGTGAGTTTCTGAAAAGTTTGAGAAAAAATAGTGGTAAAGGGTATCATGATTTGAGATTTCCATGCCTGTGTAAAATTGATTTCTGGGATTATTTTTGTGATTTTTCATTTTGTAATTGTTATTATTTGTAATGAATTAAGTGAGAACTGAAGTCATGTTATCTTGTGTTAGCTTAGGGAAAGCTCAAACTTTTTTTACCACTGAAGATAGAGTTCAACTTTTTTTTTGTATAAATTTAATAATATGACATTAAAATATGCTAGTAATGCCTTGAGTGTACATAAAAATAATGGTGCATTAGTTGTGCTTTGTGAGTTACTCATCATACTCTGAAAATTAGTTTGGGTGAATTGTTGGTAGAAAAAATGCAACATCAGGAAAAATTAAAAAAAAAAAAAAAAGTATGTAAGGTTGAATAGAGGTTGTGATCACGATGGTATTGTAACTGTCGTAATAGCTTAAGATCTTTGATTTCTTTAACTCCCAAAAGTGATTAACATGTTAGTTCTCCTTGGAATTCCAACAAGTTATCTTTGAAGAAGGTTATGAGAACAGACCAGCTTGTCAGCTTAAGGGAGAGTTTTTTGAAATAAGACCAAATTCTGCTGTCTTATTTAAAAGGAAAAGTATGGCAGTCGGCAGGGATAACTAATAATTTGATCATGGGAGTTAAAGAGGTTAAAGGCTATATATTGACTTGTGTAGGATTCGCAAAATGGGAAGTGTTGATCGATTTTTCGTCCGATGGAACAAAAATTGTAGAATATATGTAGAGGCTGATGGTTAGTGGAAGTCAGTAGAGTTTGGTAAGACCTCAAAGCAATTTTTGTTCTAATAATACAAATATAATAAAAGCGTTAACCCCCTATGTAAGGAAACATCATAACCATTAAACTGCTGCTATTATACAATGTAAAATTTGGTCCTGACTTTTCACTCCTATCAAGAAGTGGCAACGTGTGATTTCGAGATTGTTCAAGCCGTAATGTGCGAGTCATTAGCGTGCACCTGGCGAATTTTATGCAGACATTCTTCAATTCTTAGCCACCAACTTCCGCAGACCCGATTTATATCGCATCTAGAATTTATATGAAAAAAGAAATTTTTTTTGAAGTCAAAGTTCAACACCTCACTTACCTTCCTTGCTGTCTGTTTCCAGTTGAAGACAGCGTTCTCACTATTGCTGCACAGAATCTTTTCAATGTAGGTTATATTTTGGAATAATGAATTTGTCTGTCCTAGTCATCGAAAGCAGTGTTGCTAGCACCAACCAGATTGCAAAGGGTATGTTGCTCGCATCAATCAGATTCGTTAAATTCACTCCCACCAATCAGATTCGCTATAGCCTGCGTGCAGACCAGCGCAAGACGGGCTTTACTTTGCTCTTGGGAATATTCGGGGAGAGATTTACCGGGGGAACTGGGACCTCATTTTCAGTGCCACAACCCTCGTCATGTGTTCTACACTCAGTCCTATTACCATCACTTATCGATCGATTTCGGACACTACCGTCTGTTTCCCGATGCTGTCAGCCGATTTCGGACGCATCCGCCTGTGTTTGGATATTAGACTGCAAACGTGGCGAGTGTGGTGCGCGTGATCAACGCGCGTTACTCGTGTTGATCACGGGCTTTTGAAAAGAGGGAAGTCCTGGGTTCCATTTCAACTCGGTTGCTTTCCAATGTGGTTGAATGCCGAATTTTTCGACGGTACTTAAAAATAATGATTCCTCTTACCATAGTTTCGATGAGAAGAAGATTTTATTACATGAAGTACAAATTCCAGAAAGCAGGCCGTCTCTGGAAAGGGATTATCTTGGCATCTTTCGGAGTATTACTATGGATTTGGGGTGAGTGCTTGAAAAAATATCCTCAGAGATTAAATTGATCAAAAACTAAAACTGGAAAATCCTATTAAATTATGTTTACTAACTAGTTTTAGAGCAGTTTATGGGACTTTGTTTGGAACATCTTGAACTCGATGGATAAGATTCTGAAAGAAGGAATCTTTGCCTTTCATAACTCGACAACAGGTACCGTGCGGACTGATGCTAATTTCCGCAACCATATGACAGGCTGAAGAAGGAAATTCTCGTCATTTGAGCGTTTTCCTCAGTTATCGTGAGAAATAATTGGCTGTAACGACTAATACGTAACAACTAATGCAGAGTCAACTCATTTATTCTGTTGTTTAGTAAATTTAAAATTTAATGCGATCGTAAAATTGTTCATTCAGACTTAAAAGTTATTTAAAAGTAAAGTTGTTTCGAAATAACTAAGTTTAGGAAGTTGTTGTTTTGCATTAGGGAAAGAAATTGTCTAATTATTTTTCAAAGGTATTATCACCCTTTCCACTCCCTAAAGAAAATTAATCTAGTGTGATGGGAAATAAAACACTTCATGGACATGATAAACTCTGTACAAAGAATTAGAAGCGAGAGAAGTGTCAACTTAGTGATCTTGGGATGTGAAGGTTAGGTCTCTACTCTAGCCTGGTGGCCCATCCAGCAGTAGCTTTAACCCTTTACACCCTAACATCAGTACGCATATTCTCCATACTGTTTTCTTAACATTTCCTAAGGTGCTGACAAGGAGAATTTGTCTAATAATCAAGAGCTTCCTTAGTTGGTGATCAGTTCCTTTATTTTCCTGACCTTAATGTTTGATTCAGGGGTGATATGGTAAGGAGAAATTAGATGCCAGTCACTCTTAGGGGTTAAAAGGGTACATCCCAGTTTCCAAAGCATAGTAAAGCCACTTGAAGTCTAACTACTTCCCTCTGAATGGGATGCTAGTTTATTGCAAGGTTACCCCCCAACATTTCATTAACCTTCCCTGACAGTTCATTTGTACCAGGGCTAAAAATTGGCGGTCACACGGTCACCAGGGGCGATTTAAAACTGACTAGGGCCACCAAAAGTTAAGGTTTGAACACCCGATGTGCAACTATGCCACAGAATTTCTAAAAGTTGCAATGTAAATTATGGGAAGCACAAAGTTAAAAATAGAACTCAATATGTAACTTAATTGGACTACCTTTCTCTTTGTTTCTTTGCCTGGACTCTAAGATCATCCATTTTAGTGAATTTTTATTTCTGAAGTGGAAATTCTGAGCTGTTTTAACAGTGATTTCAAGAGTGATCCACATTCACAACATATATATGCCATTTTGATTTTGTGGTTGCCATGTGGCTCTGGGCTTTTGTGTTCTTTCCTTTTAATTAATGCTCCATTAAAAGCCATGGGGCATTTATTCAAGTTTTTCATTTTAAATTAGTGGAAATTGAGGGCAACTTCATTTTGGGATGGGCCACTAAGAATTCAAGGAAACTGGCCCAACTGGCCACCAAGCACTGGAGTTAATTTTTAGCTCTGTTGTACCCATTTATACTCCTGGGTGGAGAGAAGCACTGTGAGGGTAAAGTGTTTTTCTTAAGAACACAACACAATGACTTGGAAAAGGTCTTGAACCCAGACCTCTTGACCCAGAGTCCAGTGCACTGATCATTAGGTCACCACATTTTCCATGATCCTGGAGTGAGGCTGGTGTTAACCCTTTACCCCCTAACATCAGTATGCATATTCTCCATACTGTTCTCCATATATATCCAAAGAGGCTGACCAGGAGAATTTGTTTATCAATCAAGAGCTGCTTTAGTTGGTGATCATCTCCTCTACTCTCATAACTTTCATGTTTGATTCAGGGATGATATAGTAAGGAGAAATTAGATGCTAGTCACTCTTAGGGACTAAAGGGTTAAATCAGGATATGTTATAAGATTAAGAAAACACACCATTACATATACTAATTTAAATACTTACTGCTATTTTTGGTATTGACAGTGTGGAATTCATCCAAGTCACCATCCTCTTTTGATGAAACAATATCACCAGGGATGATATTTTCAAGCAAAGTACAACAATATATTTCACACTATTGTAACTTTCCCATGCAAACTTCTGGTAGGGAAGGATTGTTAAACTTGGAGAGTCATCTTAACCAACAACGCTTTCAACTAGAAATGACACAGGTACTTATTCGGCATGGAGACAGAGCCCCTGCCATATACGTCCCAAACACAGACAATAGCAACTATGATTTTGATTGTACATTCAAAACTTCTGATTACAACAACAAGAAAATGTTTGAAGAATATTCACAATCAACGAGACATATTTCCCCACGTGAATTTGTGAGAAATGTGAGAACAAGCTTTCACCTGGTACCAACACCAGGAAGCCGGTGTAAAATTGGTCAACTGACACAGAGAGGTTTTCTTCAGCATTTTGCTCTTGGAAAACACATGAGAACAGCTTACAAAACCTTAATAGATTCTGGTATTGAGTCTAGCAATCTCCATGTGCGATCAACCCAGGTAACAAGATGCGTACAAAGTGCAGCTGCCTTTCTTTATGGCTTGTTAACAAAGGATGCCATTATGAATGGTAAGCAATTATTTTTAAAAATCCTTCTTTACTCATTCATCCCCAAGATCTCTTAAGCAATTCTTCTCACTGTCTGCCATTCAATTCTTCTGATTTTAGTGTGGAGAATTTGGTATTGGATCCACTAATAATCTACTAATTGATATTTTTCTGTATTCTCATCACCTGTCTGCTTGATACTGTATTGATATTGTAAGGAGAAATTCTGTCTTGGTCTCTCTTGAGAGTTTAAGGGTTAAGCTATTATGGCCTTAACTTTACTTTTGACCATTGCTTTTTTGAGTGCCATCAAGCTTAAGACAGGTTTTACTGACGTAGTCGTGTAATTCACTTTAGACCTTGGAGGGCGTAGAGGGGTCTTTTCTTTTTTTCCATAGGGAGGGTTATGCTTTTAAAAGAAATGAGAGATTAGAGTTTACCTCTTGAGAGTCTGGATTCCTGAGAGTGGCACAACAAACACCATATAATTGTAGATTAATTATAAAAATAAATGATTCTTGTTTTAACATTACAGAAAGGATAACCATCAACATTACTTCAAACGGTTGGTTCCAAGAAGATGACAATGGAACTCCTTATAAGTGTCCATCATTGGGGAGTCGTTGGCATCAGTACAAACGGAGAAGTGACTACATCTCAGGCTCTGCTGCAATAGAACCAGTAATGCAGGAGTTTTCACGGCTGTTGAGGACTCCAAGGCCATCTCTAACAACTATTGGATTGTAAGAATTAGTCTCTCTAAAATATAGTTTTGTGTCCTTCAATGAGCATTTTTATAGCACACAGGATCTGAAGTTTACCCTTTCACTCCCAAGATATCTTTGGTAATTCTCCTTACTGTGTGCTATACAATTCTGGTGATGTTAGTTATGAGAAATTTGGTATTGGATCAATTAACAATCCTCTAATTGATGTTTCGTTATTCTCATCAGTTGTCTGCTTGATATTGTATTGATACTGCAAGGAGAAATTCTGTCCTGGTCACTCACTTGTAAAGAGCTTGACTTTCAGTCACTTGCTGTAGTGGGATCAGTCACTTTTTACTAAACAATGGAATGGCATAAAATTCATCCACTACGAGTACATCTTAAGTCAAGCCAACTGACCCACACAGCTTGAGATGGTCAGGCTTTAGGTTGGGGATGAGGATCTGGATGGGATTTGTCCAACACTAGTTCCCCCCCCCCCCCCCCACCTCCTCCTCAGCCTTGAACAATATGTACCCATTTATTCTTGACTAGTCTCCTGGGTGCTGTGTTAAAATTTTTATTGGGTATCTTTATTCTTTTCCTATGTGGGATCCCCTCCAAAAAATCATTTTAAAAAGGAGACTATTCCATATTGATGTCAATGTTGAGAGGGTACCACAGCCCCCTCTTCCCCTCCCTTCCCACACACACACACACATACTTTCCTTGAGAGAAACTCATGATTAGAACAACAAGCCTTCAGTGTTGTGGAATTACTGCGGCAAGGGTGCTTTTAGTCTGGAAAGTTGGCTCAGCTCCTTGCAAAAAACTTGCTTATCTCATAAGTTTTTACTTGTGGATATGCACTGCATAGGATTTAGTAATGGGGGGCTTCAATATACAAATTTCATGGCATAAGCATGGCCTTAGGAGTCTGAGGAGAGCATACATCATATCAACCCTTTAACTCCCATGAGTGACCAAGACAGAATTTCTCCTTACAATATCAATACAATATCAAGCAGACAAGTGATGAAATACAAAAAAAAATATAAATTAGGGGATTATTAGTAGACCCAATACCAAATTCTCCAAATTAATATCACAAGAACTGTATAGCAGACAAGAAGAATTAGTAATGAGATCTTAGGGGTTAAAGGGTTAAAGATGGTAGATCAGTAGTTTTAATATGGTGAATTGATCCTACTTGTTTCTTGGAATCACAGGATCATTGGCTTTACTCTATTCACTGAATTTTCTTATTATATTTTGCACAGTTCTTCCACAAATTCACCATAGTGTCACTTTGATTAAGTTTAGGAAACAAGATGCAAAATGTGTTTGATGCCCTGATCGTATAGAAATCTGCAACCTTTTGCTTAGTTCATTTTTAAATTCAAAATACTTTTTTTTATTATTGCAGTTTGACTGATGTAATATACACTCGTTACTGCCATAATCTTCCTCTCCCTTGTGGGCCTGGAGGTTGTGTGTCACCTTTGTTAGCAGCCCAGGCAATGGATTTTGCCACATGGGCTTTTACACAGAATTATACTGCAATAGCTGATGTGGCGTCTCATCCAATGTTGATCCAGATGGCAAAAAGAATGTTTGACAAGACTCGACAAAAATCTGCTTTTAAATTTGTACTGTACAGTGGTCATGACAGCACTGTTACGCCACTTCTGATAAATCTTGGAGTTCATGATGATACAAGATTGACTCCATATGCTACAGGTGTGGTATTTGAACTATGGAGGGACACTCTTGCAGACACCTCAGCACAAAAAGATTCTTCAGATGGTTTTTATTTCCGAGTTCTTGTTAACGGAGAGGTAGTCACCAACAAAATGAAATTTTGTGGTGATTCATTGCTCAAAGATGAACTTTGTCCTGTGAGGGAATTAATTTCATGGCTTTCTGATGGTGAAGGTTTTGAACAAATGGACAAGAAATACAAGTTACTTTGTTCAACAACTTGATTCTGGCCAATGTAAATATACATGTTCTTTTTATTTATTTATATCCACATCATTGTTGGCATTGTACTTTTTGGACAGTCTGGTAACAAATAAACATCTACAACCCTCTCCTGACAGATGATGTACATGGTTAGCTTAAAAGGTAAGTTTCCAGTACAACAGGTGACTGCAGAAGCACTATTACCCTCCCCACCCTTACCAAAAGTTTTTGTCAGGGTTTCTTTTGACAGTACTCCATCACCACTCTTTTAAGAATACAACAAATTGACCAATAACCTGCCAAGGGAATCAACTTGAACCACAGGAAGCCAAGTGGTCATTCTAAACTATAGTGTTATGCATTTATCAATTCAAAGCTTTAAAATCTCTACCCAAATCCCTACCCCCCCCCCCCAGCATTTGAACACTGCACCCCTCTAGGGAAAAAATTATTTACCAATGCCCCACCCAAATGTCGGATTTAATGGTCAGTTTTTTTTTCAGTTCCTCCACATTCTTTATAGGACATTCCCAGAAAAATTGAAACATTTTATTTTATTCCACTGAATTGTTGTTTTTACCAAGAGCCATACTGGAGACTAAGTAACACAAGAATTCTGAGGAAAGCTTTTTTTTTTTTCTTAAATCCTACATCTTTTTCTTAGTTTCAAATGCATTTACATTTCTCCATACAAAATATCTTGTGTAATAATGATATAGTGTAGATGTGGCTGCATATCAACCTTGAGCTATCTGTGCCTGAACCAACCATTCACAAGTCAAAAGTGGCTCTGTAGATGTTGGGTGTCATCTAGTTTTGTTGTGGATTGTGGATCCTTCATGAAAATTGTAATGATGTGGACAATTAAAAAAAAACAACAAAAAAACAAAAAAAAACAGGCCATACATTAACATTGTTACTTAAATCAATATGATTAATAGAAAGTAATTGTTTATTGCTTTAAAAATTCAAAACAACTCCTGTGTTCATATAAAATATCAGAAATGGAGATTCCAAAAGCTCTATCAGCTAAATTATGATTAAATGCCCTTGAAGAGTATTAATTGTGAGATAATTGAATTTTCATGCAGAAAAAATTCAATCTTCTTGTTATCGGAATCACTAAGTAACAAAAAACCTTAACAATAAAAAAATTCATGTAAAATGTTAATATCAACACTGCCTAGTAATCCCTTGCAATGGTAGTTGCGCCAAATTTGAAACTAAAGCAATAATTTCAATGATTATTACATAACCATTTCTTCTTAATTCTGTTAGTTCAACTTATTAATTTAAAAATATCCTTTATCTCTCCCTGTCTGGTAAAAATATACTGGTCTAATTTAAAGTCACTCTTTCAGCTTTTTAACAAGTTTTCCTATTATGAAACTATTACTAAGACTCAAAGAGCAAACTAACTGATAGAAAATTACTTGTTATATCCTTAATTCCCACAGGTGACCAAGAGAGAATTTCTCCTTACAATATCAATACAGTATCTCACAGACAAGTGATGAGAGAAAAGAAAAATATCACCAAGGGGATTGTTTGTTGATCCAAAACCAAATTCTCCAAATTAACATGTTGAGAATCGTATGACAAACTCTAAAGAGAATTACTAAGAGGTCTTGGAAATGAAAGAAATCTGGTATAAGCCAACACCTTGTTATACTGTTCAACATGCAGAACTTATAAATTTTATTAATTTGTAATAATTTGTCCTATTGAATTAATCTCGTGTGCAATCAAAGTCAAGCCAGACTTCAAAATGGAAAACAGCTTTTATTAAAAATTCACCAAAATAAAAATTGGGTATATTAAATGGTGCTAAAAACAGCACCAGAGCTGTAACAGTAAAACTGAATTGCTTGTAATTTCTTCTTGTGTTTTAAAAAGTTAATTGAAAACCACACTGTTAAATCAATTTAACCCTTTACCTTCCCAGAATTGATTAACGTAGAAATTCCTCTTTACAACATCCATATATTAAACAACAAACAAGTAATGAAAATACTCAAACTTGTAAGATAGAAGTTATTTTGATTTAAAACCAAATTCTCTGAACTAAGTTACAAGTAAAAATGTAGCTATTAGAGGAAAGAATTAACTATCAGATCTTGGGAGTCAAAGGGTTAAAGGCAAGCATGTTGCATTTAATGGGCTCCAAAAGCTGCTTGCTTAGCCTTGAAAGCTTGCTTTCTGGCTTTGGCCTCCTCTGCTTCCTTTTTTCTTTCTTCTTGTTCTTGGCGAATTTCAGCTTCAAACTTGTTTGATGCTGTTTGTTCTTTCACCTTGGCTTCGAAAAACTTAGCTGCACCCCCCACACCAACTTCATCCACATTGACCTCAGCAAGTCTAGCTAAGGCACTCAAACCCGAGTCTTCCAGAAGTTCACCAGCTGCAGCTTTGCGGAAGATCAAGAGAAACTGCAAAATGAACAAATAATTCCGTCATTACTGTAGCATCATATGTCTGATAGTTATTAAATGCTTTGAAAGGTTGAGAAAAACTTGAATGGCTCCTAGCTTTATATTGTTAACCCTTTAACTCCCAAGATCTGATTGTTAATTCTCCCCTCTAGTTACTACATGTTTCCTTGTAAATTAGTTCCGAGAAGTGAGTGAACATTATAAAGGGTTAAAAGACTAATCAAAGATTCTTCAAAGACCACAGTAGAAGTTATTGAAGTTTCAAAAATCCTCAAGAATCTTATGGAGATCTCTAAAAAAATTATTGGTGAGCAGCACTTACCTCCCTGAATGAGACTTTTCCATCATTATCTTCATCAATTTCTGCTATCATGGCTTTCAGTCCAACATGTGTTTGAGGAGCCCCTAATTTTTCCATCATCTGCTTCATTTCCATAAGATCCAGAAAGTGATCATTTTTTACATCATACCTGAAGTAAAAAAAAATTAATGATTAATACAACTTGACTATCATCTGGAAAAGAGCCCTGTCCTGCTCTCTTCTATAAAATGGAGAAGGACTGAGGGAGGAGGTCTGGACTTGCAGAAACAAAATTTAACCCTTCCACTTCTAGGGTAGAAAAAAAATTATTCTTAAAATATGTTTTTAATTTTCAAGCAAAAAGATTACAAGAAGAAAAGAAAAAATCAACTAGAGGATGTTGTTAAATTTTATACCCAATTCTTAGAGCTAAAAATGATAAGAAAACACATGTTATACAGTCAAGAGTAATGATGTTTAGATCTTGTAGGTGAAAGTTAGTTCTCCATTTTGTTTACTGTACATTCCTTGTTGGGAGAACCTGGAGTCATGTCAAAAAAACATCCTCCAATTAATATGATTCTCACTTCTCCCTACCTGATTGCTAGATAATGTAGTGATAATGAAAAGAGAAATAACAGTCACTCATGATTTCCAGGTGTACATCTTATCTAACTGCCACAAAAAAATTGCCAGACATATAGAAGCTCAAGATCACACAATTTCTACTGTTGTTATAATGATAATCAAAGTCCTTGAAGCAAAATCAAGTTTTTCCCCCTTCATTTTCCGTCTATTTCCTCATCTTCTTCTTCCTCTTCCTCTTCAAATACTCTCCACTTCTCGTCCTCATCTTTGCTATCACCCCTTAGTCAAGGAAAGAGAATGCCCCTCTAATTGTAGCCAAGCTAATGTTAATTAATTGTCAACTTCCTCTATAATCCTCTGGTCAGAATTCAATGTCGTTTAAAAGATCTCCTTCGGAATTGTATACCTAACAAATATGACTATGTAAGTTTGTCTCGAATTTAATCCCGGAACACAAATTGTTGAAGGAACTTGCAATTAAAACTGGGATCTGGTCTCCCGCTGCTCCAATATTCTGCGATTTTTACAACAAAATTAAAAACAGTTTTCAACGTTTTCAATAATTTTATTTGAATCATTTTTGAAAGGAAGTCATAACTTGATGTTCTCAGTCACAAAAGAAAAAAAATTTGCATACGACTTCCACCAAAACATAATTTTAAAAAATTAACCGGAGCAAGGCTAGATGCTCTTTTGGGTGAAACAAGGAGATATTGTTGCCTCAGAAATGTAAGAGCAGCAGATCGATATAATAAAGCAATTCTCTCAGAGAGGAATTAAATATTAGTTTCGAAACTAGGAAGTGCCTCATCGAGTACGTGTGACCTGTGAAATTAAAACCCCAAGTGCTATCAATTACGGATAAGATGGCACGGAATGAGAAAACAGAACAGTTACTATTCCCCCTGGGCTAACAGAGGCCAATCCTTATCGTAACTCTTCTTCTTTGTAAACAAGAGCTTTGTAAAATGAACCAACACTCACTTCTTGAACATCTTTTCGAAATCCTTAATCTGCTTCCTAGTAAATTCTTTGAACTCAGTGTAAGGATTGAAGACTTGTAGCTGCCGTCTTGGCGCGTCTTCGTCTTCATTCAAGGCCTGGCGACGGGCAAGCTTGTTGGCCAGTTCGTTTGTTTCCGACATGTTGTGTGCAAAATTCTGTTCCCTTCCTTCAAATTAAAACGGGAAAAATACACGAAGAAAGTACTACACACCCCCAGGTAAGTTCGTTCTTTGGAATGACTGCTCCTAATTCCAGCACATCCCTGAAAGGCTCTTTTGAAAGGTACCCGTTGATTGGACGGGAGCATTAAAAGGATATAAAACGATTTTTAATTGGCTGGTGAATATGTAATCGAAAGTAAAGTTTAGCTTCAATACACTTTCTTCTATGTGCAAACAATGATTTGCATACGCGACAAAAATATGTAATATTGTTTACTGAAGCGCTAAAACCCCAAACTAAATTTATTCCTTTTATGGCGTGTTTATAGCTCCAGGCAATTTCATTCGCGATTAATTCAAAACGATGTGCCACAAAGACCTACGCCTCAAATATTTTTTGACAAGAAAGTCACGCCTGCAATTTCACGTATGCTCGCTATAATTTAATATTTTTGTTGGAGAGTTGAATCGCACTTAATCAAAGGAAGTAGAAAAATAAAGTTAATATTCTATTAGGGATAGCCTTCCCCAAGTTCGCTAGTTCCGTTTTATTATTTCTTGTCCAAGTAATTGTAGTAAGCTCGTATTTTCCTGTCCCTCTTGAGATTTCAAAATAGCAATCACCATGAAAATTATTCAAACATTTGATTTCTTAAGAGCCATCCAAAGATTAGTTCGTCTAAGATGACGTCAAAACTGTCACTAAAGCCGTGGCCACAGTTTTTCTCGGAGCGTCTGTGCTTAGAAAAGCTTTGCATTTCACAATGTGCCATTTGATCTCTATATCTAGAAATAATATTCACACCTTTCTTGGGTATTTCACTGTCTCTCTCTTTAGTGAAACTCTGGCTAATGCAACTAAGAAACAAGACCAGCAAGTTATGACAATTATTTCCTTTATTTCACCAGTAACTGTTCATAACATTTAAGAGAATTCAGCATCTTCCTAAAAAATTTGTCATATTCAATTATTTGTAATGATTTGTTTTTCTCTATCAGACTATCTTATCAAAGCATGACTGGATTGCAATCGTTGTTGAAAAAAAAAACTATTATATAGCATTTTTTTGTAACATAACAAACAGTTTAAGATTAACAACTTTTTTTGGAACAGCAGGGCCCCAACTGTTAACCCTGTAGCTTAGCTGCAGGACCTGCTCGTGATTGTCAAAACATTCCTCCACCATGTGTTGCTTGAGCATTTAACACAATGGCATCATAACACAACCAGAACAGGAACAATTGCAAAACCAGGTACAGGATTAAAGTTGGAGAAAGCAGTTTTTCACATGGTAGCCTAAAATATAACTCTTTCAGAGAACATTACATACTGACACAATTATCACAGCTGAGTATTAGTGTAAATTAATACACCATTCAAAATTTAACGAACTAAACTTTAATGTGGTGAGAATCCATTTATGGGAATTTAATTTATGATTCCCCTTCCTTTGCAGCACACCCACAATCAGCCCCGGCCGCTGATGCAGATTCTGTTTCATCCTTCTTTGACTCATCAGATTTGATTCCTAGGACTTCAAGGATTTTTTCATTGGCAACATGGTCTCCTGGAGATGCCTGTTTGTGATCTAGAAGAACTTTCTCTCCACCTGCTGTCACTATCAGCATACCACCATTTTGCATGCCATCACCTTTCATGTTTCCTTTGATTCCCAATGAATTGGCCTACAACAGCACGAGGAAACAATAGGGTGTTTAAATAAAATCATTGTAAGCCCACAATGCTTCATTTGTAGGAAATAATATATAGATTTAGCCAAGCCTAAAAGCAGAGCTCACATTTTTTTTTCCCCCGCACAACTCAAGGGCACAACACCTTGCCCCAGCCAGGACTAGAACCTAGGTCGTCCAACTTGGAGCCCAGTGCACTGACCACTGCGTGCCTGCAGTACAGTTGACCACACATGTTAAAAGTAGCACCTTGTATGGTCATACGATTGTACATACAAATTTTTTCAGCTTGATGGGTTACTACTGTTTTGTATAATTATGGGGCTATGCTCTGCAAGTTCTGATATTAAGTGTGTGACAGTCAAAACTAAGTGGGTGACTTTCAGTTAACATTACAATTGGTATAAAGATATCCATAGTGGTGACATCAATCATACTGCCTTAGCAACTTCAGAAAGGGTGTAGTTATAGGAACTTTCTAAGCATTTGTTATCAGAGTTGACAAGACATTGAGACATAATGAATGACTTGAACTGTGACCATTAAAAATCAAAATCTGCATTTCCAACATGTTCAGCCTTGGACATATTCCTGAGTCTTCCTAGGGGGTTTGCCTCATTGAAATTTTGCTTGTAATTGTCCCCTTTTACCCATGGCAAGTTCTTGCCTAAATGAAATCTAATCACACTCACCAAAAAAAGGTTAGAATTTCAGCAGAATTATGTTCTCATTTTGATCATATTTTATCATTGGTCAAAAAGTTCTTGGAGGAGGCATGATGAATGAGAAATGGGGCCTGACACAAGGCTAATGTTGTAGCGTTCATATTCTCCTTTACACAAGTTGGTGTCTAGTTGCTTCCCTAATTATTTGATTTAATGCTCTAATTTGGTCACATTGCTAATTCCATGAATATTCGTTTAAGGAAAAAAACCTTTATTGAAGGCAAAATTGCAAGAGTAGAAAGGCCTACCAGCAAATCCCTATCATTTGATAGGGCAAACTCGCTTTGGAAAGGGCAAACTTCCTATGGGATGAAACCTCTCACAAATAGAGGAGTAAGATCTAAGCCCTTCATTAATTTTTTTTTGGTAATTTGTATTTAGTTGATTCATTCTTTGTTTTTTTCATACCTCATCGTAGATGTTTTTTTAAGCTTGCTGGTGTTCTTCTTTGCCAGCTGCATCTTCATGCATGTTTCTTATATTGCACATTATTTCACAGTCCTCTTGTTTTATCTTTTATGCATTATCACTTCTTGAGTCAGTTGACTTAAATTCATGTTTTTTGTTATTCTCTGTTTAGAAGTCTACAAGCTATTCAATTTTGCAGGTATATATCTGGTGTTATCAATGAAAGTATTTTTTTTTCCATTTCACTTCCTTTGTATTCATTTGTTGTTTGTAATTTGTTTACCTTAATTAGTTAACTCAACTCTTATTTATGTTTTTAGTTTCAACCTACTACTACTACTGCTGCTGTCTAAATAAAAAGTATTTTAAGTTAAAAAGATAACATTTTCGCTGTCACAAGAGATGACTATGGAGTATTGCCTTCCTGTACAGAATGCAAGTCATTACCCATATCACCCTGGCAGTTTGCTAGTAATCATTTGCACTCCTGGAATGGACACCATAAGATACAAATGTAATACCCACAAACACAATACAAGAACACTCTGGCCAGGGCCAGTGCCTGCTCTTTGATAAGTCAATAGTATAAGCCACCAGGTTCTAAGCTATTGCATCTCTCAAAAATTCAATATAACCAAAATTTGATTGAAAATATAGGGAACAAAAATGAAAAACAAAAACAGTATAAAAGAGCAATGCTTGCCTTGGATATTGAGAGTCGTGTCTCTTTAGCTGCCAATCCACCAAAAACATTGATAACATTATACCTACAAAAAAAATCAAACATAGTCCAAAAAGTTAAGTGAAAGCATTTAAGTCTAGCAATTTGATTATATTTATCTTTCATTCAACCTTAGGCCAGCATAAATGTGAAATAAGTAAGAGAATGGTGTTAAATAGAGGTGACCAGAATCAATGATGATGATGATAATGATGTTTGTCTTTCCCTAGCAAAGATGACCATTGCTTCATGTATCAGTGGGTGTTGCAAGTGCAAAGATGGCTGAAAAGTCCAATCTTAGTTCAAAACAGTCTGTCACAATGCAGACATGGGATCACCACAGGTGGGCCAGGTAGAGATGACAAGAATTACTTACCTCTTGAATCCCAAATCTTTGTAGATTTGTTGTTTAGCATCAATGTACAACTCTAAGGAAAGACCACATACTCCATTTTAGGCAATCATTTCAAAAACAATTTTTGTGTAAAAAGTCATTAACCTAATGGTCATCCTCATTTAACTAGTTTACTCCAACTATGGAACCCTGAAATGGAAATTTTATTTGTTCACTTGAAAAAAGTAACAAGGTGGGTTGCTGGCATTTGAGAGTGACAAAATTGCTGACAGAGATTTACAAAAATTAAATAAAGAAAGAAACACTAGACGAAAAGATAGCTCCACCTCACAGGGAACATTATATCCACATTGAGACATGTGAAATCTAGTTGAGCATATTTACATGAGCCTCTGACATGAAGTATTGGGTAACCACTATACCCACATGACACACACTAAATGAATCGTCATGTCTATTAAGCTTCACGCTTTTTTTGCGAAAAAACTGTAAAGATTCCATGTTGCTGTGCATCTGTTTGGTAATAGGTTACAGATGACATCAGAATGTGGAGAGAACAACAAAAAAAAAAGGCATGCAAAGAGCAGCTAAGTGTCATTGATGTTCTAACCAAAGTCTTCTATCTATTACTGAACAGACCCACTGCAATAAGGAGTCTATTTGTTTTATATGATAAAAAAGCAAAATGTTGTCAATGGTGACATCATTTATGCATCTGTCATGCAATAAATCATAAGTACGAATTAATAAAAATGCATGTATCATTCAGAAAGTTCAACAATTTTTTTTTTCCAAACCTCCAGTGAAAAACTTTTTTTCTACGAATTCTTCAAGACCTAATTCCTCAAGGCCCACACCGCACAGTCGTACATTGTGTGCATCAAGCTGTGATTTGACCGAACTAAGCTCAGTCGACCACAGCCTGCACAACTGTCACCCAAAGCGACGAAGAAAAACTACCACTGCAGTTTGCTTGGCCCATAAACTCTGCAGCTCAACCATCTGATCAGAAATAATAGTGAGTTCACATGATAAGTTAAAAGCTCTCAAGGAATTACAAAGAAAAAATAACAAAGAAAGTGTATGGACAGTTATTCTCAATTGATGGATTTAGGAAAGATGATGCCACCTGGGTAGTTCAAGATATCAAAGGTTGAAATACTGGTCATAAAGTCCATGCTATTTATAACTTTGTCATAGGTGAAAGATCTTCGTGGAAATTATAGGGGAAACATTAGATGGCCTGAAAATCTGTGAATTCAACCATTCTCTCAAATTGTCACCAAAGACAATAATTACTGTTCAAGTTTTCCATATTGACCCATAACACCCTCACCGATATTTCCATGTCAAATAAGGTTCCACACCCAGTTTTCATCTCTAACTCAATACCCAAAATCAGTCATTGTAGTGCAAATAATTGGAAAAAATTGCTTGAATCAAATCATTCAAATCAAATCAAAGACTTGGACAGTAAATATGTTGATTATGGGCCATATTCCGAAGAGCCAAGGAAATAAGCTGAAACTCACTCATGGACTCCTTGAATATTAGTACTGTAAGAGTTACGTAACAGAAGTAACTTTAAGAAAATTGAATGTTGCAGAAGGAAATGATTGCACATCTTAAAGAGAAAATGAAACTTGTAAAGGTTGACACCCTCACATTAGGCTGAGTTCAGAGCGTCGGAAAAGTACAAGTAATCTTTCGAAAAGCTTTTCAAAGAGACCTGTAGCTGTGCACAAAGTTTACGATTGTGAAGAAATTCGTTTCTAAAATGCTTTCACTAACTGTTAAAGCTCTTACCTCTCCAGTAGAGACACATTTTATGAGATTTTGAGCGATTTTACTCAAATCCATGGCGATTTGACACCAGAAAGCACAGTATAGATGCGTTCAAGATGAGAACATGCCGTAAACCTGTGCTGTCTTGTCCACAATGGTCACGTGATAAGAGATGGCCCGCCTTGCGTGATGTGACGAATCAACTTAGTTTCAACTTTTTGTAGTGGATTTTCTCTGTAGAAATACAGCCATGTTACACATGGACATAAACATTTTTCTATAAAATATTAACCTGTAAAGGTGGTCCTGTAAGAAAATGACGGGAGGAAAAGCAGAAAAACGCGTTTTTTTAGGGGGAGTTTGTGACGTTCATCCAGTCTCTGACAAGGTGACAAAATACATACACCCGACTTTTATTAGAAATTATGTGTACCGTATTTGTCATAGAGGGCGGATATAGTCAAGATCAACCATCTGTGAGAGGAATTAAAAGAAAAAAAATGCCACAACAATTGTTTGTCAGTTATATTTTTAAGTTCCCTCCTAAAAAAAAAACTTTTTTTGTACCTCTTTGTTTGGCTGAACAATGATGGTGTTGGGTACGGAGTTCTCAAAAAAATTTGGACAAGTTCTTGTTATTTACTTCCTTGACTTACGATCCTCATTTTTGTTATTTATCTCCTCATTGCTTATGGTCTTCAGGGGTCATTTTAATGTCCGGTGCACGTTTACGTGAGCCCAAATTGAATAACATCTGCATCTGAGCTTCCGGTTTGCTTACATTTGCATATTAAGGCAATGTACTGAAGGAGGAACACTTCCCTGAGAGCCACCGACGGCCTGATTTTATCAGGAAACCTAATCTGTGAGAGTCCAACTCCGAAGAAAAGTGAGACCAGTAGAGCACAAGTTTGTTCCTGAGAAGCACTGTATAAAATCACACCATCGTGTTTCTGGCTACTTCGTGCCGACGGCCATTTTAAATAACGCAAATTGAAAACGTCTTATGTTTTGCTTGAGAACAAGTGACAAATTTTCGGTCAGTAATCGTTGTCTTTGAGATCAGCACAACACCCGAGAATGTCCTCGACCAGAGACTATACCCGGGCTGAAATCAGCGATACAACAACAAACGTTCCTTTGCTAAGCGAAGATTCTTGGGAAGATGGACCCAGCGACCCAGTTTTGCTCATTAACGACACAGTCGAAGATCATCCCTCGGTTCGTTTCTCCGTCTCCTCGGCGGAAAATGGCTCAAATTTTAACTCCCCGTGCAAGCTTTCAAAGACCACAGCCCTTGTAGGGATCATTGCTGCGCTCATCGTGATTTGCATCGTGTTATCTGCGTTGCTGTCAAGACATAAACAAGAGGAGGTCGTGGTACCCTCACACCAGAGTACTGTGTGTGTTACCGAGGGTTGTATAGACGCAGCTTTTCACATGTTTCACGCACTAAACCGATCCGTTAAACCATGCGACGATTTTTACGAATATGCCTGCGGAGGTTGGTTGCAGAATCACCCAATTCCTGAGAGCAAATCTTTCTGGGGGATTTATTCAGCTTTGCAGGAAGACAATGAAAGGCTTCTACGCCAATTGTTAGCTACACCAACGAGGTCACCAACCATGAAGAAGGCCAAGACTTTTTACGATTCCTGTATGAACATGACATCAATCAACAAAATGGGGGCAAAGCCACTGCTTGATATAATTGATGACCTTGGTGGATGGAGCATAACGTCGCCAGATTGGAACAAAACAAAATTCGAGTTTAGCAAAACCCTAAAAATAGTTCAAAGGAAGTATTCAGTTTCCGCCTTTTTCGGCGTAGATGTTGATGCAGATGATAAAAATTCTTCAAAAAACATTATTAAGGTAAGCGTACTACCGATGTAATGTGTACATCAGTTTAATTGGGAAAGATATATTCCCGTGGTCATGGGACGCACCAACCTCAACCCAACCGCAACCTATCTGCGGTCATAAGAGAAAATCAAAATTATCAGTGACTATAACTTAGAACAGGATAGGTGAGGAAACTACGAACATCTGTTTGACTGAAAATGAGTTCATTTTCATATATCAAGAGTGCAAATTTGTGACACAAGTGCAAATTACAATTACTGTGTGCATTGTCAAAATTTGGTCTGTCTTGACTTTCTGTGATGCTTTTTTAATGTAAATTATTAATAAGTGTTAACATGATTTTACATGTAATTTGGTGTAAATAAGCTCTTAAAAATTATCTCATTGTTGTGCATTGTAAGTTTATGGTTATTATTATTTTTTTGAAGGTTGATCAAAATGGACTGGCATTATCTCGAACATACTACCTTAGCAACTTAACTGATCCGGTGGGTTTCATCTTTGGCATTGATTGTTACTAATTTACAAGGAAATCTGTAGCAGCTAGAGGGGAGAATGAACAATCAGATCTTGGGAGTTAAAGGATTGATGAACAGGAACAATTTTTAGCATTGATTAGGTGTAAAAGGAGAAGAAAAATGCTACTAAACAGCTTATCTAACTCTTAGATATTTTATATTTCATTCCACATGACAAGAGGTAGGTATTTCTCCGACTGCTTCTCACCAAGTTATTGGTCTCAAAATTTTAATGCAAAGTTCAAGCTAGATGGGTCCTGGGGTGCTTGTGACCCCCCTCTCCTTTGTAAGCCCTTTTTTTTTTAAATAAACAACCTACAATACTCAGGTAGCAAAAGCTGGTGAGTACCCCCTCTTTAAACAGTATGACCCTCCTTTCAAAAAATCCTGGCTATGCCCCTGAGGCTTCTGTCAGTGTACTGATGAGGCTATGGTTTTCTTTGTCCACAGAAACTGGTTGCCTACTTGAAGTATATGACTACTATTGGTGTTTTACTGGGAGGGGAGGAGAATGAAACAAGAAGGCAGATGCAAGAGGTTTTAGAGTTTGAAATTAAATTGGCAAAGGTTTGTCACTTAGAAAATGATCAATAGTAGGTATTGTTGATAGCATGTTTCCTTTTATTAACCATTAACCATTAACCCTTTAACTCTCATGAGCGACCAATACAGAATTTCTCCTTACAATATCAATACAATGTCAACCAGATAAGTGATGAGAATAAAGAAAAATATCAATTTGGGGATAATTAGTTGGTCCAATACTAAATTCTCTGAACTAACATTATGAGAATTGTATTGTTGATAGTAGGGAGAATTACAAATTTGACCTGGGAGTTAAAGGGTTAAACTGCCATGAGTGACAAAGACATAATTTTCTCCTTGCAATATCAATACAATATCAAGCAGAAGTTGATGATAATAAAGAAAAGATATCAACAGGGGTATTGTTAGTTGATCCAATACCAAATTCTCAGAACTTAAATCATTAGTATTGTATGACAGACAGTGAGGAGAATTACTAATGAGATCTTGGGAGTAAAAAGGTTAAGAATGCTACTTCAAATGGACTGATTGTAGCTTGAAGCACCAATGATAGAGGTTCCAGTTTTCCTAAACAGCACTTTTACTTTTTCAGCTCATTTACTCCTAGATCCCATTAATAATTCTCCCAGCTGCATGGTATACAATTCTTATCATATTAGCCTGGAAAACCAACTGATAATTCTCTAATTTATATTTTCCTTTACTTTCATCTTTTGTCTGCTTGATGTTGTATTGGTATTGTGAGGAGAAATTCTGTCTTGGTCACTCATGGAAGTTGAAGGGTTTAACATGAACAATAATGGTTCATTTTACAATTGTGTGCTTGATTGCCAAGCCTTTTAAAAGAAGTGAGGCTAAGGGTGACCTTGTTTTGATACAAACCTTGCTGCTTTTCAAATGTAAATTACTCTGTTACCATGCAAACTAGGTACTGGTCTCTATCACAACAAGGTCACCTTCAGCCTCATTCCAAATCAAAGGCTTGGCAACTAAGTACACAACTGTAAAATGGCCTTTTGTTGAACCATTCCATGCCTCAAAGAGAACAATTTTTTTTTTGTCATGATATCAATACATTGTCAAGTAGAAACATAATGAGAACAAAAAGGAACATTAGCAAGGGGATTTTACTTGATTCTACACCAAATTCTCATGGTAAATGTTTCTAGAAATGTAAGAAAGACAGTAGAGAGAACTTGAATTTAGATCCTCTTAGAGAAAGGTTTAATAGATTTAGAGTGATCAACGCATGAAGTCATTATTTTTATGGAACAAATTGTTACAATAGCAGCAGAAAAAGAAACCTTTTTTTGTGTTAACCCTGAACTCTCAGAAGTGATTAACATGTAACCTCTCCTTATCATAACCATACATTATCCAGCAAGTAGGTAATGAGATTATTCAAACTTATCAGGTAAAAGCTGTTTTCTTAACATCAAATTCTTGTAACTAATTAATAAGGGAACGTGTATTAACTAAAGGGAGAACCTGTTTATCAGTGAGTAACAATCAACATGAAAAATTTTTTCAAAGTTCAAAAAAACGTTTTTCATGTGGTTGATAGTCATCTTTGATAACTTTAATATACTGACTATTTTCATTTAAAATAAATTCTAGGTTGATAGTCATCTTTGATAACTTTAATATACTTATTATTTTCATTTAAACACCTTTGTTTTCAGATTTTTGTGCCTCATGAAAACAGAAGCCAGATTGACGAGATTTACAACAAAACAAATATCAAGAACCTCACAGAGCTTTGTCCGCAGGTAAGGGAATTATATGGAAGAATATGGGATTATTACAGGATTGATTTGAAACATTTTGATCTTCTCAATTGTCTTGTCTAGTGCAAGACAAGTCTTAATGCCATGACAAAAGATATTCATGATACAAAAAAAAAAATTAAGCCAGATGAATTTGGCACTATGAGTAAAATTATGGGGTAAAAGATTGTCAGTGGTAAGTCTGCTCTCAAGCCTGACAGCCTATACCCATCAGCCAATTAAAGCTTTCTCTTGTATCAGTGTCAAGAAGTGGCCAGGAGTATTGCTGTTCTTTCTAAGACAGTTGCCAGTGAACTTATTTATACTTCTTAGTGGGGAGAGGCACTATGAAATTTTATTATCCAAATGCACCAAGTAGAGTGCAAATAACATGTAAATCAAGTACAAAGATCATGCATTGTTTGAAATGGTGGTTATTTGTACTGTAAAAAAAATAATTGTGTAACCAGTTGGCTAAGCATGCTATGCCTCTCTATCTGCTTTACTTTCTACACCTAATAAACAATGTGCAGAAAATAATTAAAAGCAGCTGGAAAATAAATAACTTATGTGATGTTTTGGTCTTTCATATCGCTGAGCAATTTTACTCGTTGTTTTTATTTTGACTAGCCCTGCAGGTTCATCAAAATGCAGCACAGGTTATAAAAATTATTCTACACACTAAAACTTCTAATAAGATATATTAACTGTCTTGCCTATGAACAGACAAGGACCTGACAAAAGTTCAAAGTTAACCTCATAACTCATAGTCCAGTGCAAATTGTGTACTTTGGCCTTGAAGGGAAGCAAACATTTTCACAATTCTATTGCAGTTATACTCAGGCTCCTGGTTTTTATACCCAAAAATAATTGGCTTTGGATCACTCCAACAAGAGATTCTTTGCAGATCTCTATTAATATTGTTGCAGACTGAGGTTTATCTATGTTGTCGGAGCAAGGGGGGAGGGGTTTCCTTTTAATTTTTAACCTGATCTTATCAATATTTTTTTGATTAGTGGAAATATTGTCAGAGCACAGTCTTGCCAACAATAGAAATAGAAATTTATTTTTAGTTTCAAAATCAAATTGTATAAGGAAATCCTTTACATGGACTATAGTGGCTCCCCTGAGCTACTTAATGCCTCTCTATTTGTGGTTTCTTCTCATAATAAGCACATGTTTGATGAGATTGAGCTTGATATCATAAATTATCAATACCAAAGTATGAGTTATCTGCCAGTGCTGAAGGCTGAGACAGATGACACAGACACAAAGGTTGATAATTCATGATATCACTATATCAAAACCAAATTCAGTGATTGTTTATTGTACATTTTTTTAAACAATCTGCTAAAAGAGACAATTTTCTCTGAGTTTGCCAAAGTTTTAAAATGCTACCTGCACAACAGGCTTGGAAAAAAGGCAGACTGGTTGAACTTGACATGATAATCCAATATCTGCTGTAGGCATGGGTTATCATGTAAATGTCTATTGTATTTGGCCTGTATCAGCTCTTAACCAATGAGAGTTTTTATTGTGAGTCTGATGTACAATATGATCTGTCTTTAAATGTATGTGAGGCAAAATTATTAAACCAGAACAGAAACCAAAGAAGCACACAGTAAGAGGCTTCTGGTTAACCATTATAGGAACAACAGCAATAATCTTACATGTACCTGGATTCTAACATGATATTATTTTCATCTTTTAAGATCAGCTGGCTTGATTTCTTCAAGAATCATTTCAAAGACATTCCTGACATTAAAAATGAGGAAGAGGTTGTGGTGTATGCCACACGATATCTTGCGGCTTTGTCACCAGTGATAAAGAATGCATCAGACATGTGAGTATTATTATATCTCTTTTAATCTCCTGTTTTATCATTCTTTTACTCCTGGTATTAAAATATCAATTCTATGGTCTGTTTGTCCAACAATTCTTTAACTTTGAGCCCTGAGAATTTAAAATAATATAGAATATAAAATCAAACAGTTTCAGTATCGTCACCTTTTGCTTTAAAATTGAATTCATTAGGTTTTGTATGGAGAATTTCCAAATGGGAGTAAAAACTTAAAATTGAATTATACTGCATTTTGTGTTGTAGTTTTGAGTGTAGGTATTTTGAAGCTCATTCAAGGAAATATTTTTACTGACAAAAAAATTTCCCCAGGTTGCTGAATAATTACTTGGTGTGGCAAGTTGTTCATTCATTTGCACCCTTGCTATCAGAGAAATTCCGTGATGCTCATGAAGATCTGATCAAAGTATTAACAGGCTCCACAAGATCGGAAGACTTGTGGAAGAAGTGCATGGCAAACACGGATGGAGCCATAGGGATGGCTTTGGGAAAGCTATTTGTGGATAAGGTCTTTGATGAAACCAGCAAACAACAGGTACACAGTTACACATTAGCTGTTTTTGTGAGTAATAATATACATGAAAAAAATTACAGCCTCTGATTGGCTGAAAACAAGTGCATTTTTTTATGTAACATGAGTGTAAAGCTGTAACACAAGTGCAAACTACAGATAGTGCACCTGCTGCCAAAATTTTGTAGGTCTTGACTTTCTGAGATGCATTTTTCATGTAAATTATTAGCAAGTAACCACATAATTTGGCATGTAGTTTGGTGTAAATAGGCACTTATAAATTTTTCAAATCTCACTCTTTGTTGTCTTTGAAAAATAATACTTATTAACACCAAATTGCATTCCAAATCATGTTATCACCTGTAAAAATAGATCTGACCTCAGAATTGAGATAGTTTATCCAATGGATAATTTTTTTGGCATAATTATAGCAGGTGACGCATATTGTTCAACTACTACTTTTATTAAATAACTTACCCTGTTTATTGCATAAAAAGCTACCTAAGCCTGTATTCTGTGCACTCCTTCAAGTAAACGCTGTCTGAGTATTGTTTGTTTGACCAACTTGTATCAACTCCACTTACAGTTTTATCCATGAGGATAAAGTTGTCAGTTCACTTTGTATTCCCCTCATGAAGAACTTAACTACTGTGTACTATCAGGCTAGGCCTCTATTACAGCACCTTTTTATGTAAGAGCTATCTGCAAGTGCTGCCTGTTTGACTCACTTTTACTGACTCTAATTCTAGTGTTATCCATGAGGATAAAATAGGCCATTTTACAGTGGTGTGCTTAGTTGCCAAGCCTTTGATTTAGAGTGAGGCTGAAGGTGACCTTATTGTGATAGAGACCAGTATCTAGTTAGAACAATAACAAAGTAATTTATATTTGAAAAGCAGCAATGTTTGTATCATAACAAGGTCACCCTCATAGCCTCACACCTGTTGAAAGGCTTGGCAACCAATCATGCAATTGTAAAATAGACTATTGTCACCTCATGCTCTGTTCTCCTTGTAGGGGACTGTAGTGTACCTCAACCCTTGAAACCCTGAGAATGACCAGCATCTAATTTCTCCTTACAATATCCCCCCCAAAATCACACATAAAGGTCACGAGAAAAAAGGAAATGATCACCAATGGTAGAAGCTCTAGATTGTTAAACAAGTTCTCCTTGCCATCACCTTAGGAATTGTATTGAGAACAGTATGGAGAATATGCATACTGATGTTTGGGTGTAAAGGGTTAATTTATTAAAGTTGGATCCTTAGCAGCTATTACAGTCTTAAGTTCATGCTTACATATGTCTGTTTCAAATTGATGGCAGGCCACTGAGATGGTTGATGCTGTGCGTAATGCATTTAAGAAAGGTCTTCCATCTCTTGAGTGGATGGATGAAAAGACACGCAAGGCAGCAGAAGACAAGGTATCTAGCTGTTAACAAAGTAATTTGTAACAGTAGTTAACAAAGTAAAATCTGTTAGCTGTTAACAGAGAATTTCTCCTCACAGTATAACCCCTGAATCAAGCTCTAACAAAGTGCTAACACTTGAAATGTCTGCTTTGAAACTCTTTACAATGGCCACTTTTCATTATCAACTCAGTTGATAATACTAAGTAACCTTGTTATACTCTCTCACTGATGCAGCACCACAGCTTCTCTAGAAACCTACCCCTTTTACTAATTTAGTATTATCAACTGAGTTGACAACATCAACTGGCCACTGTAAAGAGTTTCAAAGCTGACTTTTCAAGCAACAGCCCTTTGTTATTTTGTTCTGACTAAGGGCTAATGCTCAAGATCCATTTTTTGGGAGGAAAAAATAAGAGTTTTGGAAACAAAAGTTGTAAAATTTGCCACATGACACTTCATATCTTACATCTTCCTGCAATTTGATTGGTTACTTTAAACAAACCTTGAAGTCTGATTGGTTGTTTTGTTTTTAGTGTAGCCTCCTCATTGGCTGGGGAAAAGATGCAATTTAAAGCAAAGAATGGTGCGATTTGTGAGTAAATCGCACCAATTAGAGCCAATCAGATTACAGGGACCACCAGTGATTTCAAAATGGGTGTAATAAATCATTGAAAGTCCAAGATTTATTACTTATTACAATGATTTTAAAAACTGCACTTGATATTTTTACTGGTCAAGAAACAAAAGTTGGAGTCAGCTTGTTGGAAGCAAAACAGAAGAATCAAAGTGTTTTTTCTTTAATACTTATAGGCAGATGCAGTGGTAGACATGATTGGATTTCCAGACTACTTCAAAGATCCACAAAAACTTGAAGAGAAGTACAAGGGGGTGAGTAGAAGCAGTTGGGTACAACTTTACTGCTACTGAACACCATAAATTTGAAAAACAGTACTCACATGTAACAATGATGTAGGTCAGTAGGTCTTTTTACAGGGGAGTACTTAGTTGCCAATCCTTTGATTTAGAGTGAGGCTGAAGGTGACCAGTATCTATTTAGCAACTGATAACAAAGTAATTTACATTTGAAAGTGACAATGTTTGTATCATTGATAACAAGGTCACCCTTAGCTTCACTCCTGTTCAAAGGCTTGTCAACCTGGCATGCAACTGTAAAATGGACTATCCTGCATGTAAGCTGTCTTCCTTGAGCTACACTGGAGCAAATTAATGCATGAAAGACTGGGGGGTGGGAGGGGGGGAAGGGTTGTACTGTATCACAATCCTGGGCACAGGCTCTCATTTCATTCTGGGCACAGGGTTCTTTTGCACTTAAATTCTGGGCACTGGGATTTGGTTTTGAGAAATTTTGGCTGAAAGATTCCTGTATACCCAAGTTTATGTACCTTAAATTGTTGTTGATGATGTAAATGGGCAATCTACAATTTGGTTTCAGGGTACTTGTATACCCAAAACTTTGGTGTAGGATATGTGACAGTGTAATCCCTAAGCTAAATGTTGAAAAAGAGAAGTCTCTTAACCCTTTAACCCCTAAGAGTGACTAGCATATAATTTCTCCTTACAGTATCAGCACTGAATCACACATTAATGTTATGAGAATAAAGGAAATGATCACCAATTAAAGAAACTCTTGATTGTTAGACAAATTCTCCTTGTCAGCACCTTAGTAAAAGTACAGAGAACAGTGGGGAGAATATGAATGCTGATGTTAGCATGTGAAGGGTTAATGGCTAGTAATTTCTAGGTCCCTTTTGTTTGAAAATTATAATTTGGTTGATGCATCTGAGGAGGCTGTTGATATGAACAGTATTGAATTTTCTTTCTGATTGGACATCATTAAAGTAGGTAGATTGACTTTGATGTTTGCCCTTTTTTTGTATATTCATTCCCTCAAATACATTTTGTATTACATATTTCATTAACCTGTTATTGAAAATTTGCAATAATATGAACAATTTTCTTCATTTTCAGCTTAATTTCGACCCCAAGAATTACTTTCAGAACATGCGCAATTCCGATGACTTCCATCTGTCCAAGACCCTGCATATGCTTCGAAAGCCTGTTGACAAACATAAGTATGTTTATTGTATGTGTGAATACCTCATACTTATTAGTTGTGGGTGACTTAGAAAATTCTCAATGCATTATAGGGGGAAATATTTGAAAAAAAGATTTTAATATTAGTGGTTGGTTATTGATTTCCATACACATGAGGGGGTGTGTGTGCACAAAACAGTGAACCTACACTCCCAGTTGTTAGTTGGGACATTTTTCCAGAACAATGCCTATTATGTTCTTTCACCCCTCCCCCCTTCCCAAATTGTTAAATAATTCTGTGTCCATGCCATCTTGTACATGTACACCAACACTGAGAGGGTCAGGGAAGGCTGTATTAGTGTTCCAAAAAAATATACCCCAGGGTGTAGTTCCCTCCTTTTTTTTTTTTTTTTTTCCTCTTGTGATTTACTCCATTTTATTTATTCTCTTAACCTTTATTCCTAGTTTATTACATGTTTAAATTGATACTCTTCATGATTAATGACTATAAACTGTACACTATGAGCCCTTCATCTTGGCCTCCTTGGATAGCGCATGTGAAAGGAACCAATTATTGAAACAAATGTCTGAGCAAGGAGGTCCAGTTTGGTTGGTGTACCCTTTGTTTGTTGGGCTGTCATGGTCTGAGTGGGAGAAATTGTAGAGAAATTGGCAATTATGAAGCAACTTGAAAATCTGTTATGAATCTTATGATCAATTCATTTAGTCATATCAATTTAATTTTTTCTTTTGAATCTCATCTGTAATAGGTGGTATATGACTCCACAAACTGTAAATGCTTACTATAGTCCATCCAGGAACCAGATTGGTAAGTTTATTCCTTCAGTCAGTTGCCCAGAGAAAACACAGTCATACTCCACTGCTTGTTATTACTATTATTATCATTATGTACACCATTGACCTTCAGCCTTCCCGTTGTCTTCATTATCATTATCATTAACAAAAACATTAGCATTATCAAAGCTCTCAAGTTGATTTACTGGTGAAGAGTGAAATGGGCATCAATGCTCTAGGGAGGTCTAAGGGTATTTCCCCTTTCCCCCTCCTGAAAATTGTGAACAACTGAAGTAGCCAAGATGTGCATTCTTTATTATGAGCAAGAATTTCCACTGTTGGAAGGTGTTTGAATGGAGTATAAGAGGAATAAGGAGCAAATTATATTTAATAGGATAATTAATTTTCTAGCTGCTTCACCACAGCAGCAATTTGCCTTCTCAAAATCAACAGGTGAAATCAGAAACCTTAATTGTGCACGAAACAATAGTTTCAGCATGAAAGCATAAGACTGAATTTATTTGAGTGAGTCTTGAGAGCTCTGCAGTATTGTAATGTCAGTCACTCTCCTAATTATTAGAGCTATTGTTACTACAATTCTACTGCATTGATGAAAGCAATCTTTATATTTGTCTATAAAATTTTATTATTACATGCAAATGTGGAGTGAAAAGTAATTGGTGAGTCATAGGAATTTGAGAGGTGATTGACTGGTTATCATCATTTGTTACCTTGCAGTATTCCCAGCAGGAATTTTGCAAGCTCCATATTACAACAGGAAATTCCCAAAGTAAGTTTAATTTTACTGTATTTATTACAATGATTCAAACAGTTGTAATTGTTATTGATAATTAACCCTTTAACTCTCAGAGGTGATTCACATGTAATTTCTCCCTACAAAATCCCTACACTATAACAGGAAATTCCCAAAGTAAGTTATCACAATGCTAGCAAAATTGTAATTGTTAACATCAGTATCCATATTCTCTGTACTCTTCTTTATACTTTTCCTTTATTACTGACAAGGAGAATTAATTTAACCCTTTAACTCCCAAGATCTGATTGCTAATTCTCCCCTCTAGCTGCTACACATTTCCTTGTAAATTAGTTATGAGAACTTGGTGCTAGATCAAGATATCAGCTTGTACCTGATAAGTTTGAATATTCTTATTACCTGTTTGCTGAATAATGTATGGATATTATAGGGAGAAGTTTCATGTTAATCAAAGTTCCATAATATGAAAATAATTTCTTTTATTCTCATGATCTTAATGAATGATTCAGCAGTATTACTGTAAGGAGAAATTAAAGGCTGATCACTCTTAGAGTTTAAAGGGCTAAGGGATCACAATTTTATAATCAGGTATTTTATTAACTCTTGATGGTTATTTTGATATCAATTTTATATTTTCAGTTGAAAATATGTCTTCCTTATGTTTAAAATGCATTTTTTTTCTCCTTTTTGTTCAATTCCTTACAGGGTCGTCAACTTTGGAGAAATTGGAGCTGTGGTGGGCCATGAACTTACTCATGCCTTTGACAATTCAGGTAAAATGTGTTTGTCTACAAAAATTCTCTACAGGAATTTCTACACACAATTGCTTTGATTTGCAGTTGGTTTTTAGTGGTATGCAGAGCATTGAAACTTATCTGTGAGACAGAACTCTTCACCACCTCCTTCCTCCTGAGAAATTCTGCGGTGATGAGATCATGCTCTAATCATCAAAAAATGAAATGAAATGAAACTGATTTTTAAGATCAAAAACAACATTTTGCCAACATTAGATTAGCTAATGAAAAGTTACCTAAAAGTCCTATGATGAAATGTTGGACAATCTCTGCTTTTTCTAAGTTTTAAGGAAATGTATGCTAACAAGGAACATTATCTGACTCATTTCTTTTTTGATTTCAGTGTAGAATAATGTGAAGAATTCTCCCCTCAGCTTATTTTTCAATTTGTTTACAAAGGTCGCATGTATGATAAGTATGGAAATTATGGAACCCTGTGGTGGACTCAAAAATCTGTGGAACAGTATGAGAAGAGAAGTGCATGTATGATAGACCAGTATTCACAATTTTCTTACTTTAACAAAAAAGTAAGTGGAATGTTTTTCTTGCTCTTAGCCAATAGCTATCATGTAGGATTGGAGTCACATTAATGTTTTTTGTTGAAAGGTTATTGATGTACAGATGGCTGGACAAACACAGACTCACTGAACAAATTACTGAATGACTGATGGTCTGAATCACTGACCAACTGACTGACTGACTAACTGACCCACTGATTGATTGACTGACTGATCAAGGGATTGATTGAGCGACTGATAGACCAACTCTTTTTATTGTAAAGTAAAGGAAGAAATTGTTGATTGCAAAGCTCTGTATCTATAGCTTAAGTATAAATCAAAGAACTTAAAATAATTTGTTACTGTTAGAAAAAAATTGGATATGTAGCTATATATAATCTTGGGCTATATGAACCCTTTAACTCCCAAGATCTGATAGTCAATTCTCCCCTCCAGCTGTTACATATTTTCTTTTAAATTAGTTACAAGAATTTGGTGTTAGATCAAGACTACAACTTCTACATGATGTGTTTGAGTATTCTCCTTACCTGTTTGCTGGATAATGTATGGATGTTGCAGGGAGATGTTAGATGTTAATCACTTCTGAGAGTTAAAGGGTTAAATCAAGCACCTGTAATTGTTTCTTTGTGATTTTTTTCTCTCCCATCAGGTGAAAGGCAAAGTTACCCTGGGAGAAAACATAGCTGATAATGGAGGCTTAAAGTCTGCTTACAATGTCAGTATTCATCATCTTAAAATTCATTCTGTTACATAATGGAATTTTCTTTAGAACAAAATTATTTATCTTGGCTATTGTTTCTTATGGGCTGTACAACAACAGAGAGGGGTAGGAGAAACTTAAGTCCCCCCTCCCTCGCTAATCGAAATTTAGGAGGCTTGGCCCCCATGTTTTTGTGTAGAAATTATTTCAAATGCAGAAATTTGGAATAATCAATTTGCTCCAGAAAATCTTCAGTCTCATGAGCCTCTCATATATCTTTTCATCAGGATGAACCTAGTAAAATAATTAATGAAAGGAAATTTTTTTGGACAATTGTCCTCTCATACACTGTCAAAAATCAGGTACAGATAACTAGACTGTTAGAATTGCAAAGAGGTTTGCTTCTACCAAATCTCCAAACAAACTACACAAAGGACATTGAAGGAAAGGTTGAGTTAGGGAGAGCAGTTGGCTTGGCATATGATGTGTCCATCCAATCACAACTAGGTTTCACAACACTTTTCTGCCTCTATCTGTTGCCTGAAATGCCAATGATTGATAGAGCTAGCAGTGCACTGAGTCTATCGTTCTTATCCAGACTTCTACTCATCCATGTACACCCTAACATTAGTATGCAAGTTCTCTATACTGTTCTCTATACATTTCATGTTACTTCCAAGGAGAATTCATCTATTAATCAAGAGCTTTTTGAGTTTGCAATCCCTTCCTTCATTCTCATGACCTTGATATTTAATTCAGGGGTGATACTATTGAAAGAAATTACAGTTCTCAATTGCTGTGCTATGCTTGAACTAAGGAATAAAGGCAGGTTGTTATCATTCAGATCAATAAAAATTACCTGTAGTAAATAATATACTCATTTTCTTTGTTTATTAGGCTTATAAGGAGTGGGAAAAGAAAGAAGGAGTAGAACCTCCCCTTCCTCTCCTAAACATGACGGCAGATCAAACATTCTTCACTGCATTTGCACAGGTACATTGTAAATTGCTGTTGATAGAACTTGTCGTTGCTAAATTTTTAGATTTTTAGCCCTTTACATCTTAACATCAGTTTGTATATTCTCTATACTGTTCTCTGTGTGTTTCCTTTCAAACTGGGAAGGAGTATTTGTTTAAAAGTCACAATTAAGTTTTTATTGAGCGATTGTTGCAATTTAATGGTTCACTCAGTGATAATACTTTGAGGAGAAATTAGATGCTAGTCACTAACTTAAAGGTTAAAAAGTGAAAGAAATATTTCATATGTGACTTGGAGCTTTATTTTTCACAGAGCTGGTGTGCAAACATAAGAGAGCAGGTTGCGATTGTCAGGCTTGATTCTGACTCCCACTCACCTGATAAATTCAGGTATGAATTTAAAGCAAAATTCTTCAATCTTTTTACACTGCAGTTTCTGAAGTCTTGAACACATGAAATCATCCCCATTCGTTTCACTTTTTTAGACATCACTAGTACATTAAGCTCTCTGCTATTATCTCTTTCACTCCCAGTATCTCATTAGCAATCCTCCTTACTGTCTGCCGTATAACTCTCATGTTGGTTGAAAGAATTTGGTATTGGATCAACTAATGATGCCCTAATTTATATTTTTTTTCTCGATTCTCATTACTTGTCTGCTTGATATTGTATTATTATAGTAAGGAGAAATTCTGTCTTGGTCACCCATGGGAGTAAGAGGGTTAAAAAGCACACATTAAACTTTGATTTTGTTCTTTCAGGGTCCTGGGTTCACTGTCTAACTCAGAAGATTTTGCTGCAGCCTTCAAATGTGATCTTGGAAGCAAAATGAACCCTAAGAAAAAATGTCACATTTGGTAGAGAAACTAATTCTCTTGAACCTACCTTAACCTTTTTCACTATAACGTCAGTATGTATATTCTCCATACTGTTCTTTATGCATTTCTTCAGGTGCTGACAAGGAGAATTTGTTTGGCAATCAAAGGCTTCTATAATTGGTGATCATTTCCTTTATTTTTTGTGGCCTTTATATTTAACTTGGTGGGTGATATTGCAAGGCGATATTAGATGATAACCACTCTCAAGGATTAAAGGATTAACAGAGAATTTCTTAAATATTGGAGTTGCGGTAAATTCTATTGACCCTTTAACTCCAAGATCTCATTAGTAATTCTCCTTACTGTCTGTCATATAGTTCTTTTGATGTTAGTTTGGAGAATTTGGTATTAGATCAACTAATAATCCCCTGGTTAATATTTTTCTTTATTCTCATCACTTGTCTGCTTGATATTGTATCAATATTGTGAGGAGAAATTTTGTCTTGGTCACTCATGGGAGTTAAAGGGTTAAAAAAAGGTTACCATTTTCTGGCAGACTACCGATTCCAACCACTCCTTTAAACTTTTTTATTTATTCAGTTTCAGTTCAATCAAATTTCATTCAATTTTCAGTGTTAATTTCATTCAATTTTCAGTGTTAATTTCATTTAATTTCAAGTGTTAAATACCTTAACCAAGGTTTTTTCAGAAGTCCTGCCAATGACTTAAAATGTTGTGATGATAACTTATTTAAATTATTCATAGTAACTACTAGAAGTACTATTAGAGTTATTTTCAGTGTGGAAGAAGTTTTGACATTTGCTCATTGTCAGAGCAAAGGAAAATGTAATTGTAATTATATGTACCAAGTAGGTAGTGTTTATTTAATTTTAAAATACCCATTTATGTGGGTAGAGTTTCCCTAGACATAACCTCATGTTCATGAGGATGATGTGAGAAGAGAAAGGCATATTGATTATTTTGGTCAATAAAGGTACAGCTGTCTTGTACAGAAGAGGAGTTTTGGTAAAATATTTCTTTTGTGTTGTTTTGTTTTTTATTTTCATTTTGATTAGGAAAATAGGGCGATGAGAAAATGTAATAACACAAAAGAGATGTAATGCTATAGTAGGGTCAAATTTTATCATTAATATTTTGTAAATTTTTTTTTGAAGTTCTCAAGTTTATTTTCTGGCAAAGAGTAAGATGCCACATGCACCACTCACCTGGGGGGTATGGGGGCATGCTTACACAGAAAATTGTGAAAAAAATGAAGCAGCTAAGACATGCAGCAAGAATTTCCACTGTTGGAAAGTGTTTAAGGCGAGTACAAAAGTAAAGAGGGGTGAATTACATTTAGAAGGATAATCATGTTAAACTTTATAAGTACTTAACTGAATCAGCAGTTTGCCATCTCAAAATCAACAGTTTAAACCAGAAACCTATGATGATAGTTTCAATGTGCAAGTGTATGATTGAATTTATTTTTGTGAAACTCCAGAGCTCTGCATACTGTATTAATATCGCATACTGTATTAGTTTGGTTACTTAACAGTGCTACAGTACACTTTGTTAAGACAACTGAATTTCAACATTAAAATTGTTCAATAACTTGTAAATGTTAAGGTGCAAGATATTTTCATTATGTATGTTAAAATACACACACTTATAAATATATCTATAAGTCTCAGATATATAAACAATGGCCTTCATTTGATTCCAAAATATGCACGGATAGTTGTCTTCAGAAAGCAAAGTTTGAGGAAAACTGTGAGATTCAAGGAACAAATATTGTTTACAGACAAATAAACAAGGATATTTTTGTGCCAAATGGAGGCTATTGTGTTTATTATCCTTCAAATATTTTTCAACATGTGGGAAAAAAATTTTTACCAACAGCTTAACGTTTACTGCATTAGATTTTCACTTTTCAATGTTCTCTGGTATAACTTTGTGAACAAATAGATCCTGTCTTCTGTAACAACCTGAAAGCACTCTCTCACTGTCAATTAAATTTTACAGGAAAACTTATCATAGTTGAAAATAAGGTTTAAAGTTAGGGAATATCACTTGGGTGATATCACTCAGATATTCTCCAGTTTTAGCTAGGGCATATACGGTCATGTGATGCATTAAGACTAATGGCATACAAGCAAAATATTTGATGGATTATAATAAAAGTAAACTGTTTTAAAGGTAAAATAAAATTCAGCACAAACATTAGAATTTGTGGTGTGTGTGTATTGGGGAAGGAGGTGTTCAGGGGAAGAAGAGGAAAGGCAGAGAAAACCCATTGAATAAAATGATGCCAACATGGGTATAATCTAAGGCCAGAAGGGGGTTTTAGGAAGGGGGTGTTTGGGAAAGGAGGTGTTTTAGGAGAGGGGGTTTTAAGAAGGAGGTGTTTAGGGGAGGGGGTGCTGGGGGAAGAGGAAAAGCACAGAAAAACCATTGGAGTAAGAATATGACACCAACATGGGTATAATCCAGGGCCAGAAGAGGGTGTTTGGGAAAGGAGGTGTTTTAGGGGAGGGGGTTTTAGGAAGGGGGTGCTGGGGGAAGAGGAAAAGTACAGAAAAACCATTGGAGTAAGAATGTTACACCAACATGGGTATAATCCAGGGCCAGAAGAGGGTGTTTAGGAAGGGGGTGTTTAGGAAAGGAGGTGTTTTAGGGGAGGGGGTTTTAGGAAGGGGGTGCTGGGGGAAGGCGAAAAGCACAGAAAAACCATTGGAGTAAGAATTTTACACCAACATGTATATAATCCAGGGCCAGGTGGGGGTGTCTAGGGGAAAGGGGGTTTAGGAAGGAGGTCTCTTAGGGGAGGGGGTTTTAGGAAGGGAGTGTTTAGGGGAAGGGGTTGGGGAGAGAGGAAAACCAGGAGAAACCCATTGGAATGAGAATGTGACACCAATTTGGGAATAATCCAGGTGCCGGTACAATGGTATGATGAAAAATGCTTTCATAAAATAACACTGGGTTAACCAGTGCAATAAACAATAAGTTTCAGACCAATCAGGGCACTCATGGCATTTCAATAATTTCTTTTGTAAATTACTATAATCTCAGCTATCATCATTACGGCACACATTACAGTGCCCACTAATATTCCTTGAATTACAATTACTCTTACTGATTGCACTTCACTATAGAAGAGAAATTAATCATAATTACCCTATTGTTATGTTATAAATTTTAGACCATGATTTGAAAAGCAATAAACAATCACACTGGTTCAACATACACTATTTATTCTTCCAACTCCCTAGCAGCTCTGATCTCACAATTAACCCTTTAACTCCCATGAGTGACCAAGACAGAATTTCCTCTTACAATATCAATACAATATCAACCAGATAAGTGATGAGAATACAGAAAATATCAATTTGGGGATAATAAGTTGATCCAATACTAAATTCTCTGAACTAACATTATAAGAATTGTATGGTTGACAGTAATGAGAATTACAAATTTGATCTGGGAGATAAAGGGTCAATAACCCTAAATCATTATCATACTTCCATACTTCCATCACCAACCTATTGACAAGCTCATTGTAACACTTCGGTCATGACAACCATCAGCTACTTAGGTGATTTATGGAGAAAATTTAACACTATTAAGAGGAGAAAGTATTACTAGGTACAACAATGTCAAAAAAACAAACAATATAAGTCATCTGAACTCTTTTCTACTTGGGTTTGAGGATGACATCAGTTCATTGCCCCTAGCTCTCCTTTCCATTGTTACACACTCCTTAAAATAATCCAAACAGTTACAATCTGTCCTGATAAGGAGCTCCTGGAGAAAAGTTGATTAACAAGTAAATTCTCCCATAAATATCACAGTCCTGTCCAGAAGATGGATGATGAGAAGGGACAGTCTTATCATTAACAGTGTAATCACAATATAAGTTCTCCTCAGTATTTACAAGGAAGTTCATGGCAGCTGGCTGTGCACTTTATCTAACAGTTGAAAATTCGAAACGTTGGTAAAATTTCCGCACAGCCCCATACTATTGTAAAACAAATCTGTTTTCCCAATAGCAATGTATTGTTTTTGTCAATGTTTTCTCTATCCTAGAACTGAATGCATAATGTAGTATGGGGCTGTGCGGAAATTTTACCCTCAAGAACACGCGCCACTTTTCTGGCCTTCGTTTCGTCAAAAAGAACCTTGTTCACGGATGTAAGATTATATTCCTTGTCCAAGAGACAGGAAGTTTAAGGTACACTCGTAACTCACTTCACTTCTTGAGAATCCTGTTTCGTCTTAAATTCATCCAAGCCCTCCATTGCCCCATTTCCCTGAAGGTTCTCAGCGAAAAGTAAAGTGTACCCATAGCTGTAAATGTTCCAAAACTATAACCGACAACTGTCCATACATCAACCAAGCGATTTACTCGATGCACATCAGGCCACACATCGACATCTGCCATGTTAGTAACTTTTCTGGCTGCACCTCCGAGCACATTTATGTATGACAACAAGACATTCCTACTTTCCTTGCTTTCTTGGTCAAGCACGCCTTGAAGGAAGCTTTTATCTTCGTCCTCCATTTTGGATTTTTGTTAACGTGGTGTACTGGGCTCTAGTTAGAAAGAACGCAGACTCGAGAAAATAATTCATAGCCTAGCCTGAGGGGAGTGGGAGGGAGGGAGATTTTAGGAGAATCACATGGTTTTCAGGGGGGAACGGAGGTGGAATCAGTCGTCGCTACCAGACTATAAAAGGGGACTATAGAAAATTTCTGATTAACTGCCAATGAGGGGGACAATAAGAATATTGGAGAGCCCTATAGGGGATCAGGTAAATTTTATTGTCACAGAAACAAAATTCTTCAATCCCCCTTCCCACCCCCAGGCGATAAAGGACTAAAGAAGAGCGAGTGACAATCAGCATCAGGTGATTTGCATCTATACTTTGAACATCATCGTTTCCGGACAATATATGTACTGACTTACTGACTTCAGAGTCGTCGTCCATTTTCGGACAATTATTTGCATGTTTCACAGACATTTGACTCTCCTTCGTGTTGAGATATTTTCATGAAAGCATTGTCATTTTTCTCTGATGTACATCCTCACGTTCCCGCCCCTCGTCTTAAGAAAAGTGTTTTTGTGCTGTCGAGTTAGCAGTTTTCTGCGTCCGACAATACAATCGTTTGATTAACTCTCCAAAAAATAGAAAGTCGAAAAAATACCTGGAACCCACAACAGACCGAACAACAGAAGCATATTCATAGAGGACTTCTCATTTTATTGATAATTCATTTACAATCTTTGTGAGAATTTTAGATATTAGCTCACTTGACAAGCTTTGCATAGTAAACATCCTGATATCGAAATAAGGATACAGGTTTTTAATTAAAAAAATAGAATACTATACTATTTCCATACCCTGTATTTGTAACTGAAGTTTCGCATTCGCGTTTAAACAACCTAGAGAACATCAAGTTTCAGAAATTCAACTAAATTCAAAACAGGCATTTCAAGCAATTCAAGTCTTCGATCTGAAAATTCACATCTATCCCTAAGAAACATCTTTTCATTGCCCCATAAAACCTCAGAAGTGATTAACATGTAAATTCTCCCCATAATATCCATACATTATCCAGCAAACAGGTGATGAGAATATTCAAATTTATCAGGTAGAAGTCTTAATCTTGATCTACCACCAAACTCTCGTAACTAATTTACAAGGAAATGTGTAGGAGCAGGAGGGAAGAATTAACAATCAGACCTTAGGGGTTGATGGAATTCTTCAAGAATACAACAAAGTCAGCATATGCACCTATTATAATGTTTAGATTTTTTTCTACATTTCTTTTTACACAATATCTCATCCTGTACGATATTTGATTTTTTTTTCAAAGATTTTGTACTTATCAAATTATTCTATTTTTTCGCGAAATGTTCTTAGCATCACGATGTTTGGAGTGTACTTTCAGGATTATGTAATCGCTATTGTACTCAAACAATTTCTCTACTCACTGAACTTTTTTTTTTTTTTTCCATAATGATGAATTAGATCAGACGCAAATACGTATATAAATATCGGGAAACTCTGAAATATATCTCAATGTAAATTGTTATACCTGTTGTGCAACCTCGATATAAAGAACACGATGAAGCTAAAAAAGAAGTGAAAGAATCGATGTCGCAAGAAATGTGCTCAAAACTACCTTCGTTTTAAAAGGAGAGCGTAAATAAGTAAGACAGAAAACACAAAAAGGCAATAAAATTATTTTCAACTGATTGCTTTTGTTTCATGGCAGCCTTCGATTGGTCTAAAAATTCAACCAATCAGAAGAAAATGCAAATCCATCGCCCCATGGCCACTCACGTTTTACCGCGCTTTAGACAGATTAATTGGTTAATTTGGTTTTTACGCTGACGCACTCAACAAAAATGTACTCTGATAAACCAAGAGAAAGCAAGAATAGCAAAGAAAAGCTTAAAACAGACTGTTATGCGATGGCAAACTTAAAAATTCAAGCAAAATTTCTTTCTAGTCCAAAACCATGACCAAAAAACAAAAGGACAAGTCCTGTGTTTGAATCCTGTCGTGCATGTCTCAATATCTGTACCTTCAGGACCGTCACTGCTGGCATACTTCTCTATACTATAAATTGACAAAAGTTCACATACTATTCTTGGAGAAGATAAATGTTACTATCATTTAAAAACCTTCATATGTTAAATACTCGGTCCAAAAGTCTTCTTTATATAAACGGTTTTCTATCCATTGATGTTCTTTATTCCGGGATAGAAAAAAAACAAATATTTACATTTACAAATTTACCCAAACTCTTGATTGACGTAAAGTTTTAACAGCAAGACTTGTGATGCGAGCCCGCAGATCCCTTTAGATTTACCTTTTTCTTTTTGCCCTTACCATTTTTCACATTCTCTTCTCTGACTGGAGGGCACACTTTGTTTAAAATGTCTTGTGTGAGGAGAGTAAAAGCATGATCGATGTTGTCACTGGAAAGTGCGCTGGTCTCCACGTGTCGAATTCCGTGATTTTTGGCCAACGTCTCTCCTCTTTCTCTTGTTATTTGTCTTTGACTCACAAGATCACATTTGTTTGCAACAAGAATTCTTTCAACATCTTCGTTCGCGTTTTCTTCGATTTTCCTCATCCATTTCGAAATGTTGTGAAATGTTTTTTCTTTCGTGACGTCATACACCATCATGATACCCAAGGCACCGCGGTAGTAAGCTGTTGTGATGGTATGGAACCTACAGAGCAAAATAAGATGAAACTAATTGCCACCGAAAATAAACTTCCACTGACAAAGGAGTGAAATAGAAAAAAGTTTCATGATATGTAGAGACAAGGGCGACAGCAACATTTTCCATACTTCTCATTCAGAGAGGAAGATACACTGGCTGACTAGCAAAATCGACATATTCGACTAAATTCAAGTTGATTCCTAATATATTGCAGAGGATCAATTTTCATGATTGGCATTTACCAAATCTGGGTTTGGAAAACAGTTACCAGGCAAGTGCGCCCATCCAACCTTTTCCTAGGATCAATTATTTTTATTTCAGTTTTTTAAATCGACCAATAGCATGGATCCATTTTCACGAAAGAGAAGGCGATGTGAAACGAAAACTTTCATTGGGATGGCCCCAGAAAAACGTTTTCTCACCTCTCTTGTCCCGCAGTATCCCAAATCTGCAACTTTATCTTCTTTCCACCTGAAAAAACAATCAAATCAAAAGCCTTATCAGAGCGGATGTAAGTAACACATCAGTTGCCAGCTGTTAACAACAGATAAGTTGGACAGGAAACTTGATCAAAATTAAGCATATACGCGTATTTCTGATTCGTCTTAGAGCAATAAACCAATAGTCCTTTGAATCGCGAGTCCGTTAAATTTTGATGATAATCAAAATCATTTGATTAGGGAAATTAATTGCCTCACACGCAGAAACCCTAATAAATCCCTACGTAGTCGATACTAGAGATGTCACACAACGTCTGGTATAATGCGTGACAACGCAAAGGCCATCGTGGAAGGAGACGAAGGTTCCATAGGAACGTCATGATTGAGTGCTTTATTCTCAGTTGATTTCCCCTTTAAGCCCTCAATCAAGGCTATACAATGAAAGTATAATAACTGCGGATAAGCTTCAATAAATTATAATCTGTCGTTTACGCAAGGGTATTTTCAGTTGCTATGAAAAGGTTCTGTTAAATCGAGCGGAGAACGCTCGTAACACGTACGCCGTCGGAAGAAACACTGTCAATCAAGGGTTAGAGGTCAAAACTTATATTTTACTGACAAGCATCCTTCCTCACCGCAATGGAGGAAAACAAATCGGCGTATTTTTGCTTTTTCATTGCGCATGAAAACCGATAACGATAATATTTTCTTCATAATAGATCCCTTTCTATCAGACAACTCATTGAATTCTAAAGAAGAAAGTACACTTTGATCAAGACTGGATTTATGGCGTTAAGAACAGCGAATTTCAAAGATTTTTTCGTAACTGTGAACCACAAGAATTCGTCATGTAAGTAGTTTCGAGTACATGGTGTGATGCTTCCTCAGGTCCAATATGTAGGAGGATATTTCCTTTAAAGGAAAGCATCAACATATTTCGCAGGTTAGATTGCAATACGTTATGTCATATTGCTCTCATTAGCTTAAAAATTATCGCTTACGTCATATCCACTTCCCCAAACAATTTAAGATATTAGGAAGAAGTATTTCCTTTTGAAATTCCTTACTCTTTTTTTTTTGTTGTTTTTTTTGTTTTCGCTAGACGACACGCAAGCTGAAGTATATCTTTCGTTTCTTAACTGAAAGTAAGAAAACAATGAAAAATGAAATTCATCGTTTGACAGCAGGGAGCGAAAGATGTTAATTTCAATAACAATATAGCATCCAGTGCATTCTACGCCTGCTTCATACAATCAAACGCCAATGTTTTCCTTTAACAGAATCACTTTTGACGTAAAGATTGTCCTAGTGGTAAAGCTTTGCATGCTGTGAGTAAGATCCTTGTTTTAAAAGCTTATAAAAGGCGAAACCTTGGGGCAAAATAAATCTCCCTAATTCGAAACAATCGCTAATGTCAATTTCAGGCCGCTGTAATCATGTTCAAGTAAATGATCCGTGAAAGTGAAAATATTCCTCCGTTGAAAAATTGAAAAACAACAGCAAAAGCGAATTTTACGTCGAAATTTTCTGCTTCTAGCATATCAAAGTGAAATCACCCATCTCGACATATTTCAAGTGGCGCAGAATTCTATGGTTTAATTTGAATGTCATCTACCTGAACCGTAAATATGTAAATGCCATTACATTCGGTACGCGAAAGTTCCTTAGTTTCTAAGCGCTAATTCCCCGGCAAACACGCAATGAAATATGGTGCCATGCATTAAATATAGATCACAGATACTAGCAGACTTGTCTAGTGTTAAGTAAACACAGAAAAATTCTCCTTTCTCAATCAAGTGAAAAACAGTTCGCGGTTCTAATTTCCTGTTCATTCAAGCAAACGTCTACTGCATTGTACGGGCTATACTTACCGAGTTCTAGAGTTCTGATTTTAAAATCGATCCCAATAGTTGATATGAAAGTTGGATTGAAAGTATTCTCAGCGAATCGAAATATTATACACGTCTTCCCAACCCCGCTGTCTCCGATCAGAAGAAGCTTGAAAAACAAGTCAAAATTCTGCTTCGCCATTTTTAGAAGCTTGGTTCTATAAACGAACGCACTGTGTATTACGTGACTGAAGGAATCGTTAAAGGGGAGTGGGGAGTGTATTTAATTGCTAACCGGAACCGGAAATGAAGGAACCATGGAGCGCTACAGGGCAGAGGCCTTTCAGGTGCCACAAAAAACGGAAGAAAAAGGAACTTAAAGGAAAAATAGGATTGAATTCGTTTTGGTAACGGCTATATCACGAAAATGTCATAGCTGTGGTAAAATACGATAAAAATCGGAAAAGGGAAGCCTAACGAGTATAGAACGCAGACTTACGGATCAACCAGGTGACAGGTAGAGGAACAGAAACATTTCAAGCTAGACTAGCAGTATCTTTAGAAAGCCGAATACGAGTAATTTGAAGACTTCTCCCTTTTATCGCCTCTTCAAAACCTTCCTTTAAGCATCACTTCCACAGTCATAGGACTTTGAAATTTCTTGATTTTCCCTGACAAACGTAAAATTTCCCTGACTAACAAAATTGACAATTTCACCAACGAATACTGACAATAGCCTCCAACCTCAATTTCTTTATAGCATCCTCTCCATTCATGACTTGATGCTTTCATCAAGTCACATACAGTACACATAAACTGATAGTTTTTTAGGTAACATAGAAAAATGATTTATTTTTTTTTGGAAACCCATCATCAGCTTGTCGTTGAATTTCATTCAACTAATACGCTAATCAATTCGAAGTTTCAATATCCCCCGGGCAACCCGCAGGCATTTGATCGCCATCCGTGCTGGGGGGAAAGGAGAAGGGACAGGTAAACCTTGCGTGACTGTGGCAGTGAACTTGAACCGGAAGTGTCAAGTCTTTCCAGCAATATTTAACTGAGGGCATGTTTAAGGTAAATATTTCACTTTCGCGAGCAAATAGCTAAAAATGAAAGGTCTACAAAGTCTAGGTTTTAAACCTGGGTCAATGTATAGAAAGTCACCGTCGCTGATTTTTCCCTTTACGAAAAATTGGGTGCGACATATGAACACAATTTTTCCCCAGATTGCGGGAATTTGAACAAATCAATCTTCAAAAGTTCAAATTCCCGGGGGGGTGCCCAGGGGTTGCACGGGGGGTTGCCTGGGGGGGTTGCCCGAAGTGGGATGTTGAGGCTTCGAATTGATCGACGCATAAATTCTACCAATCCAACATCTTTCACGTCTGTGATATCTGGCAAATAATTTTAAAAAGGTTAGAAACAGTTAAATAGAAGAAAAAAGATATATCATGTTTCACTCAAAAACCAATTAAACTTGCATTACTAAGGCAAGGATATGTTTTTCAGGAATCTGTCAACTGTGCGAACATCGCAAGTCAACTAAAACCGCCATCCACGTGCGTAAGCTGAACCGACTGATTTCATCTATTAATGATACTCGTAATTAACAAATCGGACTCCCGCTTCGCAGTCGTCCATTTTGTTAATTATCACTCCTACGATTACAGACCGAATTGGACTCGACTCAGTCCTATTACTATTACTATAACTATAACTATAACTATATTACTATATCTAACAGTCCAGACGAATTGCACGTGCACCAGCTGAACAAAAAAAAAAAGATTAAATAAACTGCAATAATAAATTACAGTATCAGTAGGTGATCTACATTTTTTATAGCATTTCATACATATACTTCTCTTTCTTCTAACCTAAAACTATTCACGATAGAAACTTTACAGCCCCTCCTATAAAGCAAATAATTCTGGTGGCTTCATTTTGAGGGAGATGTAAAATTATTTGGTTCATTTCACTGAAAAATGGCAAATGACGTCAGCACGACATACAAGATGACTTTTTCGCTGGCTTAAAATCGTTCTCAGTTTCTCCATTTTCTCCAGAATGCGACAGGCTATTAAATATGTCTTTCGCTAATGTTGCGAATGCTTCCTCCACATTTAAATTTGACAGCGCGCTTATTTCCACATAAGGAATCCCAAGTCTACCAGCTAGTTCCTCGCCCCTCTCTCGTGTAATTTCCCGCTTTTCCTTCAGGTCACACTTGTTAGCGAGTAGGATTTTATTGATGTTTTTGTCGCAGTTTTCTGCAATTTTGCTGATCCAGCTTGCCACGCCCTTGAAGGACTTTTCGCTCGTGACGTCATACACTAACATGATTCCCATTGCTCTGCGGTAACATGTGGCAGTAATTGTGTAGAATCTACATAAAAAGTGGTGAAAAATAACATTAAGAAGCTGAGTCAGAATAAGACAAATCTTGCCCTGGTTTAGACCCGCATCTGTTATTGCGATAAAAAAATCTTAAGTGGAGCTATGAAATTGTGTAATGTTCTTTGATACGGCACTTAATCCTAACAGCGCCCCTCTCCACCATCTGTCCACCCTGAAATATAGACATGAACGAGCCCAGGCTACATGTCTGCGAAACGTAACAAAGCATGGGCTACCTGCAACGAAGTAGCGTGTCATCCTAGAACAGTTGTAGCCTCCGATCAGCCCCTCATGAGGCCCTTTTCTCCGTCCGCGGAAAGATTTGATACGAGTCGGGAAGAGGTTTGTAAGAGGTCTGGCACTAGTAATGACTGCTTGACCGCTTGCAGACCTCTCGTCGGCTCTCGTTGCTTTCCAGCGGGCGAAGTAACACACGTATCGAGGTGCTTATAGTGAGGGCCTGATCGCGAGTAAGAACAGTTCTTTTAAACTTCTTATCACCTCATGCAGTAAAACTAGAGATAGCTTTGGAGCAATTGATGGATAAGATTTGGCGCAGCAACGGGCGCAAGAATATCACAAGACGGCATCGGATGCAAGCTGTAGGTCACGCGAGCTAAAAATCAACAACAAAAACAGAAAAGGGGAGGGTTTGATTAACATGAGAGAATCCGACCAGCTAAGCTTAAGAACTTTGACCGCGGTGGAGACGCGAGTAGGCGCCTGCAAATAACTAAACTCGCACAAGAATACTTAATTCTCTCGCGCGTTATCTAACTCATGTCACACAGATCAAAAGCTGATGGTTTTACCTCTAAAAAAAATGTTAAGGAGGGTGCTATCTCCCAAGACGGAAAGAAAAATTAGACTAAGCGATACTTAGATATTTAAGTCCTTATCTCTCATTCCTATCTACGCACCTACGAGACGGCCTGTTATTAAATTCAAGGCCCACATCACCATATCATAGACAGCAGTAGAGATTACTGCAAACCTTCAATTACTCTTCATTAATTTTCACTTTTATCATTATGCTTAATTTACGCCAGGACCGCGGATAACAGCGGGTAAAAGCATTTTGTCACATTTTCAAGGTGGGGCTGGGGCGAGGAGGGGGGCCGTAACAAATACCTCTCTTGGCCAGCGGTGTCCCATATCTGAAGTTTGACCTTTCTGCCATCTAAAAATTAAAATTAACATTTAGTACAAGGTAATAGATTGTACTCTCATGTACAAGGCTAGTGCAACAACAAAAAGGAGAAAAATCATTCGAAACTCTTCAATAATTCTTTTGTAGCAAAAAAAATTCTAGTCCCCGTAGCAGCCATCGCACGTAATTCTTCCACCGAAAGCGTTGCGTGACGACACCTTCATAGGACACCCAATCACATACACTTCCGGCAGCAACCCTCGTGATCAAAAACGATATCTCACTTTCATTATCACAGACAGCCGTAAACATTTTTCTGTCCTTTGATTTAAGAACAATCACCAGTAATTAAAGAATTGACACATGATTGAAACAGGAAAAAACTTTCTAAGAAAGAATTAGCAATGCTAGTTTCACTTTTAACCACAAGGACGGTATTGCAAAAATAGTTACGCAACAATAATAAAGTAAAATTGAGACGAAAAAAATAGATATAATTTTATATCAGGGCTCTTCTCTGATTCGCACAGACTTATGAGTAAATATGATCGGTATCATGAAACTTTAAAAGCAAGACAGGTGTAACATGAAATGTTGTAACGTTCCAAAGGTTGAGTAACACTCAACCGGCTTCTTTGTCATAATCAGAAATCACCTTCGTACCGGCGACGAGTGTACAACTCGTTTCCAACAGTTCTGCGTAAAAAATAGCTTGCGAAGAACGAAGTTCTCTCCCATACTTCTTAAATATTTTGTAATAATCATTGCACTTCATTGTACTCGCTAACAAACCATAAAAAATCGATTCGAACGACCTTCACTCGTGATGTCGCCATTAATATTGTACGGGTGCCCACATACTTACCGATTTCAATCGTCCTTATTTTGAAATCTATACCAATGGTCGTGATATATGAAGAAGTAAAGGTATTTTCTGTAAAACGTACAATTATGCAGGTCTTTCCGACAGAGCTGTCACCGACCAGCAGAAGCCTAAATAGATAATCGTAGTTCTTCGCCATTTTCTGGGAACTGGCATGTGACCGGCGTCGATTGCGTTACATAGTCGTTGTAAAATCACGTGAGTGGGAAATGTGTGTTCGTCAGGCTCTTCAAACGTGTAATGGCCAAAAATACATCAAATTCTTCTAAACTGTGATTCCAAACCAAGTGCTTAAATTTTCGTACATTATCTCCTCGAGAATATAATGTGTTCGTGGTGATCTTTCCAGGTTTTGAAGTTTTTTTAATTTTTTCTTTCTAAGGGACCACCCGTTATCTACTGCCTGAGTTGAGGGGGATGGAGGATTTTGGGGAATCACGTGGTTCTCACAGGGATTGAAGAGGGTCTTAGTCGTCGTCAACAGAGTACAAAGCGAGGACAATAGAAAATTGACTCCCAATAGGGGGGTATAGAAAATTGACTGCCAATGAGGGGGGTATAGAAAATTGACTGCCAATGGGGGGGGAGGGGTCATAAGAACATTACAGAACCTTATGGTGGAGGATCAGGTACGTTTTGTCTTGACACAACCAAAATTTTCAGGCGATAAATAATTACCGATCCTTAACGTAAGGAATCGTATCTGAGACAAAAAAAACTCGAACAAAACTTCGGGGGTGTGAAAGCCACCGTGAGGTGAGAAGTGCCCACCTCTTCGCTCTTCATTGGTTTCTAGCACTCAACTCTCAAGCGAACCGATTGTAGGACTAGAAAACACACAAATAACCTTATTTTTGCGTGCACATGCGTAAAGATATTTATGGACAGAGAAAGAGCGTGAGAGTCCTACCAAATCAGCATGTTACCTTAAGTTTACTTTATTTACAACAAGGAACATGGTACAGCAAACATGTCCAAGATGAACGTTGGCTACAAAAACCGGTTGTTTTCTAAGATTCCAACCTTGGTAGCTAGTGGGAATGCCTATATTCCCCTCGTCGACGTTATTTCATATATATATTAATTCAACTAAAACTTCAAAAATCGTAAACATTCTCATTCTATCCTCATGCTCTGACGAATTGGCTAATTGAATAAGGCAAGCGAGGAGACACCTTCCTTGCGCGTCTACACGTTCACACGTTCCTGCGCGCGGCTTCAACTCTCTCGTACTTGACTGCCAAGCTTATGTCTGAAGGGGATGGGAGGTTAAAAGATGTACAAAGTCCTAATTAGCAAACATATCTTCTCGGAAAATAAGGTATTAAAATCTCGTTTTCTACAAAACGTTGCTCGCAAAATCTGATGGAAAAACTGTCGAAGATTCCTAAAGGCTAAATACTTCCATATTTTTTTTTTAAATCTCCTATTTTCGGAAGGCTTCTTTTATACCAACAAGTTTTCGGAAGACTTATTGGAAGAAAGAGATTAGAATCTCTTCCCTAAAAGTGATTCTTTCTCTCCTCCAGTTCTGGTGCTGTTATATCCAGTGTCTAACTCACAAATGTTCGTTTTGCGACCATCCTCAACTTTTTCTTGAGCGCCGTTGTTGTTCAAGATGTCTTGAATTAACTGCTTTAGAGCTTCGTCAATCTCTGAGCTTTGCAGATCGTTGATTTCCACATATCTCATACCAAACTCTCTGGCGAAAGCCTCGCCTTCTTTTTCTGTAATGACGCGGTTTCTCTCCTGACAATGGCACTTATTAGCGACCAACATCTTTTGAGAGCCTCGTTCGCTGGCGTGTTCTTCAATGATAAGAAGCCACTCCAGGATGTTGTCATAGGAACTCTTATCGGTGACGTCAAAAGCAACGATGAAACCTTGGGTACCGTGATAGTAGCTGGGGGTGATGGCCTGGGTACTAAAAAAATTGGATTTCAGTACAAAGCAACTGAAACACAGTTCTTACTGTTATCAGTTAACTGAGGCGCAGAAAAAGTTTGGTGGCGTGGTTTTGACCATAACTGAATAATGGTATTATCACGGGCAACCTTCCTCGTCTCCAATGGTAATCAACTACCCGCTTATCAAATGAAGTCAGGGACGACACGTTTCCATTGGAAACGGTGTCAGTTGCCCGTGACAACAACACAATTTTAACGTCAAAACGTGGTCGCTACAATGTAGGGTAGGGATTGTGATTTTTCTTTTTACTACACTCTCATACGGGAGATTGTGGTTTCAAAAGTCGGTGACAAGGATCTAGTGAAACAAACATGCCTGAGATTTTGTTTTCAGGCGCCGACCACGCACTTATCCAATCTTGAAAGAATCTGTTCTGCAAAATATTTCTGCCCAAGTCACCAGTCTTCTCTTCGTTCCTAAACGTCTACACTTCTGCGTTATTTGATTTGATGACGCATGCATACCTTTTAAAGTATTTTCTCCCATCATCCACACCAAAACGCCCCAAACGCTGTAAGAGGAGACAATACGTGATGCATTTCTCCTCACCTCCGATTTCACTTGTCCACAAAAGGAACAGGAAATTTTGAGAACAATGCATTTTCAGAAAAATTCATTTATGAAAAGGTTTTAAGATTCTCCGTTTTAACCGGCGGATTGGGGCTTTTAAGAGAGGATGACAGGCAAAACTGCATTTAAAAAAATTTCGTTTCTCAACGGAAATGCGTCGGTTAAGGTGTAGCCGCGGAAGGACTTCCGCGTTCTGTACGACAATCATCTCGTTTTACAATTAAAAAAAAAAAAAAACTCACGTCTTTCAGAACAGAAAAGATAACGAAACATTTCAACCGGAAAGTGTTCCTTAAGCATTTTCAAACTTTCTGTAACACTAATTAGGATCCTTGCACGAAATTTCTACTAAATTACATGGGCTTGAGTGCAGCTGTTAACGAGAACTCGATATGGCGTGACCATTCTTATCGCGTGACTCAAGTACCAAGTAGAGCAAAATAACATGTTTGGCTCCACAATTTTTACCTTTCCTGTCCTGCAATATTCCATATCTGTAATTTTACTCGCTTCCCATCTGAAGTTTGAAAGCAAAATAAATTCAACAAGGTCAAAAGAGCTAGACATTAGTGGGAGAGCTCTTCGTTCTTCGATCGAGTAGTGCCTTCGAGGCACGTAAAATATTTGCCCTCTCAATGTTTCAAATTAGGAAGTATCAAGCGAGTAAACGTATTCCTATTTCAACGATAACAGTTTCAGATCATTTCTTAATTATAAAAGTAGTTTGGGAAAAAAAATTGACTTATCCGTATAAGTGAGTCAATAAAAACATCTGTCAGTTCATGGGAAAAAAACACGAATGAAAATCATCTCAGAGGAATTGTGAACTTCAAGAGAATGATATAGACAGCGCTTTCAACTAGTTCCATTGCGATTTCTACAAACACAAAGCAAATATCGTCCTAAAACGAACTTCAAGTCGTCGATAGATAACACAGAACTATAAATAGTCGCCGAGTTGTATCGTTAAATCCCTTACGCCTGGCGGTTCAGTGCAATACACCGTAGCGCTTAAAGATCGAGCGAAATCCAGGCGGGAGGAGAGATTCATGTACCGTAAAAGTACTCACCAAAAGAATTCTACTCACCGATTTCTAACTGTCTTTTGAGAAAATTCACTCCCATAGCCGACAAACCTGAGGCATCGCCTGCAGGTGGATGAAAGATGGCACATTTGCCGACGTCGGGATCGCCAACGAGGAGGATTTTAAACAACAAGTGATAACTCAACGCCATATTAAATTGCTGGCCTTCGTTATCTTTCAATCCGCGGAGGGTTGGGTTAATCCGAGTCAGTATGTTCGTCACGGAACGAGCACTTTACATAAATTTCAGACATGAAAGAATGAAGCGGTTTCGATGTTTTGTCCAAACTAATTTCGTCCACCTGTCAGATGAATGAGGAAATTCGTGACTTATATGCGGATGTCTTCTTTTCAAACAATCTTATAAATATCAGAATATTATGGTAGAATTCACATCGTTTGACACATGACCCTTCGATTTATTAACAATACCGAATTTTTAATTTAGAAACGATAGTCTCGAGGGAGCAAGGGTATATTTTTTTCAAGTACAGAATAAACCAAACAACAATATACAAACAAAGTATGCAAGTGAAAAATAGCACCCGCCGGCTCGCAAACGGCGAACGCGAGAGCGACATCGCCACACGCTGATGCGAGATTGGTTCATTTTAATAAAACTTGTGCGTAATTGTAACCATGACAAAATTCTCGACATTGAAGTCAGTGTCGAATAACAAAACTGTTCATTGCCAAGCTACGCATGTAACTTCGTTCCTGGAGAAAGAAATGTTTTAGCGGGGCTTTCTGATTATTATTGTATTTCTACAAATCTTCCTTCCCCTTCGATATTTTGAAACGGTAAATTGAAATAATGATTGATGTATTGTCAAACATATTGCTTCCCCATTGAGCCGCCAATCGACCTCGTTTATCAAGTGATTAATTGGCTAAGTTGCTCAAGAGGCGCGTCAAATTTTTACTTGTAACACAATCTGCGTGACGAGACAGAGATCGAGCTTCGTTGGAAACACGTTTCTTCAGCCGCTTGTTGTGACATAAGACTACAGAAGAAACGAGGACTCGACCAACACGAATGAAATCGTAAGTGCGTTTTAAATTTTTCTCTGTTCACAGAATTTACAGAACCACCGAGGAAAATAAATAAAACTAAAATTTGAAAACATTTGGTTTTGTTTTCTCCTGTCTCTTCTCTGATCCAAGACTCAAAAAATTTGCTCTTTCGTCATATTCGATAACTTCAAACAAAATGAATACGATTTAACGATCGAAGACAAGTGGAAGGGGGTACATTTTAACGCTTATCTCCCCTTTCTTCAATTCTGCTCCTCGATCCAATGACCACTTATTAGTCTAATTAACTGAAGAGGTTTATGCCTCTTGATCATAAAAGAAATTCATTATCGTACACAAAGTTCCGATTAACTCTCCGAGCAGTTGACGAATCTCCTCGGAGACCTTTGCGTTCGGCGACCTCTCATCGAGACGAGATTTCAGCTTATCAAAAAGCCCTGTTACCCGCGTGAAACATGGCACACCCTCTCTGATAAGTATCTGCACTGTGCGGTCAAACTCACTGCTTGGTATCATGGCTGTCTTAATGTTGGCACAAATCTCCTTGGTGCTTCTCATGTGAGGCACGCCTTGACTAAATCGCACCACTTTTTTAAAGTCCTCGTCCCATTTCAGGATAACATCCAGGATGAAGTGTAGATCTTCTAGTTGCTGTTGCATCGTGTCATACTGTTTATCCAGCTCTCTCATTTGAGCTTTGAACAGCTTTGTGCTCTTGTTGATGGAAGTAATTGATAACTTCTCGGTGCGTGTCGTGAGTTCTTGGATTCCATCGCTTGCGACGTTAGTCATGTCTCTAAATGTACAGAAATAAAGTAACCATTTGGTTTTTTTCTGCAAACGACGTTCTTGGTGCCCATGTATTTACACAGTGACAGGGGTTTCGATAGAAAAGCCGTTTAGGGGCGTTCTATCGCCGCCTATAAAACCTCTCACCGCCGTATGTTTGATCTACGAGCAGGTTAGCGTGTTTTGGTTTCGCTCTACCGACCCTTCTTCGGGCAAAACCGGCAATTAAACCATTGGCACGGCGCCGCGGCAGCCGCTTATAGTAAATATTTTTGAAAATCCTGGACAGCAATTTTAAAAAAATTGATTAACTGTAGGAATCTTCATTCTATTTAAATCTATTTTCATGGAAAGGGAAACACCTTAAAAGAAATAAAAAAATAACGATATGTTTTGAAAGAAATTATTTGCTTATATTTGAGGAAGTCTGGAGATAAAAATTTGCATAGAAGAAAAATTATTATTTTTTTTTTTGCGCTTGTGAATGAATTAAAACAAACATAATCCTTGTGAAACGGCAAAATGCGCACACGATAGGTAATAAAACATGCTTTCAGGGAAGGATCATGTCAAAAGACCATTAAAAAACCTTCCTTGAAGAACCAAACACATATGAAATATGCTCTCGAGTGGTATCGAAAGAGGGTAAGATTTATACGACCTTAACCCTATGTAAAAATGTGTTATTTTTATCATCTGTCAATGTACGCTTAATCGAAGCGCGTGCATTATTTCATGAAAATCTTCTAAAAACATTACGTCTGCTGGCTTACCTCGCCTGTGAAGGAAAAGCAAAGCTTTCTTGATCCTCGAAAAATGGAGTTGAGCAAAATGTTAAAATCTTTCAGGAAATCGCATACAAAAATTATTGATTTATCCCCAAGCAACTGACCCACCCAAGAAGTACAAGCTTATAAGCATGACCACGTGTTATACAATCCCAGTGATTCTATTGGTTGAAAATTGCGTAATCTTTGACATGATTGGACGAAGGGTGAACAGGTGTGTTTAGATTCGTCTTCAGAATATCAGAATATTTTCTTTCTGCGATTCGATAATCAGACATTGTTTGAAGTGAACAGGTAAAGAAAATATATGGCTGAAAATGCATTTCAATCTACGGACTCAACGAAATCAAGTTTATCTTTGAATTTCACATTGGTTTTTTTTCTATTAGAAAGCTCTCAATAATGAGCCCAAACCATTCCCTAATACGACAGCAACTTACAAATTTCAGATACGTTTTAAAGTATAGCGTTAAAAGGTTTCAAAACGCAACGCCAAACAGTTTCTCTCGACTGTGGCAAATTTTTATTTCCATTCAAAATTACTGGTATATGCAAGTGTAGCCACTTTTTATTGAAATTAGGCTACTTTAGGTAAATTTTTCAGAAATTCCCGTTAATGCGATTAAAAAAAATCACCAATCATACTATGATTTTCCCTTTACCCTGATAATTATGAAAAAGTAAAGGCACTCTTGAATAAACGACCAAAATCTGAAATAAATACTTCAATATTAGCAGATAATCTGAGAAAAGGTAGACCTTTAGTTTCTTTATCTTCCGTTATTTTGTCATCAACAAATTTTCAGCTTTAAGTTCCGCTTTCCTATCATTTCCACGAGGTTTTTAAACTAGATGTATTTCGAGATACTTTTTTAGTTTTAAAGTTACAAAGTTTAACTTAGGAGTAAAACAACAATACAATTTAAAAGCCAAATTGTTTGAGGGAATAAAAGATAAATGATGTTTGGTAACAAACACAGCATGAATAAAACTTTTAATCATGTGCAGAATAAAAATCTTCCATTTTTTAAGCCAATTCATGTCATTTTCTGAGTAGCTCTCTGTTCGATACTCGTTGCATGTAGAAAACTTTAAAACAGAGATATTTATCCCCTTCAGGAAAATTGTTTTCTACTCTATAATTCTCGTTAAGAGAAGATGCATTCTTCATTCGTCTGCAGTAAATAAAAATATGAACGAACAAAAGGCGACTGAGACACCATTTACTCAGAAGACAGTTTCAGAATCTGATATTTTTATTCATTCAAGATGTACGACCGTGCATTCAAAGATTTCTTTCTTTTATTTGAATAAATCGGTAACAGCTTCTTTGTATTTACCTGGCGTTCAATGGTCTTTATACCTTGACAACACATGTACAAGTACATCCTACATAAAGCTGTTTTCAAAACAAATTCTAAGACCAAAACATTTGCATACAAAAATAAAGTCTGATGAAACTGCAATTGAAGCTTCTAAATTATATTGATTTTTCTTTCCTCAGTAAACGTCAAACATTCTTGTCGTAATTTTTTTTCATATTCATTGTTCAAAATAAATTTCTAACATAGTGTCAGTGATGCCTGTAAGACGTCCAAGAATTTGCCGAATTTCTTCAATAAATGACGCTTTGTAGGCTGCATCATCCCTGATGATCTTCGAAACTTGCTTTTTCAACAGCTCTAAAGCTTCATAAACCTGCTGAAAGCATGGCACATCTGCCGTGATCAAATTCTGCATTCTGAAATAAAAATCTCCATGAATATCATTCAACAGGTTTTCAATCGACGCGCAAATTTCTTTGACATTTCTCACGAAGGGAACGCCTTGAGTATTTCTTTCAATGGTGTCGAAGCTCTCAGCCCAGCCTTTAATATTTTCGTTTATGTATTCAAGATCTTTTCGTTGTTGAAGTAAGGTCTTCTGAAGTTTTTCCAAGTCGGAAATTTCCTTCTGAAGATCTTTCTTGTGATTTATCACCCGTTTCAACGAAACACTCTTTCCGCTGGTCGAAGTGGCTCCATTGACATAAATTGGTGTCTCCATTTTACCTACGCAAATAACGAAAGTTCAAACAAATATTAAACTTGGTCAAATTCAAAACAGAAAAATAATCAAATTAAAAAGAAAGTTTACACCACCTATCGTTGATTCCGCGAAAAGTTTCCTAATGCCTTTTTGAAATAAAAGGTGCTCAAAGTGATTACAAGCATACTTGATACGAAAAAAACACAATTTTTATGTATGTACTTGCATCTGTATAATTTTCCTCCTAGGTAAAAATGCAGAGAAATGATGAGCTAAATTAACTTGTAAACTAAAGCGCCTTTTACACCTTCCCGTGAAAATCCATAAGCTAGTTTAGTTAGATTTCATTTTGAATGTTTAAATACCAAACTACTGCAATTCCACCAAATATTTCCTTCCTAACCCTCTGAAATCACTAACAGAGGAGGAAATCTCTGACAGAGCCTGATTTTACAACTCCGATACTACACGTAATAAAAATATGAAAACTACAATTTTCCAGAATGATAGCTGGCATTTTAAAATTTTTCGTTTACGAACCAACATAAGCACTATTTGCATATTCTGACAATAAAGGACAGATAAGTAATGAAGTCAAGGAAAATAATTTTGACACTCGATAGACATAGATTCGAATTTTACCGAAGAATATTCAGTCATCGGTAAAAACTATCCTTTGAATGTTTAACCAAGAATTGAAAAATAAACCATTAATACTATTGACTTAATTTTTGCTATGGTATTTTTTAACATTTTTCTTCACGATGCGGGAGACATGGCTTGATCAGTAAAGTAACACCGGTATCGAAAAACCACGAACCTGCCTTTAAAACCAAACATACGTACAAACCACTTCAACTAAAATCTGTCGTTAGAGTCAAGAAAAGATTTCCTGACAGCAATTTACTGAAACGCTTACCGCTTAGATATCGAAAGTTTTCTTTCTCCCAGGGACCGACCCACAAAAACAAAGCGATTTCACCGTTTCTTGTTGTGTTGGATTTAGTTTGGGCGCTGTCAGACGCTGATAAACCCCTGAGGCGACAGAATACTAAAATAGTAAATGGCTAAGGCAAATGCTTTGAAATTGTTACGCCCAAATTATCATTAAGCGAAGGCGCGGGGAATTTTGATTGGTTGTCGTAAGCAGCTGCATGAAGTAAATGCCTTATTTCACTCTTTTTATTGCACGCGTGGACTTTTGTCTAGAATCACTGATCAATATTTTCCTTTCATGTTGACGATTTTATCTCAACTTTTCCTCAAGCAGGCGAGCATAATTTTAGAATGCATTCATGTTCAACGTCGAAATGTTTCAATCATAAATTCGGATTACTTTCACTGTTTGATATAGCTTCCTCAGAGAGGTCATTAAATCCTCTATGAAATATTAATTTCCCGTCAAACGAAATAGATTCAGACGAAACCCAAATACATTTTCTTTACCACAATGTTCAAAAAATCCTTTATCGATGCCAAATGAACATGAAACTGAAGTTTCATTCAATATATACACCCTTCTGTTTTTAAAACAGCTCAGAACATATTTTTATATTCAGAAACATCCTTACAGCTATTATACTACATAAGCCCTTCAAAGCTTTCAAATCCTTTGCATTATTGGAGTGTTGTATTTGAAAGACTTTCTCCAGCTGCTTATAGTTTGTCTCCGCATAATCTTCTCTGTCATTGGTTGCTTGGACGGAAACTAATTTAAGACAACATTTTGGGAGTGGAGCTTGCGACTGAAGTGTGTGGAAATGAGGACTTGATGAATGACCTGTGATCTTTATAGAACCATTTCAGTTCAGTGCTGTTAAATTTCTATTTTCAGACTCCATCAGAAAAAAGTATCCGGCTCAAAGTCCAAATTTCGAAGGCAGCCGTAGGACTGAATCTCAGAGGTACAAGACGAAGGTAATTGATGTAATGTCAGTTTTATTACATGAGCGAATGGTTTGTGGAGAATAAATATTTCTACATGATCTTAAACCGTATTCATGTCCTATGTTTATGACGAAAGGAAAAGTGATGAGCGGAAATCGCGAGAAGTTATATTTCAAGTTCAGTACAAAACTGAAAACCGAAAGGAAAAATTTTGAGCGAAAATCGTGAGGAATTATCTTCTCAAGTTCAATACAAAACTGCAAACCATCAACCTTGATGTTGTTTTGTCGAGAATAGAGCCGATTTTTAATTTTTTTTTAGTGTTGTTAATATTTTCGTACGATAAGACATGTGAAGGTGATAATCCATGTGGTCTACTCCCTTTAGACGGTTAAAGGTCGTTAAAATCGACTGAAAATGAGTGGTACAGTGGCTGTAGAATTATCAGGCAGTTCTTTGCACACAAGACAATTACGTACAACCGGGGATGGCCTGGAGACTAGCTACGCCCTGTCAATGAAAATGATCTGCACCAACAAACAGCATCTGCAGAAGACCGTGACAAGATTGGAAAAGATGCAGAGTCCCATGAAAAAACAACGTGATGATCTTCTGTTCTTGATATCAACAATGGAAGAATGGATCAGAATCTTACATGAATCGGAAAGGGGACATAACGGGGTCCCCGTTCAGCGATCGGTGAAGGAAGGTTGCGGTGATATCACGCCCAGTTTGAACAGCAATAACAGCGAATTGAATCAAACTGTACAGCGGCTCAGCAAAGCCAGCGTGCCGCGCATTGCGCACGTGCAGAAATGCTTGAAGGATCTGAAAAAGGAAATTCGTGACGTGTTCGACAACGAGAACACTTATAATGGCAAGTTTGTCGAAGATGTGAGAGAAAAAATGGGAAATATAATTGGTACAGCCAATGCATTGTTAGCGCTGTACTACTCATAAACTAAAATGAAAGGCAAACAACAAAAAATAGAATCCGTGTTCTAATAAACGTTAACTTAGAGATATCACGTGTTCAAATAAGACAGAAAACCCTACAATAAAGAAGAGATATGCGAGGTATCATTTATTTGTATTTCTTGTTGTTGTTGTTGTTTTTGTTTGTTTGCTATGCAAACAGCGATTTACAATGGACAATGGAAACTAACCAACATAATACCATGTCTACCACCGGTCTGGTAGCAGAGTCTGTTTCCCTCACAGGTTCCGCTTTGGCGCAGTTCTGCCGGTCTACAGCAGGTTATGCAAAATATACAGCGGCCTCGTCTCAAGAATTGTTAGCTATGATCCTATGATGGGGAGAAATTCTGGATCAAGCCACTGCGTACCTACCCCTCCCCTAATCCAACAACAGTCAGCTGATAAAAAGTTTAGGTGCTAGGATAGGGAGGGGTAGGTGGGCAGTTGCTCAGAAGCTGACATCGATCTGAAATTATTTTGCATTTTCCAGAAAAAAAAGTCATCATGTTCGTGTATGCAGAAAAAGCCAAAATATGACCGTACAACAGCTTCGCTCAAATCCAAAACTTTATTCAATAACACCACACTTAGTTTGAAAGCACAACAGCTAAAGTCTCGCTAGTCCATCACCATGTTTTCACTCCTGACTGTAAAATTCTTGCTGAAGTAAAGAGAGTTGACAAGTCCTTACAAGTTTACTTTATTTTGCTTCAGAAAAGCTCTTATAAATAACACTGAAATCTAAGAAAAACTATAACTCATCCGGTATTTCAACTTTGATCCTAATTTAAATCAAACAATTTCCGTCACATTTTAGTTTTGTAATTTACTGTTAGCTTTGTACTAGATGCTGAGATGCGGCTGAAAAAATGTTCTCCGTTTAGCCCAGATTAGAACTCTTCCAGATACACTTTCAAAACTTTCAGTACAAGACCGATACTTAACTGATCAAAACTTCAAAGCCCTCCGCGTGGTTCATGTCTGTTCACAGGACGGCTGTTCAGTCGCACATGCTTCGCATGTTCCCTCCTATCCCGGTGAGATTTCTCTTCATCAAAATCTCCTGATCCCCAGTCCTTATCTCGTCCACCTCTGTGGTCCCGGTACCTATTCTCCATCTCCCTGTGTGTCCCTGCCCCTTCACCATTAACCCTCAGCCTGTCCCTCTCTCGTAAGGCCCCTGTGTCTCTCATAAAAGGTGCAGCGGCTTCAGCATGGCGGCTGTGGTGGGAGGGCCTCGCTCTGGGTTCTAAATACATCGTCAAAGAAATTAGAACTGTTGGTGTAGAATCCCGTCACAGGTTTTAATATTTCGCTCTTCACCCACAAACATCAGTATGCCTATGCTCCATACTGTTCTCTACACATTTCCTAGGGTGCTGACGAGGAGAATTTGCTTAACAATCGAGAGCTCATCTGGCTGGTGATCATTTCCTTTATTCTCATGACCTTAATGTGTGGTCTGAGAGTGATCTTGTAAGAAGAAATTAGATGCTTATCACTCTTAGGGGTACAAGGGTTAAATTTCGTTCAATACAAACCTTCCAATCCTCTGAGTGTGGTTCTCTGTCCGTCTCTCAAAGTATGGGAGGGCAGCTTGGTTCGTTGCTTCCATTCCTGGTCAAAAGCTGCAGCATCACCTATGCCACAAACAACATTCATTAGATTATTTCATAGATATTTATTGATTTATAGACTGTTAAGAATGCTACAACAGAGTGTGGTCTTCAATACAGCCAATCCTACTGTGGGGAAAGGTGACTTATCATAGGATGCTTGCACATAAAGTTCATGACCCAAATCATGTTCATTAACTCCCTAACTCCCAAGATCTGATTGTTAATTCTCCCCTCTAGCTGCAACACATTTCCTTGTAAATTAGTTACAAGAATTTGGTGTTAGATCAAGATAACAACTTCTACCTGATTAGTTTGAGTATTCTCATTATCTATTTGCTGAATAATGTATGGATGTTACAGGGAGATGTTACATGTTAATCTCATGAAGTGAAGTGATCATGCTGAACCCTTTTACTCCCATAAGTGACCGAGACATAATTTCTCCTTAAGATATCAATACAATATCAGGTAGACAAGTGATGAGAATAAATAACAGTTAGAGGATTATTAGTTGATCCAATACCAAATTCTCAAAACAAACGTCACAAGAAATGTATGGCAGACAGTAAGGAGAATTACAAATGAGATCTTCGGAGTTAATGGGCTTAAGAGGTTAAAAACAATAAGAAACATGCAATCGCTCATTTGAGTGTTCATATGTTGATAAAATGTTGATGAAAAGGTACCAGTAGTTGCTGATGAGGTGGACAAATAAGAGAAGTGGTTGCAAACTGAGGTTTAATGCAAACAATTTGTTCCTTCACAAAAAAGATTTTTGTGACAGAAAAACAACATGACCAAACTCACTTTCGTCCAGATTGATAAAGTTCTGCTTTCTGTCTTCATCACCTGTTCTCCTGTTCAATGATCGCTCAATGACATGAGAACGATCTCCTGTAAATAGGTAAGAGAAATGATTAACATGTAACATGTAATACTCATTTCTCAGTTTAGATTTAGGGACCAAGTACAAAACATTTTGGCCATAAAATGAGGTTCCAAAACTAACAGTATGCACTGGAATAACCAGGTTAGTAAGATATTCATTATATCTCTGGGTCCAAATAGAGGGGGGAGATTTCAATTCAAACAAACTTTTGAATTTAGTTTATGTACAGTGAAATTGACCAATCATAGCTTAGGTACTAATTGAGAGATACAAAAACACTACATTTTCCTCAGAGAAATTTTCCCATATTGTAGCTACACCTATTTCCTCCTTGCTACATCTAAATAGAGTTTGTGTTCATAAAATATAAACATGTCTACAATACTAATTGTAAAAAAGGCTTGGTGTAGTTACCCAGATGATGACCAATTGCCATGCGATGCAATCCTGATTCAGAATCTCGAAGTGTGTGCTGTGTCTCTTTTACCTGCACAAAGCAGAAAACAAAAATATTTCTCAGACAAATTGAGATGAACCATGAACTCCAGAAATATTTATAGAATGTTATTGTTTTAATGAAGAGAAACTATCAGGTGTGAGAATACAAAACCATAAACATTCATGGTAATAACTTTGAGGTTTTGAAGTTTGTTCACGTCTGAGCTTCCTAGTGATTGTTCAGTACAAATTTAACCCTACAGAAAATTGAGGCATTCAATTTTCAGATTTTCTCTGTCCTACAATGATATCTAAACAACAAATAAAACAATCAATAAAAAAGGGATTATTTTTTTGTCAGGCAACCTTTCTACTTGCTGAAGTGATAATACATTAGTGAGGAGGTCATTGGGGGGTTCTGAACACAGTGATACTGCAAAAAAATTTGGCAACTATCACAATATTACAAAGTGCTGAAACACCTATTCTGTGTGTTATGTTAAAAGCAAATAACATGGAAATGAGAATGAAGAATTTGTTACTGAAAGTTAGTTGTAATAGTCAATCTCAGCCTGTTCAAAAACAAAAGGAAACTGTGGAAGGCTCAAAAAAGGGTGAAGGATAAGGAGGAAAATTTTTAATATAGTCCAAAAGGCTGAAAAACTGCATCCCACAGGTTTGGAGAATACCACAATACTGCAAAACTGCAATTGAGATTGAACTTACCAAAATACTGCAAGAAAAATTGTCCAATACTGCAAACACCAACGCCCCCCACACAAATTATCTTCACAATGTCAGAGAGACAAGCGTAGCCAAAACAAAAAAAGGTTTAGGTAGAAACATTAGTTACAAGAATTAGCTTCAATTTCAAGGGCTTCACTTCTATTACATGACACAACTCTACCTACCCCTCCAGGAGCTCTCTTAGTGGACTTGGTTGCTTGGAAGACTTTAGGTTCCCCTAGTCCATCATTAGAATATGACATAACACTTGAGGATGAGTAGCTGTATGTGTTTGGGTTATTAGCCATTTGTTCCTAACAAAATCACACAAACACCAAAAAGACATTTGTAAAAAAATTGGCAATATGTAGACTACCATCAAGAAATGACAATTAAATTTTTTCTGACCCATCTCAGAGAATAGGTTCAGCTTCTTTTTCTGCGCTATTTGTGGCAAAGAATGACAGTGACAAATATTTTAAATTGGGAGATCTGTATACTTTGAAAAAATTTTGAAGAACAAATTGTCAAGACAGAAGAAAAAGCATAACAAAAATCTTTAGGAAAAGAAAGTTCACAGGTAAGACAAGTAAAAATTGTAGCTGATTTGATAACTTCACTTACAAAATTCCTCTGCATGTTAGCCATCATGGTGTTCATGCTTCCAAACATGTCACCAAACATGCCGCCGAACATATCTCTTGGGACCACCTGCTGATTTCTTAGACTTGACCTGTGATGTTGCCCTCCAACACCAGGGGCAGGAAGAGCAGAAGGGAGGCCAGAGCGTTGATGAAACCTCAAAAATGGGTCATTGAATCCACCCATTAGAGTTGACATTCTCTGGTGGTGTTCCCTAAAAGAAATGGTACAGTTTATGTACATGATGCAAAGCCTTCACCATTTGCAATGTAAGGTTGTTCGTCAATTTTTTCATGTTAATAAAGGTCTATTGTGTTTATATAATAAATAAAATAATATGTGGTTGTTTGAAGATATGGAATTTCTCTTCTTGTATTTGACTTGATATTTCACTTTTTCACTGTGCCCACTCATTGGATTTTGAGTTGAACACTGCAAAAGAAATTCTGTATCTACCCCTGCCCTGGTATCATTCCCTACAATCTTGCATAGGCCAAAAACTGATAATAAGTCATCCCACCCCTGATCCAAACCCACAATAAAAACTGTTGCTTACAAATCTTCTCTAACACCACAACTGTCCATAACAACAACAACAACAACAACAACAACAACAAAAGCTTTCTATAGCTCTCTCAACATGGCTCAGTAGAGCTTTTCCAAACAAGTTCTCTTTGCCTACTGACAACAACCACTACTTCTTGATGACCGAATTCTCCTATACATTTATTGAGTGTTCTTAAACAATTCAGACCTTTTAACTCTCAAGAATTGATTGTTATTTCTCCCCTCTAGCTGCTACACATTTCCTTGTGAATTAGTGAAAAGAATTTGGTGTTGGATCAAAATGACAAATTCTACCTGATAACTTTGATTATTCTCATTACCTGTTTTCTAGATATCATATGGATATTATAATGAGAAAATACATGTTAATCTCTTCTGGGAGTTCAAGGGTTAAGCATTCTAGAAACTTCTGCAACTCCTTGCTTAAATCACTTTCAATAAAAGAAGGAAATCAGCTTCACCCTTAAACCCTATCAGTGACTAATTCAAGACTTCTTCCAACAATACCACCAAATTACTCAACAAGCAGGTGATAAGAATATCACACTCGTTACCAAGAGAGCATTATCTTGATGTACCAAGAAATTCTCTGAAATCTTTCCCACTGAATGCAAAGGAGCTAAAGGGAGAACTAGATGAACTAAATATTGGGACCAATGAAACTGTATGCAAACGAAAATCTTCTCTACGACAGATTTGTGCAGGAGTACCACTGACAAGCTTTTCAATTGTTCCAGCATTTTTGACCTGGGTTATTAAACTTTTATAAGCCATCAAAGGTATTTAAAGTGATTTCTAAGAAATAAAAGTTGTTGAACTATTTTTTGGAAACTACTCCAATCCCTGTTTTGAGAACAACAATAAATAAACCAGCTCACCGTTTTTCCTTAAGAAATATGATGAGCCAAACTTACCCAATTTTTGCCGGTACTGGTACTAATTATGCATGTCATTTCATTGGTTCACAATACATTTTGCAATAGTTGGAACTAAGACTTTTCAATCAAAAGTAACACTTGAAAAAATACTTGATAGGTCGAAAGTCTTCAGTGTATGGAACAGTGTAATGTATACTAATATAATAAATGTAATGTATTCTATAATAATAATTGTTCTTGCTGTATCTTGTATCTTCTATTTACATCTTAAATTATATTACAGTATTAGTTTTATACGAGTCATACCCAATAAACCTGTTAAAACAAGAAAGAAATTTATGAAAAAATTCATGGAATTTTTTTTGACATCTACTAAAAATTGTATAACTTTCAAAGTAGTAATTTGCATTCTTGAAAATAGGCTTTGTGCACTTTTCCAATTTATTTTTTCAAGTTTCTAATTTAAGGGGATATTTGTGCACCAAGACAATTTACACAATAAAAAATATTGATCCCCCAGCTAATTCAAAAGCAAAACACAATCATGCCTGTTAACCTTGTCCACTGATTAAAAAAATTTCTAGGAATGCAAGCATGCTTATTTTCCTCACTTCATGATGTTATGCACAGTACAGGATGCACAGTACAATACTGAGGTATCACCTTGAGTGCGTTTCCCATAAACACTAAAAGTGATTATTGTAAGGTGTACACCAAGTATTTCAGTTTCACTTGTACAGCCATGCGAAAAGCGAATCTGACAAAAGAATATTTTACTGAAGACTCGACTACATGTTAAAAATTAAACATTTTTATTCTGAAAATATACAATATATTTAGAGTAACCCAGAATCAAGTCGTTTTGTTTCCGAGTAAACCAAGGATTAGGCCAAAACGAGTCCATTACATCGATTTTTTTCTTTTGTTTTTTTTCATCCTGATAATGGCCTTACATCGTAAGCCCCCTTTAGCTATAACAATCTGCGTTAAGATAACTTGATTGTGTTGATAAAAAAGTTATACGCGCAAATTTACCCACCGCTCTACGTAAACAAACACGAGTCATCTAAATGGGCAAAGATTCTTATTTCTCGCGCACGACGAAAGGATTACGACTGTGATGCCTTAACTAGTCTATGCTGTACTTACCTGAAGAACGGATCGTCCTCAAAATCAGCAAAAGCACCCCGAAACATGGCCACGAAGGGATATTCGCTTACGCAGAAGCGGCTCAAATCCCAGTTACACCTCGGTCTGATGAACGCTACGCTTGACAAATTTTATCAAATCACTCGTTTCCGCGCATGTGCTCACGCATCCAGAAGTTGGCGCGGTTACACAGTCTTTTGTTTCCAGTTCCTCGCAAATCAACCCAAATACGAAACTGAATACTGGCGTGCATTGAAAACTCGAACCGCGTCAGTTATCGAATCAAAAGAGGACAGACCAGTGTTTGGTGATCTTGTTTTATTCCTTATTTCAATAATTTAAAATATACCTTCAAGATCGACTAGCTCAGTTCTATTTAAAACGACATAGTTACTAGGAACTGAGCCCTGCTTTACACATCTACACTTAAAATTAGTTCATTTAAAATTGCCACTCATCAATCCAGAAAAATTTGAACAAGCTTTGCACTTGCTCATATACAGAGAAAATAATCCTTTGTGGCAACATTAAAATTTTTAAAGCTTGCCAATCCGGTTTCACGAGTTCTCGATTTGTGTACTTCAAAATAATATTTTTTGGGGGGAAGGCTGCTGTGCAGGATTCAATCTTTTTCTGAAGGGTTGTGTTAGTAATGTATGGTAGTCAACCCTTTAACCCCATAGAGTAACCAGCATTTAGTTCTTCTTATATTATCACCTCTGAATCAAACATTAAGGCTACAAGAATTAAGGAAATGATCAGAAACGAAAGAAGCTTTTGATTTTCAACCAAATTCTCCTTTTCAACTTCTAAAGAAATGTATAGAGAGCAGTATGGAGAATACGCATACTGATCTTAGGGTGTAAAAGGTTAACCACTGAACACTTTATAAATAACCGATTCATAAGACAAAACTCCTAAGAGAAAAATTAAAAAATGTAAAAAAACAAAAAAACGAACAAAAACAATCAAAGAACAACGACAAAAAAACACCACACACTGAGATAAACATCCATAAAGACAAATATACATATAAAACACAGAGGAAAACAAAAGAGGACACATTGTTATTCATGCTGCAATACTATTCTACTCTCCAGTCAAGTATGGGAGGACAGAAATCTAACACAAACAGGAATCTAGCTATTATTTTAACGTCTACAAGAAACATATCGCTATAACTTCCACCTAACTCTCGCAAGGTATACTTTTATAAACAATTACACTCTTCAAGGAAGACACCGTCGCTAGGGGGTTTCAATGACAGCCGGTTACCGGCGGTCTGCCGCTGACCATAAGACCCCCTGTTGCCGCCTATTTCACCAGCGGGAAGGCTGTCATGACAAGGTTTTGCCTTACACCCTCTTCGACAGGCACAGCCGATTATCACACCACCGGCAACCGCTTATTGACAACGTTGTGGAAACACCTGCTTAAACCTTGTTGAATCCTGTCTTGAAAAACGAATTTACTCCAGGATACATTTGCTACGGCACTCGTATCACAAAAAGCTATTTATATAAATTAAAAAAACCTACTTAAGGCAAATTTACAAGACTAAGAAAATACTAATACTCTAAATTTCACTACAATTGTGACAGTTGCATTAACTTTTTCCTCTAATTGGAAACAATTATGTGATCGGATGAAAGATTGGACTGCAAAATTTCCCGCCTCTTTTACGGGGCGTCAACCTGAGGAGTCTCAGATATGACAGAAACGTCAATGTTTCTTCTACTGAACGCACAGCGCTGTTTGTAACTTCAGAGTCTTTGCTCTGGCCAATCAGACCAGAGATACCATGTCTCTTCGGTCAATAACTCCTTTACGGTTCCAGAAATACCCATCTACTCGGTAGTAAGAAGTAGCGAGGTTGCCGTAGTTTTAGGGATCCAATCACATCAGAGCCCCGAATGTTATGTTTTTCCCAGTGGCAGTTCTCTTCCACACAGTAGAGGGGGTATATTCCAGTTCAACGAGCTATCTCGCTCAAATGTCATCCATTATTTCTATACAGAGGCTACCACAACCATTAAGTGCCCACTGTCGGCAGCGCTGTCCAAGAGGTCTGGAGAAACTCGAGCCAAGTGCTCCTGGGCGAAATCGCACGGCGGGAAAATGTGAAGAACATAGCTAGGCTGAGGGACAAAACAATAAAAAAATAATAACAACCTAAATACTTACATGATTAACTTAGTTTTAAATAATTAACCATTCTTAATAAACCCTATCCTCGAACGTCAGGAAACCAAAAATATAGCTGAAATATGCAAAGAAAATATTATTAGGAAAAAAGTAGCAGTGGAAAGAGGGAGAGGGCGGTAAAGTTTGCCAAATAGACTTGGGTGCTCATCATGGCGTCTTACATGAACCTCTTCCTGATGGGAATGAAAGGGCTAACCAGCCTTAACAACTCAGAGCTTTTGCATCCATCATTTGGAGATAAAAAACCCAGCATCACCAGCACCAGCTAGTGATATCGATTCGTGATTGACGAGTTCTGTAAAAACTTTACCTTTCGCAGAGGAAATGTTTCTATACCCTCACTCACCTGAGAGCTGCCTGGTCGTGCTACATTTATGATCCCTGCCGCTTGTTTTTGTTGCAAATAGTTGATAAAACCACTCTTCAGCGCGCGTGTTTGGGCGTGGACATCCAAAGGATCTCGGCCACAAGGCAGCGCCAACAGAAGACAGTGATCTTTGTCCGACTGTTGAGAAAATCGCCAAGACCGTGGTGAGCTTATGTGATGTAGAAAGCGCGGTTAAATCTCATAATATAAAACTACACGCCCTATGTTGTTGACCAATACTCAAACAACACTTCCAAGGTGAGATATGCCAAGAACAAGATTACAAGTGGAAAAACCGTAGGTCGGGTGTTTCTATACTTTAAAGTTTGAGTTACACTGTCATAGCCTTGAGTTGAATTCTGCTACGAGTTTGTCTTAAATGTTTTCTTAGAGGTTGTGCAAAGTTACCAAAACAAAACGTGCCTTATTTTTCGTGCTAATTACAGTGATTTAAAATGGCTACGTCGAGGCGTCTTCATCCCGACAAATTAAGCCAAAATTTTTCTAGATCGTTGTTAACAATCCGTTTGAATCTATTCCTATCTGGTCATCTATATTCATCTGCCGCTTTTTGTTTCCTCTTTTAGGTAATTCTGTCTCACTAAACTAACAAGCTGCAAGAAGTTTTTACACAAAACGAAAAATGACCCAGTTCGTGTGCAGTATACCGTTGAGTGTCACGGCCGCCTACCTGCATCCTCCTTATGACACCTTCCAACTGTGACGGTTCCAACTTCATACGCTGAGCGATTCGAATTGGAGGAGGGACACCTCCTACCCCATTGGTAGGTGCCTGTGGTAAGGATACCTCCGCCAAGCGACCGTTACCGGCCAGATAATGCATTTGCACGGCTGCAGAGTCGTTTTTCAGAGCCAGTAGCCCCTGCCAGACGACTGGATACCGCCGCAATAGGTCTAACAACGTGTCCGTGTTCGACGGCTGTGGGACAGCTGACGAAAGATTGTAGTCAGAGTGTGGTGGGGGAGGAGGGGGTAGCCCTTGGGGAGATCCCAAATCTGGTGCCACAGGTACCCCAATAGGTAACCCGGGAGAGTGCACTGTTAATGGAGGTGTGGAAACGTTCGCTGGGGCCGCGACCGCTGGGTTCAGCGGTATACCAGGAGGGGGAATGGGACTAAGAGTAGCAGGGGAAGATCCCAAGGGCACCGACCGAGTTCCATCATAATGTACTGGCGGTGCTGTAGCTATGTCATATGATGACACCTGTGCGGGAAGCCCGTCTGGAGATGGGCCTACTCTTGTTAACATTTCGGTGGGTGGGTAGCCTTCTGAAACCTCTCGGGGCGGAGGTGGGGGTGGAGGGGGAGGTGGTGGCGATTCACCGTCCGACATCCGTCGTCGTTTTTGTCTCACACCATCCGTCTTCTCCCAGTCACGCCTTCGCTCGTCTCTGTGCGACTTCCGAGGTGAGCGGCTCCCAGATTCGCGTGGAAATTCCCTTTCTTCCCTAGACGGCCTGTCCTCCGCAGAATGCCTTCGAACAGGTTTCTTACTTTCAAATTCGGGTTGACCAAACCTCTTACTTTCAGGAACATGGCCATCCCTGATTTCAGGTGTGTGCAAGTCAGCAGCAACACTGTCTCTTGGTTTATTGACAGACACCGCCACATCAGAGGCCTCCTTACCAGCTGCATCCTCGGTGAGCGCAGTTTCTTCCTGCAGCTCTCGCTCTTCCTCTTCTTCGCCCAGCGAAGCTCGAAAACGCCTGTGTTTCCTTCTTTTCTTTACATCCCTTTTCTCCTTTTTTCTGACGCCCTTTTCAGGCGGAGGAGATGCTGGAGCAAGTTCCCTCTCGCCGTCTTTAACAAGTGTTTCTAAAGCCCTGGTACCATTACCGTCCACCCGTCGCTCGTCCCAGACATCGTCCCGCGTCCCCTCTTTACCCTTTTGTACAGCAGTCGCGGTATCACCGTCCCTACTTCCTTTCCTCGGCTCCTTCTCCTCGAGACCTCGCTTCTCCGCAGACCCCTCACCTCCACTTACAGTTTCTTTCTCTCCATCCACCGTTTCAGGAGTAGGCGAGCGAGGTTTCCTTCTCTTTTTATCCTTCCTTTTCGGTCGCTTTTCTTCCTGCTCAATGTCACGACTTGACGGCTTACTGTGCACGGCGGCCCGCTCATCATCTTCACTATACCCAGCTCTTTCTCGGTCAGGTTCGACCGGGAATTCCCGCGAACGTGTGTCTTTACGATCTCGTGGTTCTTCGTAGGAGCCCGAGCTACTTCTGTTCTCCGGCCAGCGTTCTTGATTGTCTTGATAAAAGCGTTCATTTGCACTGTAGGTGCCATCTTCCCTGTCCCTGTCTCGTGTGCCTCTCTCATGTCTCTGCCGGCCCTGTTCTTTTTCTCTCTCTCTCTGTCGACTGAAGTTATAATCCCGCAGTTCCTGATCATAGTCATCTGACTCGTCTCCACCCATCTCATACGACGAGCGGTAACGAGCATGGCCTTTCTGGTGGTAACCGCTGCCCTCAGGATAGTCATAGTTGCCGCCGCTTCTATGCCAAGGTCGGTGATTGGACATCTCGCGCCTCATCATCCCACGTCCTCCTCGACCTCTATCCCACCGATTATCATAATACCCAGGGCCGATGCCTCTGCCTCGTGTTCTGGGGGATGATGGTTCATATCTCCGGCTACTGCTGCTGCTGTCAGACGGGGCCGAACGCTGCAAGGCGTCGTTAAAAAGTTGTCGGCTATCGCGACTAACAAATTCAACCTGGATCATCAAGACAACATAGGATAAACCTCATGAGAAATCGTTCAAATAGACATATTTTTTCGACTAAACGTTATCTCTGCAGTTGGACCACTCTAAAGCTGGTTAAGGTGAGAATTATTCTTGTTGCTTACGAAAACAACTATTCTTAAGACAGTTTACCCTGTATGGAAACCATTTTAGGGGATGAGAAAATAATCAAGTAAAAAGGCAAGAGATAAGGAAACATTATAAAAACATAACTTCAAGTAATTTATACCAAGCACTACCGAACGTATTTCATAACGAGGTTGCAATTCAACACAAAGTGAGGGTGTTTCTACTTAGCACCTGGGCAAATAAGAGAAACCAATGCCACTCACTAACATCTACTACATCCTAAGGGCAGTCACACAACATTGCAATAAAATAGTTTGGATCAATATCAGTATCTGGGCAACTGCCCACCTACCCCTCCCCTAACCCAACATTAACCCTAACTTGTCATCAATTGACTGTTGTTGGGTTAGGGGAGGGGAGGGGAGGGGTAAGTGGGCAGTTGCCCAGATACTGCTATTGATCCAATAGTTTTTCTCCAAGAGGCCACTCTTACCTTCACACGCCTTCCAAACATAGATCTACCCTTCATCTCTCCTTGAGCAATGCTGGCAGACTCCACGCTGTCAAAACTCACCAGGGCCTGCTCTCGATGATAATTCACTACCACCTTGGTGACACGCCCATATCGACTGAAGTGTCTCTCGATCTGCTGCTCACTTAGATCCCCAATCATCCCCACCCAGATGGTGTTAATGGGGGACACCTTACCAAAACCAACCTGGAACAGAAATAGTTCAAGATGAATGAGAAACAAGTTTGATAGCCTCAAAGATGAGTAAAAATGTTCCATTTTTACTGGCTTAGTACAAACTACAGCCAGACTTTTGCTTCAAAATAAGTCTCTGCAATGCAAGCTTAACCTTTCAACGCCCAGAAGTGATTAACATGTAACTTCTCCCCATAAATATCCATACACCATCCAGAAAACAGGTAATGACAATACTCAAACCTACAACCAAATTCTTGTACCCAATTTTGAAATTAGTTACAAAAATTTAAAAAAGAAAATATGTAGCAGCTAGAGGGGATAATTTAAATCAGTTCTTGGGAGTAAAAAGGTTACAGATGTGCTAATTACCCATACAGTTCAGCAAACTTGGGTTGTAGAGTTTGAATAGCACATCACAAAATGATCCCCAGGATACATGCTTAAAGTGTACCTTGAAAACTCTGGAAACTGAAATATTTGCTTGTTCCATGTGTGTGATGAGGAAAATTTGCATTTTGTCTCTTACATCACTTGGTCTTTCATAACTGATTTAGCAAATGGTTTGTTTTAAGTACCAAGAGGCTTCTGAATGTCACATTGGAACATTTCTCATAAATGGTGCTGTTACAAGTTTGATGCTTTGTGGGAGGAGAATTTACTCATGATTCTCAGTGAAAAAAAACAAGCTTAATATCATAACAGCAACCTTACATCCTGACATCCAACAACATGAATCATTGAATTCAGAATGTAAAAAAGTCAGCATATTTACACACAATGTTTCAGAAGCACAAAGACAATAACACAAATAAGAAGACACGACGCAATGTTTCATGACCGGTACCTTGACTCTATTCCTGCCGACAAATTCTCTGTCCATTCGTCTACGTGCCTGTATGGCACTGCTGAGCTCAACAAATTGAATAAAGGCATAAGGATTGTTTCCAGTCTGTTTCTTGATATCAACATCCTACAACAGAGGAGGTTTCATAAGTCCTTGCTGCACCATCTTAATGTACAAAATGATTATTTTCTTCTTCATCTCATTTTATCCTTGACTAAAAATTCATAGGATTGCTTGAATGTTTCTATGTTATTTTTTAGTGCCTGGTTGTTCGGATGGTGGATAACACTATCCACTGCATATATCTCAAAATTTGTAACTGGGGGATAGCACAAGCGCAGTATGTTTAGTTAACACTCATCCGCTGGACTGCATTATCAGCCCTTTAACAGCAAGGCTCAGGCTATTATTGTATTATCTTGCTTATGCCACCTTCGGCAGATATTCCAAAACATTCATTGAGTTAACATGGTAAACTTACCACAATTTCACCATATCTCTCAAATGCTTCCTTAAGATCAGAGTATGTTGTTGACTTTTCAATGTTCCCAACAAACAGAGTGCGAGTACAACCAGCATCAAACTCTTCGTCCATCAAGGAACTAGCATGTGCGCGATGACGAGAGTGTTCACTGCTATCATAGCGCTCAGCTGGGAAAAGAAAAGTATTACAATCAAACTATTTCAATCCTCTTCTAGGCAAAACAAATGACAAAAAAGTAAACACATGTGTAGTAAGTCCAGTGAAATGTCAGATATTAGAATCAGAATCACACAACTCCATTCTTCTCCACTGAAAGATGATGTTATTCAGTGAATGCACAGGCATACTCAAAGAAAAGGTCTATAAGTGCTCCCAATGGAATCAAAACTACAACATTCAGAGATGTAGTTTGAATACTCAACCACTGAGCTAAGGGAGACCAATAGTTGGCTTGGCCATTCCTCCCATAAGCAGAATGGATGAGACAACACATTCATAATGGTTGATGCCATAAAAAGTCTGATCCTAAAACTAACTTTGCCAATACTGAAGATCCATCTCAGAACCAAGGAACAGCTTGCCACGGCAAGCTTCAAGACTTCTTTCAGCATCTTCAGGTCTAACAAAAATCAAAATGAAAAAACTGTAAGTAAACCCTACATGATTGAATGGTTGATTGAACGAGCTCTTTTTCCTTTTACTCCCCTAGGTGGCCAAGATAGAATTTCTCCTTACAATATCAATGCAATATAAAGCAGACAAATTGATAAGAATAGAGATAAATATCAGCAGGGGAACTAACATCATAAGAATTGTGTCACAGACAGTAAGGAGAATTATTAAAGAAATTTTGGGATTGAAAGGGTTAAAACTCCACAATTTGTTAGTAAGGTTGATTTCCTCAACTAAAAGCATGATGGGTTCAGAAGCTTATTTAAATAGAAGTTTCATATGGAGAGTTCATTATTCACCTTCTAAATTGTACAATAGCATATCTGCTGGTTCCTTGCCCATTTACAGAAATACGTGTCACATCCCCATGCTTTTTAAACTCGTGGTAAAGACCATCACGGACACCACTATCTACAAAACCAGAGAGGACAGATTAGCTCATTTAATTAAAACAATCCTAAAAATGTTATGATACTTAACAATTATTCACCAAACTGGAGAAGACCATAGGTGGATATTTACTGAACTGCAAAACAGGACCAATCACAGAGCATAGTTTAGATATCATAAGGTGAAGTTGATGAGATTTAATAGATAGTACACCTTGTATGATTGAACAAAAGATAACATACAATTTGCCTTCCTTGTGAAACCATAAATTACTTAATACCTACCTCCAGATCTCAATGAAATATTCCTCAAACAAAGAGCTGATGTTCTGTTTGTACTCTGAGGTACTTCTGCCGGTGGTGCTGCATTCCCATGTGCACTTCCAGCCCTGCTATCTTCCTCGCTGCTGCTACTGCCACTTGAACTGGCAGACTGACTCCCACTGTGGCTGCTCTCACTTCCACTCTCACTGCCACTGGTGCGATCTGGACTGGGCTCCTGATCACGATATGCTTCTAAACAAAGAATGATGATAGATGTGGTTTTGTTAACATTGGGTCATAATTCATTTTCTTTCTTTAATGCAAAGGCACAACTTTGACCAACTCTCACAGATCATTGTCAACTGTCCACAAACCACATCTACTAAACACAATCTACCTGACAACATTATGACTGCTTGCAAAAGGTGACATATTGCATTTCACAGGATACAAGTACTATCATGCACATCAGCAGGAGCCATGCTCACTATTTCATGACATGCCTTCATGAACTCACCAGGTAACTTGTGAGTATTTCGGCGAGGTTCATGACTATAGGGTTGACGCCGATGATCTCCACTACTACGAGGTCTTGATCGGCTTGCAGTGCCTCCTCCTTTAGCGGAAACCCTAGAGGATCCAGTTTCATCTTCACTGTAATCATCTTGGTAAAAAGCTTGCGATCGACCATTGTAACGTCCATCAGGTCCACTACTGTGAAAAACAAACCTAAATTAACTTTGTTCAACTAAATAATAATAATAGTTTAGACAATAACTATTTGTGATTACAGTGTATTTTTTCATTATTTCCTCCATAATCTTTCACCCACCCCTCTTTTCAAGTGTTAGAAGTAAAGCTTCACATTTTAAGCTTACATAGTCAGCTTAAAGAATTACTCATTCCCAGAGGTGCCTAAAACAACACTGTTCTCTAAAAGTAATGATCAGGTCAACCAGGTGTATATTTGAATGAGTAAAATACTAACCTGATTGAATACAACCCTAACTGGGCTTCATACCCAAGAACACCACACTTCACAAGAACTCTTCAATGTAAATAATTTTTTTATTTAAGGTCATCCCCACTGAGATCCGCTGGTCACAAAGAGATAACACTTACAACACATGAAGACCATAAAACTTTTAAGCCACAAAACACTCCCTACACTCCATACAATGATCGAGGCAATTTGAGATATTCAAAGGCTAGCATGGTTCTGTACAAAGATTTATTTCAATAGACTTTCACAAGTTAACTTGGTCTGATCCAAATAGGACATAGAAGATGGCGAAAATGCTCAAAGACAACATTGATGTCAGACTGAGACAAGATCAAATAGGAGAGGCAGCAAGTCAGGTTTGCTAAGGATGAAATCCTGTTGTTTCACAGCCAAATACACTTGAAGGATTCAATGCCACTTTTCATGGAAAAACTTCACCACAGCTTTAATGTATGAGGAACTTTATTGTGTTGATAACCTCACATCCACGGAGGCTGTTTATCCAAGTTGCTTGAAAAAAATTCCATATTCCACAATCTCTTCCTTTATCCATACACATTTAGAGCCTCTCTAAAAACATCTGTAATCCAGAAAGAAGTTTGCATAAACCATGTTCTAAATCCTGAACTTCCCTCAATGTTTTCCACGTCATACTTTCTGGACCAAATGACAAAACATCTTTTGTGGAATTGCTAACAATCTTGGTTGAGGAGATTTTGGTAAAAACTCTAAGCAATTGTTGGAACTTAACAGTAACACTGATGAGTCATTCCTTATTGAACAAACAGGGTCAGTAATTTGGGAAATTTAAACATTTACAGACAAAGGTTACTTCACTAAGAGATGACCAGCTGAAACTGTGTTAAGACAGGGTATGACCATCAGTATAGAGCTGTGATTGAAACAGACATTCACGAAAAACAGCATGATCAGTTACTGGTGGCACCATCTGTAACAGACAAAAGAAAAGCCAGCAATCCAAACCTACAACTTGTGATCTATTAGATGCCTGGACAATTGGAATTGATAATCTTGCTTCATCTGTGGAATGGAACTTGACACCACACAAGATGAAAGCCACACAAATCAATGGCCAAACTTGGAAAAATTCATCCACAAACTTGAAATTAAAGCTGTAAGTTTGATGTAGTCTTGATCCACATAACTGACAGTTTTCTTCTCTTCCACAGAGATGCACTACTTTACCATACAATCTTGAAATGTTTCACTTGTTCCTTGTCCAACTAATTCAGGGAGTGTTATTGTAAATGTTGTACGTGTAAAAATCTCTCCTCTAATGTTGTTAATCCAATAACATCAGGTAATCATAGATTAGAAATCACTTGTTGCGTTTCACATCCTTAAACCTTTCCAAGTTGACATCTCCACAAGGTGACATTTCTTTCAAGCTGTTGTCCTTGCAAACACACTTTCTTTTCCAAAAATTCCACATCATTTTATCTGAGTTGCAGTGACATCCTTGTTTTCCAGAAGTAAAATGCCAAGAGGGATGAGGCTACCAGATCTTGATCAATAATTATTTGAATTCTGTACACCACAATTCACCAGCATGTAGCCAAGTAAAGGAGTTAAAGCACTGTGAATGTGTTTCAATACAAATGTTTTGCTATCTTTGAGAAACCACACCATACCATAAACCATACAATGCATCTTGTCCCAAATACTTACAGTATTTTCCTCTAACACGCCAACGTTTTAACTATCCACACGAGGCCGCCATCACTAAAAAGCCCTTACACATATGAAATATCTCATGAACCTTTTCACTTACCCCTCCGGTCTTCTCTCAAATCGCCGTCTTTGTGCGGGCGATCCCGGGGCTGTGTTACCCGTAGGTCTCGAGGGAGGGTCCGTATGCCCGTGCAGCCGGGAGATATTACCCGCATTGCCCGGCTCGTTGTAATCAGTTCGCATTTCGCGGTCACCGATTCGATTCACAGATTCGTGCGCTTTGGTAGCGCTTCGAATATCCACGAAATCTACAAAAGCTGCTCTTCCTCCTTCTGCGCTACGTTTTGGCAAGATTTTGACGCTTTCTACCCGGCCATATCTACGAGATAAAAAGAAGCGAAGAGATAGTTTAAGCAGCACAAAAAGAAAGCGAAACTAGCGTTTGGTGACGTGGAACACGAAACTTCCGGGAAGCCAACGGGGCGGGTGTTAAAAGAAATTGAAAATCACTTTCCTAACTTCTCTTAAACTTTTCACAGGCGTATATCCACGTTTATTCTTTCAGAGACTCAATCCTGACGTCTAACTGCAATCCTATTTATTTACTTTGCAATACAACGCGAAAAACTCCCAAAATGACGGGATCAAAACAAGTAATTTTAACTTGTAAGCTACTACCGTTCCGACAACACCAGAACTTTCTATTATCATGTAGGGCATGTCAAACGCGAAGACGGAATTTCAAGCAATAATTAAAAGAAGCATTGTTTCATGTCTTGATCAATCTCAAAATAAAGTGGAGAAGATTAAAAGGCAATTTAAAGATCAACCGAGCTAAAACGTAGATAATCTTCTGGCGTTACTACAAGCCTTTAACTTCACCTAAAACATAGAATATATTTTCCAAGTAACAGCTGGGCAAAAGAGAATAAAACCAAGCTTGTCGATTCAAGATACGGCAAAATAACCCTCAAACGAAAAAATTGAGTGGACGAGCGGCATCAACACGACCAAGGTGCGAATTTTAGAACAAATAGGAGTAAGATGAACTCAAGCGCGCCAAAAGTCGACGATAAGAGTCTTACCGAGTGAAGTGCTTGACTATTTCTTCTTCTCTGATGTTTTCCGGAAGGTTTCCGACCCACAAATGGCGGGTTTCACGCACCATCCTGTTGAATAATATCTTCTACTACTTTGCAAAGGCTATTCGATCATTATTACGCAAAAAAACAGTCATACAAAAACACATTTTCGTTAAACTTTCGAATCCTCAGGTAAAACAGATTGGTAGCGTTTTTTATTTGCAAAGGCTTCTGGGAGAGGCTGCAGTGGTGTTATATAAAAACACCTCTGATTGGTTCATCTTAAGGTTACTGTTCTTTTGGCCAATAGTATCTTTTGCTTTATTTTTGGAGTATTGAAGTGTTCATTAGGCAGGGGTCGCACTAGTGCTTTTGGTGTTTACATTGGACATAGAATCTGTCATAGCATGCTTGCGACAAGTGCGACCCTTTTGTCGCGTCCAGACATAACTATGTCCGAAGGACCTAAAGATCAAACAAGCCGATGTCCTGCCTCAAAGCAGGTCATATCTTGTCTAATGGCCTTAAAATAACAATTTTTTATTTTTCTTCTGTCGTCAACGTCAATCAAATCTGAAATACGGGCAGAAATTGGAGTTTTGCAATTCTGCAAAGGCAACACGTGTGCACTGCTAGCTACAGCTATCGGGTTAAAATTTTAGTCACCGGTTTTCTCTTCAAACGTTTTATCATGGCGAATTTCAACCCAGTAATTGACATCCGTCGACGTCGGTTTAAAGCGGCAAGGGCCAACATTTGCCGTTGGCGAATGTTGTACAATGCGTACAAACCAATAAGGTTTTGTACATTGAACAAATTAAACAGAGATTGAAGAAATGTCGCTAATAAAACTAGCACCAGCCTCATGTCTAAAAATTATATTTGGCGCTCTTTTCGCGCGTGAAATATAAAGAGTTGACAGACTGGTTTCAAATATCATTTATGTCGCGCAAGTGCGACCTCCATGACTCCCGTGGTGTAAATGTCGCGACATATTTATGGGACAACTTATGACGCGACATAAGAAGAATAAGGCCATAGTGCGACCCCTGCCATATTTATGGGACAACTTATGACGCGACATAAGAAGAATAAGGCCATAGTGCGACCCCTGCCTTAGTCTCCACGCAAATGCTAGATTATTCACTTTGCCCCGTCAGTGAATCTTGGAAACAGGCTCTGTCAACGGTAAGTTTAATTTTTACTTTTTACATGTGTTCTTATTGACGAGCGTTTATGTCTATTACCGAAAGATTTTCACGGTAGGTCAGAATTTTTTGCATTTTCTTGGACAGTTCAAATGGGTGATTCCATTGACGCCTCAGAGCCCTCCCTGGGAACAATTTAAGTATTTCTTCGATCAGCTAAATAAATCCTTTTGTAGTCTTAACTGAAACACGAGTTTTTGTGTTGTCATTTAAATTGTCAACCTGCAGCTCAAGTGTACGTTCATGGAGCGTTCCATTTCCTCTTTAATCACAAGACAGAGATCACCTGATTCACTGCACGTTTACATTCCAAAACCCTTCATTGCTTTTATTTGTTTATTATACAAATAACTCTGACGTCTGCTCAGGGGCTTTGAATACAGTTTGTTCATTTTACTTTGCAAATTAAATTTATTTTATGTGTTCGCCACTCCCAAAAACCTTGGGATCTTGCGAAAAAACCGGATGATGTAACCTTTATCGGGAAATTGCAAAGCCATCCCAAATAACTTCCATTTATTTACACCTTTTCATTACTATCATTTTAGTGGAAGCTGCAGTCGACAAGATTATTCTTTTTCCAAGCTCAGTAGATATGATTGCAGATGATCTCAAATGTATTTAGTTCAAATCCCAATAACTGTGATCATTGCACTTTTGGGAAAAGAAAAAGGAAAGAATTAAAAAACTGCAGAATCACTGAAGCTAATGGTGCAGAAATTACTTCTCCTCATATTTTAGATATGACAGATTGTAATTTTGAATCAAAAGGTCCCCCTTAAAAGTTACCTTATAAATCAGGTATACTCAAGAATACAGTTTGTTCATTTTGCTTTGCAAAGTTAAATTTATTTAATTTGTTCACCACTCCTTAAAACCTTAGGATCTTGCAAAAAATACTGGATGATGTAACCTTTATCAGGAAGTTACTAAGCCATACTAAGTAGCTTCTATTTATTTACACCTTTTCATTTCTATCATTATTATGGATGCTGCAGTCGACAGGGTTATTCTCTTTCCAAGCTCAGGAAATAACATGATTGCAGATGATCTTAAATGTTTTTAATTCAAATCCCACTAACTGTGATCATTACACTTTTGGGAAAAGAAAAAGGAAAAAACAAAAACTGCAGAATCACTGAAGCTAGTGGTGCAGAAATTACTTTTCCTCCTATTTTAGATATTACAGATTGTAATTTTGAATTGAAAGGTCTCCTTTAAAAGTTGTCTTATAAATCAGGTGTTTTTAATTAGCTATAGTTTGTGATGTGCTGTCTGAAAAAGCAGGGCCAAGTAAATCTTTCTAAGTCAGTGATATGTGTTATAGCAGAGCTTGCAGAGCATAGCCCCATTATTATACAAAATAGTAGTAACCCATCAAGCCGAAAAAAATTTGGATGTATGACCCTCCGACCATACAAGGTGCTACTTTTAACATGCGTGGTTAACCGTACCTTGGGCACACCAATGCCACGGCTTTGTCCAGTAGTCCAGTGGTCAGTGCACTGGGCTCCGAGTCAGATGACCTGGGTTCTAGTCCTGGCTGGAGCAATGCATTGTGCCCTTGAGACGTGCGGGAAAAAAAAAATGCGAGCTCCACTTTTAGGCTTGGCTAAATCTATATATTATATTTGATGTGGGTTATCTATTGAATAATGAATTTGTATTAATTAGTCAACATCCAGCGATCAATCATAGTGTTATCTGCTCTATATCTCTCTCTTGCATAATTTTTTTTTTAGTTGGGAGGGGAGAGTTTGCAGCAGTATCAAGATAATTTCTTTTTGGATTTAGAGTTTGTACCCAAGTGTTTGTTGTGCTGAATGGAATGATATTCCTAACATCCTCCCAGTCCTTGGTGGGAAGAGTTGTATTATCCTCATGTCAACGTTACGCTTTGAGACATTGTTTATCCACCACCCCTGCCCTCGCTGGAGAAGGTGATTTCCTTTCACCCTTTTTAAAATTCTCCTCTCTCTCTGCTTTTGTGTGCTAACCCTTTGATGCTGGAATCACACATTAATGTCCCAAGAATTACGGTAATGATCACCGTGGTTAGCACCTTAGGAAATGTGTAGAGAACAGTATGGAAAATATGTGTACTGATGTTATGATGTCATGGTGTAAAGGGTTTGTCTCTTATTTTCCCGTTTCCTCCATATTTTTTAGGTAATGATGAAAAAAAGTTTCATAATTTTTCTCTTTACAGCTAATGACATAATGATTTATTTTAGGGTTTAAAAGAAAAACTGATCATGAATTTTTTTTTTGGAAGGAAAAATGTCTGGTGTCAGCAAGATTTTTGCTCGTGAAATATTTGACAGCCGTGGAAACCCTAGTGTTGAGGTTGATATCACAACATCAAAAGGTGAATAATTATTGGGCAGTTGGTATGCATTTTTAAGTATTAGATACGAGTTATTTGTAACATAATTGGTTTTCTTCCCTGGAAGAACAGGTTTTCAATAGCAAGGGGGTAGCAAGTAGATCTATTGTGCTGGCTGCCGATTTGTAGCCTTTGCACAAACATCACTGTACACCTAATCTACATGTAATTATTTTGGAATTTGTTCAAAGTGGTTGAGAATTTGAGGAACAACAAAGCAAGATAAATTTGGTGAGACCTCAAAGCACAACTGCAAGAGCATAGAACTTCAAAATTTCCCAGGGGAACCTAGACCTCTCCAGTAATAAGAGTCTCTTCAGGCCTTCAAAACCATATGCCTGCCATTTTTATGTCATATTTTTATTGAATTTACCTCTGGTCATGCTATTCAGATATATCATTGTGCAATAATAATCACCTGTAACTTTCCTGGCTGTAACATTCAGTATGCATTTTGCTCGGATGTTAATTAGGTAGCTTGGACAACAGAATTCTTCAGTTACTCATCAAGATTTTCTGACTAACTTTCAATGGTATAAGCTATTTTTTCTCAGATTTAGGAAATATCCTTTAATTTCTTTTTACACTACTCTCCCACAACTACATTTCTTGTCCGAAACCCTAATTTTGTAATAAACAAACATATAGACTTCCTTTGTCTTCTTCTTGCTTAAAACAAATAAATATTTCAGAGCTAATTGTACAAATGTGGGTGGTGAGAAGGCCCAATGAGCTCTGGATTCTGGTTTGAGAGGTCTGGGTTGGAGCCTCGGTTAGGTTCATTTTGGTGTGTTCTTATACCACAAACTTCCTCTCTGGTAGCTTTCCTTTACCCAGGTGTCTCTGTGGGTGGGCACCATTGTATCATCTTATTGTATAACATAGAGGAATGTAGGCAGAGAAACTAGCTCAGAGAGAAACAAGAGTAGTCAACCATCTTCTTTGTTTACTTGGTTTTATAAAAACAAGAAGCATCTCTCAATCAATATGTCTTGCAACACACAAAAGATACCTGCAAGCTGCCAGGGAAATTTGATGAGTTATCAGACACTGCAATAGGCCATTTTACAGTTGTGTACTTAGTTGCCAAGCCTTTGATTTGGAGTGAGGCTGAAGGTGACATTGCTGTGATAGAGACTAGTATCTAGTTAGCATGATACCAATGAAAGTAATTTGCATTTGAAAAGTAGCAAGGTTTGTATCATAACAAGATCACCCATAGCCTCATTCCTGTTCAAAGGCTTGGCAACCAAGCACAGTGTAGCCAGTGTAGTGTAGCAATACTCCTTCCTATTCACTTTATGATACAGAAGTTGTGATGAGCTCAAAGTTTAGTGGACCTCTTGGTTTGTGAGAGTTTATTTTACAAAATACGTTATACTTTTTTATTGTAGGGCAGTTTCGTGCAGCTGTTCCATCTGGTGCATCCACTGGAGTGCATGAAGCTTTAGAGCTTCGTGACAAGGATCCAAAAAGATTTCTTGGAAAAGGTAAATTAACATTCAACAATATAAATGGTACAGTTGCAATACTACTAAGGGAAATTATTGTCATTGAAATATAAATCTGGTAATAGACATTTCTGGTGTAACTTATAATGACTATTAATG